GTACAGTGTACATGTACTCACTGCTTACTAGTACTATAAATTGGAACGGATTCCATTGGCTTTGCGCACATGTACATGTACGTTAATACTTAGACCAGCTAGAAAATTTATATACTCCCACCCTGGTTCCATTGCTTCTTCCACTTCCTGTCGGATGCTGACACGTTATTACGCCCAATATACTTCTTGCTGCTTAGTTCATGTTTGTCACTACAATGTCACTACACTATCACTACACTATGACTACACTATGACTACACTATCAGTAAGTTCTCTTTAGCTAGTTTAGGTCCTTGTTCTGGGCTGGTCGTTCTGCTAGGGTTATACCGTGTAGGTATTTACATTGTACATGTACTTACTAGAGTATTAAAGTATCAAAAGAAGATGTCCCTGTGGCCCCCTTGCCTTGGGTTACGTTGCGTGCTCTCATGCTGTTATCACCAAATTGTGAATTACATGTACTTGTAACTGTAATAACGTGTGCCCTAATGAAAAAGCAGGGGAGTTCTTCGTTCCCCTTTATCGGCTATCGAACTTTTGTCCTAAACAAGTAAACATGTACATGTAGGTCTCCTCGGTCTTTGTGGTCCATTCTCCCAACAACAACAAACCGCCCGGTACACCCAGAAGTCTGTGCTGTGAGTGTGGTGGCTCGACAATAGACACAAACTGAAGGAGAGAACGGGCTCAGGCCCCGACATGGCTACTTCCCCTTGTCTAGCCCCCAAGACGAAAATGATAGTAGCCGACTGGCCGAAATTAAAAAAAAAAAAAAAGAAGGAGAGAAAAGTCATTTCCAAGTGAAAGTACATGCAGCTGCCTACCAGCATCGCCATCTGCTGAAAGCCACTTTCATGGAGATCTAAAAACCGGCGCGATTTTTCATGGAGTTTTATGGCGTCGTTCCCATCACCAGGAACACCCTAGCGAGTAGCGACTATCATCTCGTTTGCTGAGGTGATTGTGAAAAGCGTTCATTAGGATTACTAATACATGTAGTTCCGATTACAACTTCATGTGCATGTATTATGATTGTATAGAATGTTTGTTAAAACCTCTACCATACACCTTGAAAAGCTTCGAACTAATCTACCTATAATTAGGTACTCAATAATTATACATGTACATTATTACACTGTACTGGAATATCGATGAAATCATTTAAAAAAAAAGAAGATAAAACGGAGATCAAATTAGAGATGAAATCATGTCAATGACATGATTTCATAATGTAACTGAGCCAGCAGTATTCACCAAAAGACACGTAGACACCCCATAAATGCGTGGTAAATGAGGCGTACATACCTACTACAAAAATACACGTACACGTAAGTACTACATTATATAAGTGCTTGCCAGGTATCTAGAGATGGAGTCACACATTATATAAGTGCTTGCCAGGTATCCAGAGATGGAGTCTTGACCGACTGCTTGCGTGCAAAAAAGCCCATACCACCAATGCACGGCTTGCCACATGGACACACGTCCCCAAGTCCAGCATGCAGTAGGCTCCAGCGGATTATGACCACATAAGTATTGGCATAATAGCATGCATGCACAACTTGTAAAATGAAGTGCAGTCCATAGATCTATGATTCGTGTTTTTCCCCTGATTTTCTAGTAGGAGATGAATATTTCAACTCAGCCAACGATCAGCTACTTTGCACCTCCAAACTTCTGCTCCCACTGCGCTGCCAGTGAATTCTGCTTGGTCATCCGCTTGGGTGCTGCGCCCTGTACATGCGTGGACGAAGACCAGACAGGTACCAACCAATTACATGTGCACATAATTATGGTCACATGTTACAAATTGATTATGAATTGTGATTGTTGTGTTGGTCACAAGTAACTAGGGGTCAAACGGGTATATCTATATCTCACGACCCAGCTCACTAGATCAAGCCAAGGTGTGGGTTCTCTTCACTCAGTATAGTCGAGCGACTCGCGAGCTGCAACTCCCAGTGCCGAAAGGCGGGCTCACGCGGCTACATAGTTACTTCCCCGTGTCTACCCCCCCCCCCCCCCCCCCAATTAACCGAGATGCTGGGCCGATCCATTCGCTGCTCCGCAAAAGTACTACAGCTTGATTTCTACTAAAACTTAAAGGCCTAACAGCTTCCATTACGCGCTACACTACGTACCTTCTCAGGGCTGCTGCTAGGCTGGCTGAAAGTTGGACCAGTGGAATAGGCTGACGCTGCGTCCTTGACGCTCACAGGTGCAGATCCCATTGAGCTAGAAGAAGTAGTAGCGCCAGCCAATGCTTTGGCGGATGCTTCTCTGGCAGCCATTGCCTCTTCCTGCACATACATGTAGAGTGGGTGACATCATACATGTAGAGTGGGTGACATCATACATGTAGAGTGGGTGACATCACATCATGCATGTACATGCCGACACAGACGTTACGAAACGTAGTGTTGGCCTTTGCAATGACGTACAAACTGGCAACGCATGTTTGAAAGTAGACCAAGGCGTAACTTCTGGCAACTGAAAACTATGGAACTATTCCACTGTTATAAGTACAATGGTAAATACATTGTACGCCAGGCCAGGGGCCAGGGCGTCACATATACGCCTTCCTTTGGCACTTCGCAAAGCGAATGCGGCAAAGTAAACACCTTTTTCGAAATACTGCCACGGTAGTGGTGGGACAAATTGCCTGTGCCTACACTCTAAGCGTCGTCACTGACCTTCTCTCTCTCAGCCTTCTTTTTCAGGGCGTCATCTTTGGCTTGCTGAGCACGCTGGGAGTCCACTTCGCGCTGCTCTCTCTCCTTCTCGAACTCTGCCTGGCGACGTCGGACTTCCTCTTCCTCTTTCTGCAGGGTACAGGTTGAACAAAAGATTTCGATGGATTTCGAAAAAACTTAAACGGGGAAGGTGGAACTCATGTGGAGACCTTATGTCAACGGAGTCTCCAAAGCCTCAATAGCACTGCATGCAGTGCGTCCTGCAGCCCCTGGTCAATACTTGCCTCGTTTGTCCTAGTCTACGCAGCTCCGCGTCGCGTGGTCGTCTTTTTTTAACCATTTCCGAGTTTGGTATATGAATTATTATTATAGTCTTGAAAATGCTGCAGTAGTCTACGCTTGTATTCTGAATGTAGCGACAGGAGGTGGAGAATTCGCTTCGATCGTCTTGAAAATATAATGAGTGCGTTGCCCGTCTCCTCTCGGAGTCTCCTTCGTTACATTTACATCTCCAAGCGAAGTCAGGCACCCTGATGGTTCTCCTGCCTGGGGGTGGAAAGCACGTTCACACATACATGTATACATGTATTGGTAATCTATCCTGCAATCATGATAACCTCACACTTGTCACAGGCCAGCACCTAAAAACTTAGTGAAAAGCCATGTTGTCAGCCACATCTGTATCCCCGATGGCGAACTGTAAGTGACTTTCCTTGGAGTGCGAACACGAACGCGAATTTCGTCTTTCTAATCCTCCGTAGGGTTCCCATGACAATATTTAAACTACTAGTACTCGACTTGAAATCAGCCGTAGTTTTTTAAATTGCCTGTTGACGCCAGTAACAAACCGATGAATTTCGTTTTGGTTAGCATGTTCTTCAACTTGCCTTTGGAATATGATTATTGCCATCGTCACCTACATTGTATACTTATACATGTACTGTACATGATCTACCCGGTACCGGTACCGTACCTGTACCTGTACCTACACAGTTTGCAATGGGCGCAGCGTGGGTACTAGTAGTAATCTGCAACATAACAGGAATCGCAAACGGCAGAATAATCTCCCTAATCTCCTCGCCAGACATGGTAGGTAATGAGTCACTACAGCTGCTTTGAAGTCGAGCAGGAAAGACAATCATTGACTTATGCCTAATGATTTGCTGCACTACTAGACTAGGACGGTTTTACATGCATACCTCGCAAAGTGTATTACAGTACAGGCAGTGTATGGATGACTGTGAAGCCGTCATAGTCTACAACGTAGCACAACATCGATCGTGAAGCCGTGAAGGCTGAAGCACGAAAACACAGATCTGAACATGAAGGTAGACCTCCCAGCTCCATTGAATATCTTCCAGACATAATGCTTACAAAATCAAAGTTGTCAGTTAGAGTACGGGTACAAGAACATGATTGAATCTACATGCAGAACGTACCTTTCTCCGCTCCAATGCCTTCTCACTCTCTTGGGACGTTGACACCGGTTTCCTGTGCACCCCAGGTCATATGTACAGTGTCTTTAATAGTTCGTGGTCGTCGTCGTGTAGGTCGGGGGTTAAAATATCTATTACTACACCACGACTTCCCGGTGACATAGCTGATTGTGCTACAGACAGTCAACCTGCTTACCAGCTACATAATCATTGGACATCAGTCCAGTAGTACCGTTTCAACAGTGCAGCCAATACTCAACCAGGCAATAGTCACATGTAGTACAATCAGTCATTCAGTCATGTATGACTGTACTCAGTTTTCACAGTGCCTACAGTGGACGGTCTGGACTCTGGAGTCTATGCCTTTGTATAAATGGAGCGGAGAATTCGGGAAATACAGTCAGCAAGTGACTATCACCGTGAAGGCTTCATGGTGACAACCGAACAGTTTGAACTTCTCCTTGCCCAACTTTAGAATCACTGAGACTGTCTTCTACTTTGAAGTAGCACAATCGAGTACTATACAATGTACATGATTGTGTGACTGTACATGATCCATGTCTACATTCAGTATACGGGTAGTCCAAGACCGGGGAGTCGTGAAAGCCCAACTCCATGTTATGTCCAATACTGTGAAAGGCAATCATTGGGTGATGCGCAAGCTTTGCAAGATATGCATGACTGTGAATCACTGTAGATCATGATGACTAGCTTGTGACATTCATTAAATTTTAATTAAAAACCTGACAAAACAGTGCATGAGTGTGTCGTCTAATGACCTGAACAGGACTAGACTGTAGTCATTCAAGCTCCTTATGTGTCAGAATCGCTTGCAGCTGCAAGCGTGGTTCGCCTTCCCCTCCTTTAGATTTCTCCTTCAACACTTCCATTGTCACTACAAGTATTTTCACGCTTGAGATTTCCGGGATAGTAGCCATTTATTTGCCTTTGGAAAATGAGTCAAAATGAAAATTAATGAAAGATGAAATGACCTGGCTGAATACGTACATTACTCCGTGTGACTTTCCACACGACTTGGCCATGCAGAATGGTGAAAGGCTATCTCCGGTTGTGACCATGGTGTGAACACTGAACTGCTCTGCACATTTGTGCACCCCGCACTCCCCCCCCCCCCTCCCCCCCCCCCCCCCCCCCCAGCAACAGCGCCTTTATACATAATAATTATTATGTAAAACTTGTACAACGTCATGTAGTTATGACTAGCAGTCCACCAAGGTAACGAGATATTATTATACGGTCAGATAGTGCGACAACAAGGCACAACACTGACAAGGATATTGAGACATTCGACGACCTGATTCCTAGCATCTACGAAGCGCAAACCAACAACCTTCCAACTGGGAAGGCTCAGGTGCGGAAAGATCCAATGAGGGGAAGGGACATCAACATGGAGTTAAGTAGGATATTTGCTTTCGGTTCGTGACAGTTCGTCTTCGCTTGGCTTCCCGTCTTCATGTATTTTTACATACCTTTGAGCCTCCCAAGTTGGGTGGTCTGTTGCCTTGCGTTTTCGAGTTGTAGTTAGACCGGTTTGTCCAATGGTCTTACTAGTCTCGTCATCATCATCCCGTAACGTTCGACTTTCTTTGTTGCCGAGGGACATAGCTAGTGCACAATTCAGGCGCGTACGCAGGGTCTCCTCTAGGGGGGTTTCCAACCGAATCGCAAACGACTCGTTTTAACCCCTTTCTAAAGAGTCCTAGGGAATTTTTCAAAATTATGCATTTTTTCGTGTTCTTTGGATCATAACTTCAGTTCTACTCACTCAATCTTCACTATCTTAGGCTTCCTGGAAGTGGAAAGGTAGACCTACCAGGGAGAGAATGAGGTCGACCATGATAGCCAGGAGTCTGGACACAGTACAGCCACGTACATAATTATCCAGCGCTATATATTATTATGCTATAGAGTATAGGCTAGCGGTAGAGTGCAGCGACAGTGCGAAAAAATGCCCCAAACTGCACTGGGCCAAAGGCCCAAATTGCAAACGCGTCCTGCTCCAGCGATTTCGTTTTTCTTGATTGCAGAGTTTCGATTTTTTTGTGTACTCTTGAAAATATCACACGTGAAGCCCCTGCAAATTTGAGCAGGTCAGCGTGACGAAAAGTTTCAAATTCTCGATACTCGAGAGTCGCACTGCGCGCTTTTGACAAGATCGCGGCTCAACTAATAATTAAATTATTACTTACGAACGATTTATCTCAAGAGACATTGCTCGCAGCGCGTCGCAAATTGTTTCAACCGACAGCTGAGAGTTTTCTATTCGACCTGGATCTGGATTTGACTGAGTTACGATCTGTTGAAGTTTTGCATTCTTGCCAGATCGATCGTGCGCCCTACCAAAATATGGCCAAAAACGTTGCTCGTTTGGAACAGTTGGGGGGGGGTTTCCGGGCAACGGGAACCCCCCCCCCCCCCCCCCCGCGTACGCGCCTGCCGTGCCATCTTCGTGGAGCACCCCTTCCCCTCATTCCGCACCTGAGCCTTCCAAGTAGCTGGAAGGTTGTTGGTTTGCGCTTCGAGCTTCGTGGATGTGTTGGAGCTACGTAACCAGTAACAGGGTGTCAGGTCGTCGAATGTCTCAATATCCTTGTCAGTTTCGTGCCTTGTTGTCGCACTATCTGACTGTATTATTTCGTTACCTTGGTCGGGACTGTTAGTCGTAACCAGTAACTCATAGGTCCTTTTCTCTTTCCATAATTATAAATTATGTGCTCAAGTTGGGTAAATACAATGACCTTATGTGCTGTACATGTACAGTACCAGTTTCTGGAGCGGGAAACGGCTGTTTAGCACGCAGTCACTTGAATGCACGAATACTACAAAACCACTGCCGAATTAGCAATCACTCTACACGCAATTCATTTGCATTACATATTCAAAATGCACTGATGGACAGAGTAATGATTACAAAATACAGTACATGTCAAACTCTCATGTCTGCTTGGACGTTTCCCAAACAGTGGTCACCATGCATGCAGCTGTTGAATTTCTCAGTAGATAATGAGCGTTTTTCGAAGTCACTGATGATACTGTGCTGAAAGTAGGGGTCAAAGGGGTGTACCGGGTACCCGACCGTTAATCTCAGGTACCGTTAGTAAAAGGGTACACGTTTGGATTTTGATGAACCAGTCAGTACGGAGCAACACTGCTGGGATCGTGTATTCCAGGCGGGAGTTAATTATTTACTACTCCACGCTGGATGTCTGCATTGTTGTTGCATTTTCGCACCTAGTAGATCTACTCCTGCGACTATCAGACACCAATCGATTTGCGAATCACAATGTGATATCAAAATGCAACCCGAGAACAGATGAATTAAAATCTTGATTTAGGTGAAAATTGCGCAAACACTTAAACATGGCTGCTAAAAGGTACCCGTTAACCCGCCCTTTAAGAAAATTACCCGTTCGTTAGTTAAAGGTACACCCGTTTGACCCCTAGCTGAAGGGCAAAATATCAGTGGCATGAAGATAATAACAGTACATTGTACTGTTACAGTGCTGGACAGTGAATGCTTTCAGGGATGCAATTGTGTCAAGCTGTGATAGTGGTGCCTACACATGTCCCCCAAGACCTTGAACGCCAGACAATTGTGTCAAGCTGTGATAGTGGTGCCTACACATGTCCCCCAAGACCTTGAACGCCAGACGGCTACGCATTTCAACGCGGTGCAGATTTGTGCAAGAGGGCAAGAGGTTGAATTCCACTACCGCCAGGACTGTAGCGCTATTGCACAGCACAAATTAATGTATTCCACCCGGAGTGGGTCACCTTTACACACCTGTAGGGAAAAGCACCACCATGAAGGCTAAGGGCCTAGGTGCAGTTGTTACAGCAATCTGACCGGGTGCAAGTGGGTGACTACTGTCTGTAAGACATGTTATTATAACGAGTTGCAAATAATTAATTTAACGATTGTCCAAAATTCATAGGTTAACGAGACGGTACGTTCACTAACTTGCAGTCTTCGGGCATATCTGCACATAACACATATGAGGCACTACAACCTCAACAGAACTTAAATTTATAACAGAGAAATGCAACTCGTTAAAACGTTAGAATTACTTCCTTGTTATATTTACATGTCTTACAGTACACCCGATACAAGAGAGCGTACCCACCACAAAGTGGTCAAAGAGTGCTAATCCTACTGGCTGCACCCATGTAAATATTATCATTTGCATATTGAAAGCTTAGCATACAAGTAATGTAAATCCTTGGCAAACACACACACACGCACCCACACATGCAAACACACACACACACACACAGAGAACCCCATACATTCACCACACGAGAAGATGCAGCAGAGTTGCAAGCATTGGAACAGCATCCAAGCCTCGGTTCCATGAATATACCCGATACCAAATGAAACTTCAATAAATTCCACAAGTCTGTCTGGTCATCGGGAGGTTAGGGTATGCAGAAAATACACATTATTTTGCTTCAAGGACAGATCAAAAAACAAACAACACAGAACAAACCAATGGAACCATTCATACAATTGTCATTCTTACGAGACTGAACAAAAGGGTTTGGAGATAAAAGGTGACAACTTGTATAGTTCAACCAACTGTAGCTGATAAGAAAAAACCGTCTTTACTGGCCAGCAGTGTGCCGGACTGACCAATAGCCCTCTAATTCATCTGTTAGCTAGTTTCAGTGAGATTGGAGCATATGCATTATGTCATAGTATCATAGATGTTTTATCAAACCCAGTTTATATATTTTCAAGAGACTCTGTTGACTAGAAAGCACTGCTGAAATATACATTGAGTGCATGTGCGTGCTTTATCAGGTCATTTCCGTGAGCCGTACGCGTATGCATATGCACAGCATCGAGGCAGTACATGACACCAACACACCTGTCAGTGCATATGCGTAAGTTACACGCATTCAAGGATACGTGCGTATGCGTGTCTGCTCTGTGTGTATGCTCACATGCATGCAAGTGCGACGGAATGGCTAACTGTACCGGGAAAACGGCTACGATATCGTACACGTAGGTGCGCTGAAAAGTAGATAACATACTAAGCGTGTCATAACTCTCGGTTTTGTTCAAGCACATATATACACATTCAAATTGCGTATGATGCAATACAAAGCAGCATAACTTTGCTAGCATGAAAAACGGGAGTGCAGCACTCTGCATTCGCACTCAGATAATATACCGGCAGTTTATCAAGTGTAAACGGTTAGAAGCAGATAGTACTGCGGCCGTGCACAGTCAGCGCAATACCTACACTCCTCAGCAGTAATCTATGCAAACTGTGCACATAAGAGTGCACTCGGGACCGGTTGGTGGCGTTCATTAGCGGATTTATTGGGACGTATTAGTGCATCAACATATTACCAGCATAACATTGGATTATCTCTGTATCACTTCAAGTGTCAGCAGCCCACTCGGGGCCGAAAAGTAAATCTGACATCTCACGCCAAGATAGATTAAAACCGGATACACGCATTCTTACGTGGAAAAGTGTGATGACTGCCCGGCCTTCTGTTCCCACTTGCTGGCCAGCTGCGATCCCCGGCGTGCTGATATGCCTGATCCAATGCTAGCCTATACGCAGTCAAACACAAAGTGAAAAGATACGAGTTTCTGTACACGTTCAGTGGTTTTTCTGGGTGCACTTGAAACCGCACTTCGATTCATTCAACTTATCCAGAAAGCACGGTGGCGTAGATAAGACCCTGCATCTGGATCTCAGGGCAAGAAAATGCCCTCATATCTCTATTATGTGGGCACTGTTCATCACTTAGAAATGTCCGTGATTCCGGATCACATACACTTCAATGAAGAAGGGCCAGAGAGTGGGCATCATATTACGTCACTAATTCCACAAAACTGGCTAAAGAGTAGTAATATTTCCACTAAAACTCACCCACAGGGTGTGCCCGGTAGACCAAGGTGTCTGTGACTTTGGATAATCAGTGGTTTGCCCCCACAAGGGACTTGAGCAAGCTGATAAGAAAACCATTGTACTAGCTCATTCTTTCCAATTATCATTTCCGTTTGCATTCCTTTTGTCCAGCAACACATGACAAAACAGTGCCACAGAAAAGCACCTGAATAGCTCAGTGAGCCTCACCTCTTCTTGCTTGCGCTTTTCTTCTTCTTGCTTGCGGATGAATTCCTTCTCCTTTTGCAATCGCTTCTCTTCCATTTGAGCCTGGCGTTTGTCAAAGTCTGGTACGGCTTCGATTTTCGTCCTCCTCTAGGAAAAGAATATTTTAAAGTCCAGTCTCGCTGTCAGTGATACTAGCACACTAAGTCTGCTTGTACCAGAATAGTACACATATACAGGAAAGATAAGGCGGCGTCAACTATGATGTGTGTGTGCGCGTGTACGCGTGTGTGCGCATGTGTGTGTGCGTGTGCATACATATGTGTGCAAAAGCCAATCAAATTCAGTGAATCAGTCATAGAAGGCATGTAAATCACATTAGACTATTAAATAGTCTATTTTCAAGTATTTTGTTTACAATAGGCGCATACATGTACATGTATGTTGCTTATAAAATGATACGCATCATGGAAATCATCATTTCCACTACGTAGTAGCAGAATAGACATTTCGACTCACGCTTCTAATACGCTCCAGCCTGGCCTGTTCTGCTTGCTCAGCGCTGATCCCTGGAGCAGCTGCCTGTGCTGGCGTGTCCGTGTCCGCCGGCTTGGTCTTTGGTATGAACTCCAGCTCTTCCACTGTGCTGATCGTTTTCTGCAGGACATCCTCGCTCTTAGAACTCAAACTGGGTGATCCGGTGGCCACTGTGGTTGGCTGTAAGATACCTGCCGTGGCTTGCTGTGAGGGTTGTTGCTGTGTATTCGAAGCAAGCGGGGGCAGCAGAATGAAAAAGAAACAGGGACCAAGAGTTACTATTTTATCTAGCAGGTTAGTGTGAGCATGGTATCCTTTTGGGAAGCACAATCATTTATCTAGCGCTCATACTCAGCGGATCGACGTCGGTTAGGCAGTAGTCACTACGCCAAGGTACATCCATCCTACAATATGGCAGCAGCCTTGGTGTTCAGTTGTGAGCTTGAGTAGTGTATTGGTGACTGCTGTACACTTGGATCACAGCAAAATCGGGATGCACAGGGCTAGCAGCAGCTGCAGCGGCAGCAGACGCGACAGCAGCATCGAGCGCTAGCAGCAGCGGCAGCGGATGCGACAGCAGCATCGAGGGCGATAGCAGCATCGAGGGCGACAGCAGCATCGAGGGCGACAGCAGCATCGAGGGCGACAGCAGCATCGAGGGCGACAGCAGCATCGAGGGCGACGGCAACTGCAGCGGCAGCGGAGGCGGACGCGACAGCAGCATCGGAGGCGACGGCAGCGGCGGCAACAGCAAGTGCTCACCGCATGTTGCAAAGCTGAGTAATCTCCCGTAACAGGTTGTTGGACTCTGGCAAGACATGGACCAGACCCTTGACCAGCCTGACTGATGGCACCAGTGGCCGCAGCAGCAGCAGCAGGGGCCATGGCTGTGGGTTGTGGTGCACTGGGTTGTTGATCTGAGCTGGCAGCTGCTGCTGCTGCTGCTGTTGTTTGCTTGGCCCGGAGTTGGGACAGCGAGGGGCTGCTTGTCCGCGGCTGTTGAGTTACTTTCGCTGGTGATCCGGCTGGTGCTCCAGTGGTTTTGTGCTTGAGAGCAGGCGACGTGCTGTTCAGAAGATCGGCCCATTCCTTGTCAATGTCCAACACCAGGGATTTCTGAATCTCCTCAACTTGCTTCTGTTTGTCTTCTTTAGATGGCCTGGACTTGCCCCCATCTGCAACAGTCGTTCCCCTAAAGCAGAGATACATAACGTTACATGAGGACAAAGGGAAAACGTGTAAGTACAAAGTGTTCAGCCAACCACTGCATTGAAGGAAACAGAAACACGTAATCCACACTTGTTTCCACAGAATCAAGGTCTGCGTGCAAGTGAGTGCAGTCACCACTATAGCCGTGGCAGGCTAAACGTGCTTGTACGAAACTGCTGCCGAATGCCCCGCTTGCTGAGGTAATGGTCCCGGAGATATCCACAAAATTTGAAAGCTTACATTCACAGCAGATTCGTTCACCACGATTGAGACACACAAACAATACCGCACAAATATTCACTTACGCCGTGAGCTGTCCAGAATCTTTTTTCGCTGCTGCCTGTTGCGGACCTGATGCATGGGGCTGCTGCTGAGGCATAAACCCTTGCCCAAACGGCTGCCCTGACGTGGCGGCAGGCTGGAACTGATCTCCAAATCCACCGGTACCTGTAGCACCTGCTTGTGGAACTGCTGTCGATGGTGCAAAGGGGGCTGTGCCGAACGGTCCAGGAGCCCCTGCGGGTTGTGCCGCGGGGGCTGATGCAGTTGTTGCTGCTGTGATCGGAGGGAATGCAGTAGATGTGAATGCCACTGGAGCTGCCGCAGCCCGTGGTGCTAGTGGGGCGGAAGCAGAGGCAGTAACCTGCATATGTGCTGGTGGAGCTAGAGCTTGTTGGCTTGTTGTGTTGAAAGCCGAGAAAGCATCAACTGCAGCTGGTTGTTGTTGTTGCTGCTGAGGCTGTGCAAACTCTCCAGTTTGTGTGCTGGGCAGAGAAGAGGTGACCAAAGAGGAAGAAAACCCTCCCGTCTGATCAGGCGGCATAGATGAACTTCTGTTAGCTGTCTGCTTCAAGTTGTCCCGGGATGAAGGCGGTATTGGAGGCGATGGTTTGGCTGCAGGCACCTGGCTGCTCAATGGATTACCAAAAGAACTTCCAAAGGGATCAAAACTAGGCTTGTTTGGAGCTTGTCCTGATCCAGCAGCGCTTCCAAACGGTGCACCACCAAATGCATCAGTTGTGGCAGCTGTGGACGGGGAGAACGAGTCTCCAAATGCAGAGCTGACAACGTTTGGTGCACCATCAGTCTTGGCTGGACTGGGAGAGAACGACGTTAGTCCAAATGGATCCACATTGCTGCTGCCAGACGTCTGATTGGAAGACTGCTGCTGTGTTGTAGATGATGCTCCAAAGGCATTATCTAGGGGGTTGAATGATGATCCTGGGCCAGTACTGCTGCTTTTCAGAGGTGCATGTTGGTCAGGAAGTCCAAACGCATCATCAAAGCCAGAAGTAGTACTTTTTTGTGCCGAAGTGTTGGCAACAGCAGCAGCTTGAAGACTTGCTGTGGATGAGGGTGTACTGAAAGCACCATCGAATCCAGACTGTTGACTGGCAGCTGTGGATGAAGCCGCACCAAAGGCATCGCCAAAACCAAACTGTTGGGGCGCTGCTGTTGCTGCTGCTGCGGATGGCTGCTTTTCTGATGAGCTGCTGTCAGTAGTCTTAGCTGCTGACTGTACAGGAACAGGAGCAGGAGCAGGACTGGCACTAAATGAGTCGCCAAATCCAAACGATGAGTCAGCTGCCTGAGTGGCATTGCTCGAGATTCCAAATGCACTATCAATACTCTTCCTGCTATCTGGGGTTTGAGTGGGAACGGGAGATTTCGATGCAAAGAGATCATCAAATTTCAGCATGCTCTGTGGAGCATGGACATTCACTGCTGGTGGATGGTTGGAAGTGGTAGCAGAAATGGCAGAAGCAGCAGATGCAGGAGGAATGACCGGAGAACTTGCTTGCAGTGTGCTGGCTCCCCCTGCTGCAACTGGTGGAGGAGTGGCATCACTGCTTTTTGCTGTCGTTCCTGATGAAAATGAGGATCCAAATGGTTCAAATGAGCCGCTAAATCCATCATTAAAGCCCAGTGGTTTGTCCGCCGCAGGCACAGCAGCTGTGCCTGAAGTAGCACTGCCAACAGCAGTGTTGGCTGCTTCGGCTACTCCTGGCTGCCGTACCTTGGCTGGCGTAGTAGCAGTGCTCCGTTGTGTTGGTGGTACTGGCGGTGGGATGGCCTTGCTGCTTGGCGCAGTGGCTGCTTCGACTGTTGCAGGAGCAGCAGCTAAAGCGGCAGTAACAGCAGTAGCAAGTGTGCTTGCATCAGAGCTTGCCACACTAGGTGGCATAGCAGTCTGATTGCTCGTTTTGTCAGCAGGTACGCTCGAGAATGCAGCATACTTGTCCGACACTTCTGCTGCTGTTTGCTGGTCACTGACATGGGTTGTGTCCACAGTGCTACCCGGTGTGCTTGAGGCAGGAGCGCCAACAGGGGTTGGTGTCAGCAATGCTGGTTGCAATACTGGATCAGTGTCCGTGGAAGCAGCAGCAGCAGCAGCAGGCGCTGTAGGCAATGCAGACACACTATGCGCCTCGGCCTGAGACTGACTTGGAAAGTTGGCAAAAGAATCTCCAAATGCAGCGACTGCATCGCTGCTTGATGCGACGGTACCTTGCGAAGAAGCAAAGGGATCGTTGACCATGGTGGGTTGGCCAACAGAAGATGACATGCTGGTAGCTGCAGTATTGTCTTTGCCAGTGAAAGCATCATTGAACGGAGCTGATGTTGTGAAGGCGTCCTGGCCAGCAAACAGATCTCCGTGTGGTGCATTGCCCCCAAAGCCAGTTGCTACTGATTCTTTAAGCCTGTCACTATCCAGTGGAGCAGCTGTGTTAGGATGCTCCTCGGCAGTATCTCTAGGTTGATCAAAATTGGAATCGCTACCAGCGTCTGCCATTCCTTCCAACGGAGCAGCTGGAGCAGGTACTGCAGTACTGGCTGGGCTGGCATCTGCCATGCCGAATGCATCGGCGAAGCCACCAGACTGAACCGGTTTCTCGCTTCCACCATCAGCCGGAGTGTCAAGCACTCCGAACGCATCCTCAAATCCGCTCGGTTTCCCCGAGGTTGCTGCTGACGGTTCTAGACTAAGCTTGCCAAAGGCATCATCAAATCCACTAGCTGCTGTGGTCGAGCTGGAACCACCTGTAAAGCCAAACGCATCATCAAACGCCACTGGCTTTGTGGATGCAGTGCCAGCACCGAAAGCATCAAACTCACCGGGTTTAGTCTCTCCTGCTGCACCCGCTGAGCTGCGAAACGGATCATCAAACAAAGACTGCTCAGTGTGCTCACTGGCCTTGACAGGGTCTGCAGCGGCCGACGATTTCACTGCTGCTGTTTCAGGAGCACTTGCAGTGAACGGGTCGCTGAACCCAATAGTTGCTGCTCCTGTGCCAGATGGTTTGGCTGCTTCAACAGATGCTGCCGATGCAATAGAAGGAGCGCGAGGGAGGCTTGGCGATCCATCGCCTCCTTTGTTGGTTGCTGATATCTGTGCAGCAAATGGGTCATCGGGAAAGCCGGTTGCAGGTGCTACAGTGCTTGCAGGCAGACCATCACCTCCTATGCTGGTTGCCGATATCTGTGCAGCGAATGGGTCATCAGGAAAGCCGGTTGCAGGTGCTACAGTGCTTGCAGGCAAACCATCACCTCCTATGCTGGCTGCCGATATCTGTGCAGCGAATGGGTCATCAGGAAAGCCGGTTGCAGGTGCTACAGTGCTTGCGCTGCTCATACTGCTATCATTGCTGGACACAACCTGTAGTGTGGTGCTGCTGGTCGTACTGGCAGTCAGGTTGTGGCCAAACGGATCATCCAACTGCTGAGGCTGCTGCTGCTCAGTCTCTTCTTCCAATGCCTCCAGGCTCTGAGGAGTCGTAGAAAGTGCAGGCAAATTGGAAGAACTGGGAAAGGGAGAGGGAATATCACCAATCGCCTTTGCTGTAGAGCTGAACGGATCAGCGAACATGCTGTCATCACCTCCAAACGGATCATCCGCACTCATTTGAAATGGATCCGCAGAGCTAAACGGGTCATTCTCTCCGGCTGTCACGTCCGCAAAAGGATCCATCTTGGGCTGCTGCTCAGACACTTCACGTGCAGTTAAACTGGCAAAGGAGTCGTTCGTGAACGGATTGTCGTCGGTTAGGCAGAATGCATCAGCTGGCGGCTTCTCCTTGTCAAACGCAGCGCCGTCTGTTTGTTGTACAGGTGAGAAGGCAGCAGCTGAGGAGATGGCACTGCTACCGTCACTTGCTTCTTGACTTGCCAAGTCACTGGCTACGGGTGCGGCTCCACTACTGTCGCGCAAGAAGCCAGCTGGACGCTTGGATGAGAAGCTGACCCAGCGACTTCCTTTCCTTGTCGGCACCCTTCGCTCGTTGACGGAGACCTTCTTGGCACCGTCCTCAGACGTGTTCGCGTTGCTGCCGTTGCTACTGCTGTCACCACCAGAGCAGGATGGATCGCGGATGGACGCTGACTTCCTCACTCGTGTTGGTATGCTGGTCGTGCTACGTCTCTCAGTGGTGCCTGGAGCTGCGGGTTCGGCTGCACTTTGACTTGGCTCAGCCACTGTTGGTGCCGCATCCACTGCTGCGGGTTCGGTGCGTTTTTCTTCGTCCACTGCTGATAAACGATCGTACTAACAGAACACGACAAAAACCAAAAAGCAAAGCCACACAGGGAATGACACACACACAATGATGATATCAAACTAACAAGGAGCAGGTTATATTCGGAGTGAATTCTGCCAATGATCTGATAACTCTCACACCAAACGTCAGGCACCAATCAAACTGCAACATGCCGCAAAGAGTGAGTGATAGCTAAGGTGCCAACAGCACCAGTGCACTGCACATCACTAATACAATGCAGAGCACAAAAAAAGGGGTCAGCACGGATGTGGCTGACACACTATACAGTGCACTGCACAAAAAGGGGTCAGCACAGGTGTGGCTGACACACTATACAGTGCACTGCACAAAAAGGCCTGAGCACAGGTTTGGGTGATATGCGCGTGAAACAGAGAGATCAAGGTCACCACAGCCCGACACAGGCAGGCTACGGTTATCTTCCCTCTACGCCTCCCCCCCCCCCCCCCCCCCCCCACGCCTCCTTCCCGGGGCCCTGTATTTCAGACAGCAGAGAACTACATCATAGTTCATGCGCTGTACCACAAAGTTTCTTCTGTAGCCATTCGCATAGGATGTTCAATGCAAAGCAATATTTAGTTAGACAGACCTGCCAAAACCTGCACCAGCATATGATCTCAAAATTCAGTAGATTAGCAGCACCAGCCACAGTGGACAAACTGGCACACACACATACCGCAATGCTGCAAGTACCGGGGACAGTATTTTGTTTCTGTAGTTAGAAGCTATCTAGTTGGCTACACAGTGTACATGCTGAACCTCACTGAACATACAGGACTACGGTTGTGTGTGTGTGGGGGGGGGGGGGGGGGGGTGCGAGCGCATGTGTGCGTGCGGAAAAAAATTCTTCGGGAGAATCTTGACATTGCAAAAGCCTGGTCAGTGAAAATGTTCAGATGGTCATACATGTGCTCCTGGCCCAAGAGCTCAACTTACCGACTGCACGAGTGACGGTCCATCAACGTCATTCGGTAACATGTCGCCTATTCACATGTGCACACACACACACACACACACACACACACACACACACACACACAGAAAACCAGTCCCAAGAACTGAATGACCTGCAGTATGTCGTGAATTCACCACATCACCAGGCCCTTTATACGGTGTGGATTGTGCAGTCCAGATTGATAGAACAGACAACATCCAACCCCTCTAAAGCCAGAGATCTGAGCTGCACCAAGGCAGCACCGTGACTCCCCTACGGGTGTTTTGCGCCTTAAAGGACGTGCCTTGAAGTACCCGTTACAACCCGGGTCTCTGGCAACCTATATCCAAAAGAGAGCCAGGTTCTACACATAGTTGACTTGCCAGTCATGTCGGCTGTCTACCGCCACACAGGCGTACCGGTACTTGAACATGTTGCATTCCATGGTACCATTCATTGACGTATGGATACATGTGATTTTGAAACGAGTGTGGGTTGAATGCAACTGTGTTGTATCTATGTGAGAGTGTGTGTATGTGTGTATGTGTGTGTGTGTGTGTGTGTGTGTGTGTGTGTGTGTGTGTGTGTGTGCGTGCGTGCGTGGGTGCGTGCGTGTGTGTGTTGAATGCAACTGTGTTGTATCTACGTGAGAGTTCGTGTACTTCGAAGTATGTGTGCGGTACTGCTCACCTCTTCTCAAGAAGCGCATCAAGTGCATGCAGAGAGCAAACTCTGCAGGTGCAAGCTGCCCATCAAAGTCCATGTCAGCCAAACTCCTGGAGGCCGGAGGCAGGTCACGGCAAACACACATCATTGAAAGCACATGTTTAAAGGGGAAGTTAAGGCAAAAATTAAAATTTCACCAGTTGTAGTCTTCGGGGTGCTGAGTCGAATGGTCTTGGTCCGAGAAAGCTGAGACGCTCCCTTCCTACTTGAATCCCAATCGAACTTGCGCACTTCCACCGAAACTGGGTGACTGCGCCCTACTAGATGGGGATTTGTATGCAAAATGTCACTAAAAGCGCCGTTTCGTTCTTATAAAAGCAAGGATGACCGCGATTGGCCCATATGTTGTAGTCTTTTGGACGCTGAGTCGACTGGTTTTGGTCCGAAAAGGCTGCGATGCAGCGTTCCTCCTTTATTCCCAATCGAACATGGTTGAACAAGTGGTCACGTGCTCCTGGGTGCCCAAATCACCTGGTCACCACGCCAGCAGGCGACAACTTTCACACCAAGGTTCAACTCGAGTGACAGGACTGCACCCAAAAAAGGTCAAACAGGCTAGTAAGTTGTACCCTGCAGGCACGGTGACCAGGTGACTGGTGTACGCAGGAGCACGTGACCACTTGTTCAACCATGTTCGATTGGGAATAAAGGAGGAACGCTGCATCGCAGCCTTTTCGGACCAAAACCAGTCGACTCAGCGTCCAAAAGACTACAACATATGGGCCAATCGCGGTCATACTTGCTTTTATAAGAACGAAACGGCGCTTTTAGTGACATTTTGCATACAAATCCCCATCTAGTAGGGCGCAGTCACCCAGTTTCGGTGGAAGTGCGCGAGTTCGATTGGGATTCAAGTAGGAAGGGAGCGTCTCAGCTTTCTCGGACCAAGACCATTCGACTCAGCACCCCGAAGACTACAACTGGTGAAATTTTAATTTTTGCCTTAACTTCCCCTTTAAAAGCAACATCGTGAGTCCTGCACACGTGAGGCCCGGACTTGGAAGGTACAAGTAGTCGACTTGATCTGGTGCACTGAGTTGAACATAGCAACTCCCAAATACTCAGTAGCCGGTACCCCTGTTTACTAGCGTCAGCCATCCCTGTATCCACCCAAACTAGTGCAACCGTCAAACAGCATGTGTACATGTGCATTATACTAACAGTCTAACATATGTACATACTCAACTTGATCTCCATAAAAATAAAAATAAAAAGTAAATTATCGTGTCCGTTCCCGAAGGGAACTCACGACAGCCGCTAACACCCGATAAACCCTAGCGGCATAGATACAGTCATACATAATAGATTGAGTACATACATCCATACATCCCGCACATGGGTACACCATGGCTCACCAGACACGTGCTAGTTGTGTGACAGGTAGATACGATCGCTTCAACAAAGGTTTCGCAGTGTCGCCTGGATGAAAAGAAATGCATGACAAAGCGGAGTTGAAAGTCAAACCAGTATAAGCTACATTCCCCGAACGGTAGAATCAGTGCTCACCTTGTGCACACGCACGCATATGCACGTGCATGGGTGTGCGTGTGTGTGTATGTATGTATGTATGTATGTATGTGCACACACACACACACACACACACACACACAAACACACGCAGGCACGCACGCACACACACACACACACACACACACGCGCGCACAGATGAAACCAGCAAAGACTGAAAACAAGGCTTGAGCACAGAAATGCGTGCCAATGAAACATGCTACACCACATCGCCGCCACCTGCACTGCTCCACTGCATGCAGGCCACCCATGCACACGTTCACATCACATGACTTTCACATCACCTAACATTAAGTTTTTGGCTCACCTTCACAGCCCATACTCTCTGGCGCGCATGCTTCTGGCCCAGAGCAGATCATACGACGAGATTGTTCTAGTAAATGTTATAGTAAGAAACTACCAGTTTACTCTTTGTTATGATCAGTTGGTAGTTACCTTGTATAAAGCCACTGGATTCGCTGTCGAGCTTTTCAAAAGCCGCTACGTAAGCTTTCATCTCAGCCTCCGATATAGCAGGTATCTCGTCTGCCCTCAGTTGGCGTGGGAGGAGGCCTTCCGGGGTACTTTCAGGCAGCTCCGCACCCGACAATTTCACCTTGATGAGGTGCATGGCAATGAGGAACTCGGGCAGACTGAGAGAACCGTCTTCGTCAAAGTCAGCTAGGCTCCTGGTGTGTGGGAATGTGACAAGCAGTCAGTGAAACAGACAGAACGGTTTCATACACCAATGGTTTAGACTTTAGAGGCTGCCACTGCCCTGCCCATGTCTAAAGCAGCATGAACCGCGCTACAGTAAAATAGACTAGGGGTGAAACGAGTGTATCATTAAAAGCTATCGAGCGATCATTCAAACTAACGAGCGATCTATCGAGTACTCGATAGTAATCATTTTCAAGCCATACATTTACTGGCTGAAAGAAAGAAAAAAAAGAAAAAAGAAAAAGGTTCCCTCTCGTTGTGTGCCTTGCAATCATCGTATAACATTTACACATACATGTCGACATATAGGAAATGCTTACAGTATAATTAGTCCTCCTTGTAACTATATTAAAACTGTCTCCGAAACGCTTGTCTAGAAAAAGATTTTTTTTTAATTCTTTGCTGCCGTGAGACTTAGCTTGTGCTCTTCTTCGATGTGCTTTCCTTCCCCTCTTGGGCCTTTTCTAACCTGAGCCTTCCAAGTTGGAAGGTTGTTGATTGGCACCTCGTAGAAGTGTTGGATCTAGGTGTGAGGTCTTCGAATGTCTCAGTACTCCTTGTCAGCCCGTGCCTTTTTGTCACACTAGCTGACTGTACAATTATGATCTGGTTACGCTGGTGGACAGTTAGTCAAAACTCGTAACATGTTGTCCTTTCCTTTAATCCAGCAGTTCCGCACTATGCATGCAGGGCAGGGATGTTATAATATTACAGTAGTCATACGTCTACAGCTGTACTATACACACATGTGCAGAATATCTATCGAGTGCTCGCTAGGCTATCGAGCTTCAGACAAACGAGCGGGTACCCGTCTGGCCGATGTACTCGTGTCACCCCTATAGAAACCCTGCCCCGGTCATAGTGAACAATGCCACGCCCAGGACCACCACCGGGCCCCAGTGCAGCACTGATCAAGCTGCATATATGCCCCAATGTTATATAGGGTGGACATGTATGCAGCTTGATCAGATACAGTCAACCTCGTGTATACCAATCTCGAGTATAACAACAGTTGGCGGATAACAACACAATCTTAGGTGACCTTGAAGTGATCATTTGCGGACTGCATACTTTCGACCTGGCTCATGAACTGATAGCGACGACTTGCGAATAACGGCACCTTTTCATACTACAATCGCATAGCATCAGTGGTCCTACGTTTCGCACCTAACGGAAGTAGGCAATCAGATCAGCTTACACTTTTCCTCAAGGAGGACAATCAGGCTGCGATCAACTTGAAGTATTTACAGCCTCGGTGGCGACCCGCTGGACCCAGGAAAGTAGTAAACCTGCTAGAAGCTCTGCCCGGACACAGACAATCAGGGGCGTCGGAAGGTATTCAACATTGGTGCGGCCGCACGAGTAGGCGGGGGTCGGGGGGTCCTCTCCCGGGAAAATGTTTGGGAAATTGGGCCCAAATAGCCCATATTTCATTGCTTCAAAAGTCGCAAGATGAACTTATTGGTGCGGCTTTGGCCGGACCTCACACCGGTCCCCCCCCCCCCCCCCCTCCCCGACGTCCCTGATAGTGTGCTGCACAGTGGACACCGGCACTGAATAGTACACAGCGGCCTGGCATGCAGCCGTTGCGGATTGATTATTTCAACAGCTATTGCGCACCTTACGGCTACAGTGGTATAGTCACATCAATGTGAAAACACGCCCGGTCATTTAAACACAACATGCTTACTATTAATACTAACCATATTTGACTGAGATCCGGCATAGGCAGTTTCGATTGAATAAAGAAGTTGCGAGCCTGGTCTCCTGCAACAGATTTCAATACAAATATCGGCAACACACACACATACATGTATACATTTGCTGCAGCCCATTCAGTGACCAAAACACGTGAACAGGCGTTAGTGAAGGCCCAATAGACTTTACTGTGACCAATCCTTGCTTAGCATGCATTCTGAAACATTCTTATCCATTAGGTCCAAGCACATACCGGTATGCATGTAAACAATATATTATAGTTCTAGAGTCATTGTTGAACACTGCAACATGGAATATTGAGTAAGCAATCGCTCCTGGCAACCTTACCATCTAGCAATCCATCTTCCGGTGAAAGCGAGTAGAAGATAGAGATGTTCTGGTTCCTTTCCAATGCAGGAATCCGCCACACGGGTGGCGGGGCTTCAACAATGAAAAGAAGAGAGGGGGAGAGAAAGAGAGGGGGGGGGGTGAGTGAGTAAGTGAGAGAGTGGGTAACGTTTAAGTGATTGGATGAGTGCCGGTTGAAGGGAGGGACGAGCGAATATCATACGGAGAAAAAAACTATCGACCTGGATTGAAGGGTTCAATCAATAGTCTTCGTTGCTATAATACAGATCGAGTTCGGATGTTAGGTGACCTCATCATCTGGATGACACAAACTGGGTGAAAAATTGAAAATACCACTTTCCCCTGATATCTAGCCCATTTGATGGTGGTTTAGCGTGTGCGCTAAGCCCTGTTAACGAACATGGAACATCTACCGCTCATACTTACTCTGATGATCATGCATCCTCTGATTATGATGTCATTGCTATACATGCGCATGCGCATCGTGCGCGTCACTCTCCCACGCGTGCTTTCCAAATCTTGCTTTGCAGAAAACTCCTTTGTCATTTCTGCCCAAAGTGGACATTCGAAACGCCTCCGATTATGCCCTGTTGCCCCCTCTGACTGGCACTTGTTGGGTATCTCTTGGGATGGTCGTTACTATTACGAAAAAGTCCTCCCGTTCGGGCTTCGGTCAGCTCCGTACATATGGACAAGTTTGCATCTGCCCTTCACTGGGTTCTGGAGGACACATGCCACATTCACCATCTCATTCATTATCTGGATGACTTTCTGAATGTTTCGCCTCCCAGTCTTCCTCTTGCACAGCACCAGAAGTCACTACTGCTCGACCTGTTTGCATATTTGCAGGTCCCAGTTGCACCTGAGAAGGTTGATGGCCCCTCTACCGTTCTCACCTTCCTGGGCTTAGAGCTGGGCACAATGGCTCTGGAGATCCGCCTTCCACCCTCCAAGCTGACTAAGCTATCTACCACTGTGTCAACCCTCGTCCAATCCGGCCGGGCTCAGAAACGCGACCTCGCCGCCGTACTGGGCCAACTCTCGTTCACGTCCAGAGCTGTACCAGCTGGTCGCACTGACACGCCTGTACGACCTGGACAGAGCAACTCGATCAACGCCATTGCACCAATGGCTACGCATTTCGGCATCGGCAATGGCAGACCTGTTGTGGTGGGCAGAGGCCCTGACCATACGGAATGGGAAGTCATGTTTTCCTGGTGGATGAGTGGACACCAGCCCCGACATGCAACTACAGACTGATGCCAGCGGCACCCATTGTTATGGTGCCTTCTACAACGGCCGGTGGCTGAGAGGAGAGTGGACAGCCCAGAACAAAAACGAGAACATCGAGTTCAAAGAAATGTATGCTATTGTAATTGCCTGTGCGACCTGGGGTTCGGAGTGGAGCAGGCGACGCATTCAGTTTCAGTGTGACAACAAGGCCGTGGTGGACTGTATACGCTCCCGCACCTGCCGTTCACCGCCAGGCATGACACTTATCCGGGCATTGTATCTGCTGTGGAGTATTGAGCATGACTTCTTGGTTTCAGCTGTCCACTTTCCTGGTGTCACCAACTCTGTTGCTGATGCATTGTCTCGCAATTTGCTGCAGATATTCAGGCGCCAGACCCCAGAAGCAGCAGCCGAGCTAGATCAGACAGTCTTGCCAACTCTCAGTTGACGGACTCCGTGCTATAGCTAGCAGCACTGGCAATAGCACCATCCTCCCGCCGGACGTATTCTACCGCCGAGACCCGTTACTCCCAGTTCTGTCAAGTGCATGCCTGCAATCCATTGCCAGGCGACGACTTTACTTTGTGCTATTTTGCTGCCGAGTTGCTCAGGACTCTTCAGCCCCAATCTGTCCGTGTCTACATGTCGGCAATCCGCAACCTTTGTGTGGAACTTGGCTTTACCTACCCGTCCGGCCCAACGACTCTCCTCGCAAGGGTCCTGCGGGGAATCAACAGGTCGCCATCGACACAGCGTCATCGTCTGCCAATAACCACTCCACTTCTCAGGGAGATCTGCCGGCATGTTGCCTTTCCATGTATGAGGCACCCTCACGACAAGGCCATGCTAATGGCAGCTTTTTCCTTGGCGTTTCATGGGTTCTTCCGTTGTGGAGAACTGACTGCTGGCCTGAGGCGATGTGATGTGACGATCAGTACTGACCAGCGGTCATTATCGGTAAACGTGCGCTCCTTTAAGACGGACCCCAACAGCACGGGCCACACAGTATTGGTTGGAGCCAGCACGGACGCACAGATCTGCCCAGTGCAGGCCATGGCAAACTACATGGTGTTTCACCCCGGCGGCGATCATCTATTCACCTATGCTAATGGCCAGCCGCTTACAAGAAACGCAGTGTCCTCTGAGCTGCGCAACGTGCTGCCACTCTGTGGGGTCACGGATCCGAGCGCATGTGCCAGTCACTCTTTCAGGATTGGCGCCGCAACATCAGCGGCCATGGCAAGTGTCCACGAACACATCATCCGTGTCATGGGTAGATGGCGCAGTGATGCGGTCCACCGCTACATCCGGGCTGCTATAGCTGACACCCTGCGAGTGTCACGTCAATTAGCTGCAGTTCAAAGTCATCAATGGTAGCTGCGGGTTAGTGACCACATTGCGCCTGAACTGCTTAGCTTTAGCTTTACATTGCTGCTGTCAGTACAGCACAATACACCAACCGTATTTCATGATTACTCTCATGCCACATTGGGATATTGGGAACGGGCAGTCTATCTCCGCAGCTGGCTCATTTCAATCACTACCGGTCGCAGCTCCTGCCCACGGCAGGCCGACCGTCTCTCGTTCACACTCTGTGTGCTCCAGGTCACAGCTCCTGCGCAGAGCAGGCCGACCTGTCTGTCTGTCTGTCTGTCTTTCTCTCTCTCTCTCTCTCTCTCTCTCTCTCTCTCTCTCTCTCTCTCTCTCTCTCTCTCTCTCTCTCTCTCTCTCTCTCTCTCTCTTTCTCTCTCTCTCTCTCTCACTATGTGTGCTCCGGGTCACAGCTCCTGCGCAGAGCAGGCCGACCTGTCTTTCTCATGTACGCCAGCTGCTCCGCCCAATATCCCTGATACGCCAACCAGAAAACAATGTGTTCTGAGCCTGTTGCATGCCTGTATGCGGAGAGTGCGTTAATGGTGAATACCAGACATTCGAAATGAATAGTAGAATATACGGGTTACTAGTGCTGCATGTACATAGCATTTTCCTCTAAGGGTCCCGTGGCCCGGGCCGGTTAGGTACTATCAATAGTACATAACCCCCCAAGAGTGTGCAACTCTACTTTGGGTGCTGTCCCAGACGGAATTTCAAGTTGACGTCCGCACTGTACATGTATTGTCAGACGTATCCTGAACCTGTGCTGGACAAAGCCCCCGTCTGATGCCTTACAAACTAGTTATAGGAAACACGTGTGATGCGTTGACACCCCGTGCAGGTGTCGTAAATGGCTGGTACAAGAAGCACTGTATCATAAAAATGACTTAAACCGTCTTGAAATTCTGTCGAGAAAACACCCATAAGTGGAGTTGCACACTCTGAGGGGGGGGGTACTCTTGGTATTATCTGGCCCTCCGCCTGTCCTTAGCCTGTATTCATTGTTGTTGTATCTACTTCTGAAGTACCTTCCGATCTTTGATCTTTAGTATAGCAGCATGCTGCATCATAAAGCTACCAGGTAGGAATAATTAATGTTGCCGCCTGGCATTTATTATTTACTGTCGACTGTTTCGGACTACACCATGCACTATTTGGACATGATAGAAGTTTTAATTCAAAGCACCTTGCGTGGGCTGCTTCGTGTCTATACTGCTGTGATGTGTGGGCGTACTCCGAAGCAAATGCTCTCAATACCGGCACTGTACTCAAGTTCCCCGGTAGGGACTGGCGGATAGTGCACGGCGAAAGAAGCAATTCTGCTTTTCAGTCTGCTGAAAATTCTGCTCGAAGGACATGGGGGTCTTCTAATTTTTCTGCTCAAAAAGTGCTCATCCAGTTGTATATCATTCTACATATTGTCTTTGTAAAAAAATTGAGGAACAGCCATCTTCAATGCGTGGTACATCGCGTGAGTGCTGAAACAGACATTGCACTTTGACCTCTGTACTGAAGTACAGCATGAAGTCAAGCGCCAGTGCCTGCCACTAGTACTGTGGCTTGCGGACTGGATGATGTAGCGCTGTGTCTCGGCCCCTGGCCAAACTGTGACGCAGCGCCCTCTGCCAAGCACAAGCGAGCGCTTGAACTGCAGTGCTGAAAAAAGTACCCAGGATTTCTGAGAGTAAGGGAAAGCCTTGAAGTTAGGAGTCTTAGGACTCGGGATAGATCTTATGCTATTTCAAGCGTCAGTTCTGCCAAATTCTGCTCTCTCTGTCTGTGATGCCGTTTTCTGCCGAATTTCCTGCCGGCATTATCCGCCAGTCCCTATTCCCCGAGAGCGCGAGATAGTCGCCCAATTGTGAGTCATCCGCTTTTCTGCGACCACAACCGGACAGCTTTCGGAACCGATGCAGTGTGTTAACGGGGACGGCCGAGAGCGTGTGTGCTTCTGTGGGAACCATTGGCAGCTACAGGCCTGCCCAGTGAACCTCGCTTAGTAGATAAATAGCCGTGAGTGGCATGTCCGAGTGCACAGCCTAATAATCTTTATTTCAGGATTACCCAAAGGCTGACGCCCCTACCTAGCCCCGCAGTGTACATAGTACATGTACTAGGGATGTGCAGTACTAGATCCGGTGCCGCTATCTTGTATTTATGCTGGCAAATGTCATCGGTCGGCGCTGAGGTCGATTGTGCGACTTTTCCGGGACTAATCTCAAATCCTGCTTGGGGAAATCATTCTGGTAACGTGCCCCACCTGCTCTGCCTACATAGAGTACTAGTACTTACTGCACCGTCAGTATTCTCGTGCATGGTGGAGGTGGTACCAATATCTTTATCTTCAAATGGAGCAAATGGAATTGCCAAATTTGGCCTCTACGGAGCTAGCTAGGGGACAGCACACACAGGGCATGTAAGTTACTAGTTGTATGTTGTCGTGAACTCAGAACGACGCATGCACACATGAGACTCAGACTGAGCAGTAAGCACCCACCAGTTTTTCAGCCCAAGGTGATAATAGGCAGAGCCTGCAAACAACAACAACCTACAGTACTACATTTTACTGCACTACAATGTACGTCGTTACTTGTCACACTAGGGGTTGGGTAGGGACGCTTACCTGGTGCACTAGGCATCGTTAGTCGCTAGCAAACAGAGCCACTCGAACAAGACAAGGTGAGCATTGACGACGCTGGCAGAACCTTGAGACTTACAGAACCAAAAGGCTCTACATGAGCACGAAATAGTAGATCTCCTGAGCCACCAGGACTGAGAGATTAATCCTGTTGCTCAGAATCGACGAACCGTCGGACGAACGTGAAACTAAAAAGAAGTCGACGTGCCCCGTGCACATGATGCATCGCCCAACGCCATACACTGCAGATACAGACCAGCCTAGCCTCCACACCAGGCCCAGGCCAGGGCCAGGGGTCCAGTGACAGTGTCAATGCGACGACAGCTAGCAGCGCTATTTTTATTACGAAAATGCAGTGTACTGCATGCATGCACTGGCTGCGTAACGTCACTCGTCTACGATCGTGACGTAACTCGTTGGTCGTTACTGTTTATTTCATCAGTTTATTTTGACTTTCAGTCACATTTCCGAAATTTACTCCTTCGCTTCAATTCAATTATTCTGTGTAGCTTGTGTTGGCTGTTGTCGGAGCGAACAGCAGAAAGTAAATTTTCATTAGGCGTATTATACTGCGCAGATTATATCGATAGGCGTGAAAGGCCAGCCTGCAAAGTGCACTCTGTTGCTGTGAGAATGTAGGTGTGAATCTTTGCATTTTCAAAAACGTTTATGTAGAGAAACATCCTTGGGTGTATTCTTGATGGCTGAAAACGGAGCAGCTGCCACTGATCATGCCTCGCCGACAACGGCAGCGGCTTTTGGCAATGAAGGATCTTCCCGAAAGCCAGGAGCTAATCCATCTGAGACTTTCGTGAACATGCTTGGTGAAATGGTGGATCAAAATGACGTTCGTGACATCGCTGCGCAGCAAGCATTGATGTGAGCTCCTAGGATATCAGGAAGATTTACATGAGTGTGTACTTGTTAACATGTTATCCAAGTAATAGTTCCATTTGACCATCCAGCAGTACTAGTGACACTGCAACTCATGAAACTGAGAATGAAATATCATTCTGTTATACATGTACTGTAAGACATGTTATTATAACGAGTCGCAAATTTAACGATTGTCCAAAATTCATAGGTTAACGAGAAGATATGTTAACGATCTTGCAGTATTCTGCCATATCCACACACAGCATATATGAAGCAGTACGGCCTCAACGGATCTTATTAAAACGAAGAAATGTCATCCGTTAAAGCGTTAGATTTGCTTCCTCGTTATATATACATGTCTTACAGTACCTGTGTATGCATGTAGTAGTGTGTTCTGGTAGCTTCTGTGCTACATATTATGCAGCACAGAACTGGGAAGCTGCCAGAACCCAACACCGATGTTCTCATTAACTTTGGGCTGTGATGTTCTTAGTATTTCGAGCTGGGCGTTCTTGGGTCCTCGCTCTTCGGCGCGCGACTACTGTAAATGTTATTACTAGCTTTGCATGCACTGGCGGTATTGTAAGGTTATAAGGTGATCATTTTTACTGTACTACAAATTACACAGTACAAAGTTGTTGTTTTTTGTAGTATTGTAGATCGCACTCGCCTACATTGTAGTACTGCCATGACCATCCTTTTGATGATGATATCAATGTGGCTCTTATGGTTTATGCAGGCTAAGCCGGTTTGAGAAAACCAATGAGAAATTGGAGCGCTTCAACAGCCTGGAGGCTGGTCGATTCAATCAGGCAATGGAACAGTTCCGCTCACACACGCGAGTGCTTTCGGATATGAAAAAGGACCTTGACTCAGTCTTCCGTCGGATCAGGTTGGTAGTAGCTTCATTCTACAGTCCATTCACAAAAAAGATGGGCCCTGGCTCTGGCGAGCTCCCATATTCGCCGATTTTTCAAGATTTTATCGTACACAGTGCAGTGCTGCGAAATTTGAAATTTGAAAAAGGGTACCTGAACTGGGGTTCGAACCGTTGCAGGCAGGGTTAAACGGCCTGGATTTCGATGGATTTTCCCAATTCAGTGCTCGGGCAAAACCTGGCCGAAATCCTTATTATTATTATTAATTATTATTTATTCTTCTTTTACTAGGGAATTCCCAACAGGCGTCAGCGCCTTTTTACAGGGAACCCTAGGTATAATTTGATGGATGAGCGAAATTCAGCTGGTGAACTAGACATGCGGCAAGCCGGTGGAAGAGTATTCCACCTGGCAGCGCCCAAATAAGAAATTGCACTAAAGCCATATCGGGTGTTAGCGGGGGGCAGAACAAGAGCAGCAGAGACTTGGCCACGGGTGGTGGCTGCAGTGCGAGCACCATGGGCGCGCAAGGTAAAGCGGTCTCGCAGAAGAGGACTAGCAAGTCCATTCAGGCAGCGGTAAACAAATACATAGGTTTTGAAGTTGAGGCGTTTCTCAAGGGCGTACAAGTTAGTATGACTGTATAGAAGAGTGGTGGGAGTCATTCTATCCAACGAAAATATTCTCTTTAATGCTACGCGGCTGGCAGTAAGAAGCTTGTCATATAGGGTTTGTGATAAGCAATGAATATATGCAGTGCTGCCAAACTCAAATGTGGACTGAATGATCGATAAATAGAAAAGTCGTTTGCCAAAAATGCTGATATTCTGCTTTGCATGGACAAATGCTCCGACCTTCCTATTGACAGTTGCACATACTGCATCCACTTGGGTTGAGAAAGACAGATGTTCGTCAACCAGTATTCCTAAGTACCGAGCGTAAGCAGATGGGGCTATGGAAGTGCCCCGGCAGTTGACTGCGGTGCCAGGTGGCAGCTCCTTGCCCGGTCGCCTGAGCAGGACAAACTGAGTCTTGGACGGGTTCAACACCAGTCCCTTCTGATCTAGGTAGCGATCCAGAGCGGCAAGGTCAGCACTCAGCTGGGTTGTGATGGTCTGGATGGACTTGTGCCTGATATAGAGTGTGATATCATCGGCATAAAGTTGATTCAATGCATGTTGGAAGCACTGTGGTGCATCACGGGTGTAAATGCAAAATAGCAGTGGGCCGAGCACGGAGCCTTGTGGGACGCCTCTTGTGCAAGGGCGGGCCCCACCTAGCTCTTGTCCTACTCTTACTCGCTGGACGCGTCTGGTCAGGTAGCTTGCAAACCAGGCAAGTGCAGTGTCAGCAATGCCAAGCATCTTCAACTCGTCAATGAGCTCTTGATGCTTAACTCGGTCAAAAGCTTTGCTCATATCTGCAAACACTATGCCGCAGTACTCGTTGTTATCAAGGGCTTGGAGCCATTCGTCGACCACTAGCGCTAGGCAGTCCTCACACGAGCTGTTGGTACGGTAGGCAAATTGATTGTCAGGCACGTACATGATGTTGTGTAACTTAAAGAATGCAATCAGCTGCTCCAAGACAACTCGTTCTAATATCTTGCTGCATATGGGCAATAATGAGACTGGTCTGTAATTAGTAGAGCTTTCTGCATCGCCTGATTTGAAATCCTATTCTTGCTATGGCTTGCTTTTTGGACAAATAGACTTCAGAAACATAATTGGAAGAGGATTCCATAGGGGATTGCAGAAAAATTCTAAAAAAACTCAACGTTTGACCCATTTATGGCCAAAAGCTAGAAGTCCATCTTTTTCTGAATGTACTGTACGGTATAGTGTTAATTGCAACTGTAGAAAGTAGGGTAGCATCTTAATTTTGTTATGGAAACAAAGGACAAAGATCACGTATCAGTGACCTAATTACTTATTGGGATCTGCCTTACCTACGAGCTCATTGACATTAGCGATATGGGCAAGAAAGGTATCATCAAGAGTAAATAAGCTCTCAAGAGTGTGCAACTCCTGATACCCTTTCTATGGGGCTCGCCAACGGCGAAAACTCGCATCACGTGGTGCAGTGTCCCAGTTGTAGGTTTCCAGCCTGTTTTTAGCGACCAGCGAAGTAATAATAGAAGCACTCCCTGGCAGAAACACACTGCGCGTATGCAACTCGCCAGCGTAATCATGGCTGATTTTCAGATTGCGCGCACGCTATCCTTAGTTGTACGTAGTACAAAACGTACCTGAGACAAGTGATGTGAGTTTTCGCCGTCGGAGACCCCATATGCAGAGTTGCACACTCTTGGGAGTTTATTTTTGGCATCATCATTGATCGATACAACATCGGGTGCCGTTAGAGTGTGAGAAGGAGTCTACAAACACGATGCCGTTGTAGTCGAGCCGTAATACAGGTGGAATCCTGATAATTTGAACCCTGCAATGCTAGGAAAAAAAGTTCGAAATATCCAGACATTCTAGTTATGCAAACATATCGTATGTCAAAAATGCTCGAATTGTCACGCAGAGTTACGTTATGCACCATAGACCTAGATTTCTCGGATGCTGGACTGACCTGTAAAGCCCGTTCATGCAAACTGAACTCACCAGTGTAGTGTAGAGTAGAGTGAACTTTGAATTAGTCGATATCATGTAATTAGGCAAATTTGCCGGTTTGTTCTTCGACTCTAAATAAACAAACAACAAACAAAATTACGCACTCCTAACTTCGAATTACTAGTATCAGCAGGAATCCCGTACATTTTCTATGTATGCGGATTGCGTGGGACTTCCAATGACGTGCGTATGTCCAGTTCGAAGTTCGAATTATCGGACATTGTTACTAGTATGTGGTTATTAAATATCTATGGAGAAATAAACTAATATCATCCAATGGTTTTGATCAGGGAGTCGTAAAAGCCCGGGAGAGGACACGGGATGCGCGCACGCGGACGATGTTTGCCTCGGCCAGAAAGTGAAGCACGCTAGGCCGGCGCGGCCGGATCTGCTCGATCCACGGCGCTGTGCTCGTCTTCAGGGCAGGGAGTCCTAAAATACCAATATTTTACAACTCGTTGTTGACACCATAATCCGAAACTGGTGCCGAAGGAAGAAGGAAGCATAAACATGACTGTGTGTCTGTCTGTCAGACTCAGTACACATGGTACAGGGGGTGGGGATTTGAATGTGTGTGTGTGGGGGGGGGGGGGGGGGGGGGGGGAGGCGTGTGTATGTGCACATGTGCTTGTACTTTTGTGTGTGTGTGTACAGTGTTTGTGTGTGTGTGTGTGTGCGCGCGCGCGTGTGCGCATTTTTTGTGCACAATTCCGTTATGAAGTACAAATGATAGGTTTACCTTTTGTACACTCGCCAAGACGTCGGTTAGATTCACTGAGAACCTTTCTGGCCAACCTGGAGGCTGAGCCTTCCGTTTCCTAAACGGCTAAAGTCACCGCGTACTCAGTATACGAGTAGAAAAGTGTTGAAATTATCAAGATTTATAAATAACGACCTGCGACCATGTACAATGTAGATAGATAGGGAACACACATTGATTGTTTTTAAAAGAATCCAGGCAATATCTAATCATGAATCATGGAACGAGTGCGTAATAATACTCTATGTTGCGTTTTGACGATGCTGAAGGAAGGGAGCCGTTGCGATTCACTCACAACACACGCACAGAAGTCCACTCCACTGCAATTTCTGACACAAATTCATAAATCCACGAGTACGAGGAAGCTCAGCGGATCTCCACAAGAACTTTCCACCATCACCTGCAATGGAATATGGGCTGTATGATACGACCAGCGGCTAACATGGGAAGTGGCTTCATTTTCCACAAATCTCGTTTCATTCACAACCATTTGACTGCACTGATTCAGTGCAATTTCTGCCACAAATTCAACTCCACGAGTACGAGGAAGCTCAGCGGATCTCAACACGAACGTTCGCCCATCACCTGCAATGGAATATGGGCTGTATGATACGACCAGCGGCTAACACGGGAAGTGGCGTCATTTCCACAAATCTCATTTCGTTCACCCCAACTCAAATAAAAGTGAAGTACAATTAGGGATTTATCTTGCATTTCCATCGCCTCAGAATAAATTAACTTCGATAAACTGAGAGAGAATGAGTGAGGCAGCTGGAAGAATTGAGGATGAAAATAGAGATCAGAAGACTCGACGGAGCAATCGTCTCCGTGCTCTAAGAGAAATCGGAGAATGTCCCAATTAGTATTTCAAGAAGACATCACAATTTTCGAAAATAATAATTTCCTTGCCTCGCGACACCGTTCCCTGGCAGCGTTCCCCGGCAGCGCGAGGCAAAGATGTTTTCTGGGAATGTGTGCCGTGTCCTCTCCCGGGCTTTTACGACTCCCTGGTTTTGATGTGCTCGTAGTACGTTCTGATGATATCCCCCTAAACATCATCATGTGCCTTGTGTTTTGCAAATGTGCATTGTAGGCTGCTGCGAGGGAAGCTTTCACGCCAGTATCCGGATGTGTTTGAAGGTATTTTAGTCTTGTCGCCTTTCATTTGCAAAACTTTCCTGTCCATTTCATGCCCCCCCCCCCCCCTTCCCCACACACACTCGAGTAGTATCTGAGTCTATGTGTGTGTGTGTGTGTGTGTGTGCGTGTATGTGTGTGTGTGTGTCTCTCTCTCTCTCTCTCTCTCTCTCTCTCTCTCTCTCTCTCTCTCTCTCTCTCTCTCTCTCTCTCTCTCTCTCTCTCTCTCTCTCTCTCACTCTCACAATGCACACACGCGCTTACATACACATAGTTGTTTGGGAAATCCCCCCAGCTTGCAACAATGCTTTTTCTCTATTTTGCGCATCCAGCATACGACAGAGAGCATGGTGTGGACAGAGAGGAGGAGGAGGAAGATGAAGACGAAGAGCAAGAACATGAACAAGACAAGCAAGCTGAAGGCCATACAGATAGTGCTGCTGCAAGTAACGTTCAAGAGACAGATCCCGCCGCCATTAATGTGGATGTTCCATCATGATACACATATCTATTGCTTAGTTCACTTCTATGTCCAGTTGTCCACCCCCCCCCCCCCCCCCCCTGTCCAACATCATGAATTGTTACATTCTCAAATCACGAAAACTGACGACTGCACAAAAATAATTCTGAAATTAGAGTGAGATGTGGAGCATCGAGTAACAGCATGTCCAGCATCAGTGTTTCAATCACTGCGTTAATTCTTAGAATAGTCTGCCATGCAAACTCCTAGCTCAACAATGGGTTTGTGTTTTATGAGCAATCAAACACACACAGCCAATATCAATATTCACTGCGCTCTCAAGGCAGCCGCTCATACTACAGGAAAGGTTATATGAATTTCAGTCGCTTTTATGCTGTAGATTTTTATGCTGCTGGTCAGTTTGATGCCGAAATTGAATTTTTAATGAAAGTTATTTTAAAATACTGTGTTGCGTGGTTGCTGTATGTATGAGGTACATGCCCGTGTACTATAGAGAACCAGAGCAGGGGCGGCATAGCTAGTACAGCAGCCATCCATGGTACAGCGGAACGTGTATGCTGGCGGCGGGCAAGTGGGCAGCAGACCTCACTTTTTGCCCTTGCCGCCCGATTTCTTCGACTTTCCCTGCTGCACGGTGATGGCCTGCTGTGGCACATTGTAGTGATCTTGAAGCATGTCGGTAACCGCTCTGACAGCATTTCCCTGTACAAGCACCTGTCTGTCAGCCTTGCCCTTGGTAGCTTTGTTGTGCACCTATCAGAAGGAGAAAAAGAAGGACAAATTGCACTGATACTGCTGACCAAAGTAAAACTACAAGCACCGTACAAGCAGGCGGATGTTCTTCCGAAGTACACGCAGCATAACGGGAAGGAATTGCCCCCTCCCCCCCCCCCCCCCACACACACACACTTGTACTTGCTCACTGCCAAAGCCCGGTCAAGTGGGCCTCCCTGGGAGATGGAGGGAGATTCAAAGGGAAATACATTGCATAGAAAAGATGACTCGATTGGCTATTGGGCCACCTGGTGACGAATGCCCCCTGAACTTCCCAGCCTCTGGGTGGACTTAGAAACGACGCCACTTACGGGCTCACCACACCGCAGTAAGTGGATGACGACAAGGTGCAGAAAAGGGCTCGACGGCAAATTATGCATCCGTCCCATGATCCAACTGCATTTACCCCTGCCCCAGTGAAGGTGATACTAGTACTTGACGTATGCAGTGCTGCCAAATAATTTTCGCCCAAAATCGGACACCCTTCACCGCCAAGGCTGGCCACATCGTGCGAATTTTTCTCCTCGGCAAATTTTTTACAGAGAGTTCAAAATATCGCCTAAACACCATGAAAATTCGCTTCGTTGCCATGGTAACCCCGTAGTTGTCATGAATTTTGTAATGATGAGTGTGGTCGCACACTGACTCTGTACGGACTGTCAGCGTACATGCCATCCAGCCTGATCCAGACATGTTACTTTGCACTTCCACAGCCAAGCGCTAGCCTTTTTAGAAGCAAATGTACAGTGATTTGTGCCTTCAGTTGCGCTGAAAAGTGACAGTACAGGACTTCTGCATAGGAAAGTAATGATCTCCAACATTTTGGCTGCTTTTCTGACGTTTCCCTTTTCGGACCGGTTTTCGGAAGAGCCTTCAAAAATCGGACGGTTTGGCAGCACTGCGTATGTGCACACGCGCACACACACACACACACACACTCTGGCAATAGCCGCAATACACCCGGCCAACCCAGAAAATAACTAGGTAGGCTCAATAGAGGCGAATATGTAAACCAAAACCGGTCAGAAGAAATCTTGATTGAGATCCCTGAGCATTGAGCAGTTCCCAAGGCATGCTGTTCCTAAAGATGTGTTGTTCACTTGTTACTTACGCTGGCACTGCTTGCCATTACGTGCTGCATTCGCTCTGCCAAGTCCTTGGCTTCTATGCCGTAAACCTCGACATTGTCGATCAGTGTCACGACCTTGTTGCCGGTCCGTAGAGCGGTTGACACTGAGATCGGCTGCAGCGCGCCTTTGTGCATGACCTTGATTCCAGACGAAGTGACAATCTGAGAGAACACACAAGTGTGCACATGCATCCCCCATTGGCATTAGTCCACGGCCGGGGAACTGTCAAGGCTACACAACAGCCGCATACAAAGCACCACCATTACCGACATACCTATTTAGTAGCAAGCACCACCATTACCGACATACCTACGTAGTATCACTATCGTGCTTGCGGCGAGTGGCACATACAAATACCATACTTGAAGTGTGTTGGTGTAATACTAATAGACGACTGGTCTTTATAACAACGGGCTGCGTGCCTAATCATTCCCAGTTCACAGCTATTCAAACACAATTGTGTTGTACAGGCCAGGTGTAGTAGGACTACACATGACTCATGATAACCATACCGGCACGTATGTCTCACCTCATGGCGAGGCAGCATCTTTGCCTTGACCCCACGCATCAGTTCGTCCCAGCGTAGCAATGTTGGTGCCGGCTCGCCCTTTTTCCGGAGCGCTTTGCTGAGGGCATCATTCAAGTGTATGTGGGTACGCTTCGCCTCGTCCACCAGGTCATTAGAGCGGACATACTTTGTGACAGCCTCCTTGATGTCGCTATCTGTAAGCAAGGAATCTTTGGCGTACCCAGAGGCAGAGAATACCGGCATCAAGTCCACTGAAGGCGATAAGTAGAGACTGAAAGTCGGTGCACTGGCTTCAGCAGCGGGACTATCCTCATCCAAAGATGGCAGTAGGCTACCAAAGTCAGACTTTGCTTGTCTAATAGCTGGGTGTGACCAGTTCACATCCGTGACCGAGTCCACTCCTTTAGACGTTTCCTTGACGGTGAAACAGCCAGTGAACTTTGCACCCATTGCCGCCAGGAAGCGTGACACTTTCTTGTGGCTGCTGTGTTTGATTTCTAGATGTTCATCCCCCTGGCAGCAGGACTGCATGTGGGTCCTGTAGAACTGACTTGTCAACACAGGCAGGTCGACTTTGCGCACACGATAGGCAAGAGCTAGCAGAAAGCACCTCTCCAGAAGCACGTCCATCTGCTCAACCCGAGACACTTCGCTACCAGCCTCCTCATCATCAGCAGCTGCGACCACTGCTCCGGAAGCTGCTTCCGAATCGGCCGTTGCAGCGCTAGTTTGCTGCATAGATTGTGCACTGGAGTCCGCTTCACCTGGCTTATCGCTGCCTAGAGTATCGAATCCAGCATGCTGTGTCTCTTCGGCAATGTCGTCGATAGAGATGTGCGGCTGGGCAGTTTTGGAACCATAGAGCCATAGGTGATCAAGCACGGTGTGTTTCATCAATATGCCTTTACCGCGCACGCTGGAGAAGTTGGCAATCTGAGTGGCAATAGCTGAGCTTGCCACTGCTGTCACACCGACACCAACGGACGCAAGGTTGCTTGGAGTGGCAACGCTGCGCGGGGCACGCGCTGGAAACTCTCCAAGTCCAGCATCGGTTGCACCGGCTCTAGTGATGACACCGGGAAGCATTAAGTCAGCACCACCCTGCAGTTTCCCCACCACCTGCTCTCCAGTGAACCATGTAGGAGCAAGACCAGGACACTTCCACAGTGTGTACACAGTTGGGAGAATCACATTCTCAGGCTGACTCATGAAGAATGCTGGCTCGCCATCCACACAAAAGATGCTCGTCTCGTCCTCGCGATGCAAAACAGCCGTCACCAACGTCAAAGTAGATTTCCCTGGAAGCAGAGAATCTGCTGCTTTAGCAAAAGTAGGGCCATAGCAGGACTCTAGATCAGTACGCAACTTGCGCTTATCTGAATTGCGCAACATAATGTTGCTCTTCACTCTGAACGGTTTCGAGAACATCGTGCCCGGGATATCAAGTCCAAGGACAGGGAAGTGAGGAATTCTTTCTCGCCAGAGAAGTTTTAGTTTGTTTCGAGACACACACTTCAACATAGTCTCTTCATCTAGGCATAATTATGGTATCCAATTTTTCGAAATGCAAATGACATGCAAATGACACTTTTTCAAGTAACATAGTTAGTTGTGTGTGGTCCTGCCAGTTTCTGCGATTCTGCGCTTGTAGACGCCATTTCGATTTTCCATGGAAACAATGCAAGTGACGTAACCCAGCCTAGTTGCTGACGTAACTACTTACTCGCTATTTATTATGTCATTGTTGAACGTCAAACGTTGAACAGCGGATCGAACTGTGTTTCTCAAATTTTGACACACGTGTCTCTTGCTGACATCGAATCGAAGTAAGTAATTAGTTATCGAACGCGGAGAGATATCGGGTTGTGTGCTGCCGCTGAATAATGGAAATCTGGCTTGAGTTGTTTAGGTAGAACAATGATTGCATTGATCCTTTACTCCCAGTTGCTACGCTTCCCAACGAAATATCCGTAGATTGCTTTGCAGTGATATTCTCGCCGCAGGTGGCCAAAGCCAGGTTGCAAAGAAGAGACAGGTACATGATTGTAGTAGTAGTACTTTTGGAAGTACTTGCCGGTAGTACATGCATGTATCCTACTCTTCATCAGTATTGAACAGATGCCGAATATAGTTGCGAGAGCAGCTGTTCAGGTAGCTTGTGATGGAAGCTCTGAGGTATATAGCTCTCTCTGTTCTGCTTCTTGTCATTGAGTTAGGTAAGGCCGGATTCTTTCAACAATTTCTTTCCGTGAATATTATACGATGAATACTTCTCGCTCTGTATTGCCAACTATTGGTGCATATTGGTACTGGCAAGAGTACATTGTTATGAACTCTTGTTACTGGTTATAAGTATTGTATCACAAATGCCAGCGTGATGAAAAATGATGGCCTCTAATGTGTTGGCTGTGTTGGTTTCATTCAAAAAAATTATTCTCAAAAAAATGTGTACTGGTCCATGATCCATAGCTATGGTATTGCTCTTTGTATCGAAAAGCTCATAAAATTGTGAACAGCTGCTGTGGATCAACTGACCGTAAAATCGCAATGAAAGGCATTAATTTGTAATTTTAATATTTCCTAGCACTACGCCATTGACTCAATATGTTGCTCATGGTTCTCATAGAACAGGTATGGACAAGTGGTGACGAAATGAGCGTGGAAGTATAATAGTGCCAGCAGGGACCGCTTGGGACACCGCAGTTAAAACAATGACTGAGAAGAATATACATGTATTCAAGAGTCCATACCCCTGTCGTATACAATGCTGCACTTGGGGTCCGGCACAGCTGTAGCAGCACTTCCTGTACTAGGCTGTAGTACATGACTTGAACTGCAGTTTGGCAGTCAATTTGACTTTCATGCCGCTATCGACTTCGATTTGGAGTTTCAGGTGCTTTTTGTGGAGGCTTCGAAAAAATTATGCATGGTGCTTCGCATGCATGTATTGCCTTCTTAATCTACCATACGCTACCACTCTTGTATCCACACAAAGCCTGCTATCACTACTTGATGGAAACAACATGCTGAGAAGAAATTCTATAGCACAGAGATCAGGGCTGCTACTCTGGGGTGTTCGGGACTCTTGATGTGTGAAGTTTACTCTATCCAGTTCATTCTCATTGGTCCTATCTTATTCAGTATGTTGGTTTTACTAGGATGTGTGTTCGGAGTCCGTTTCGTGTCGTAAAGATTGTCGAGTTGGGAAGCCACTTTGGTGGCAGCCTCTATTGTAAGAGATTCGGATGTGCGAACATTGCGCTCCTGCTCTGTTTTCGTGGCCTTAGCATTGTTGACCGTTGTGCCTTGTGATCATGTGCGTGTGTGAAGATCCATCGGGCTCTGAAGATGCGTGCCGCCACACAACGGTAGTGCCTGGCTATCGGCCGCTGGTGTCTCGGCTAGTGACGTCGCGTGCACAGGTGAACAAGGGCGTATCGGTGGAGGCCTGCAGTCGGCTATGTTGCCAGGAAAGGTGCACCATGGCGTATGCTCGCAACGGGACGTGCGTTCGACTGACGTGCACTCCGGCTGACCCGTCACCGCCGTGCACCTACAAGAAAGATATTGGCCACGCGAGTGCGGTGCTCATTTTCCCTGTCCAGTCAGGTGGTGAGTAACAATCCGTGTTCTCGCTCCAATTAGTTTTGGCTGCTTTCTTTTCCACTGCATTCAGATTCAGAGTGGGTGGGTGTCTCCGGTCTGCCTGTTGAATAATTCTTCCGGTCGTTTAATCCTTCCAGAGGAATTGGTTGTGTAGCATGACCTTGAGTTTCTAGATCCATTCTATTTCTTTGTACGGCGGCTTCTATTTCCCTACTGGATTGTGTTCTCCTCTTACTTCCACTGTGTGCTGCTGCTGCCGATGTGGCTGTTGTTACCATTGCCCAGTGCACTCCATCCCGTGCAACTTTGCAACCGCCAGTGGCTGTGGTCGGAATGAAGTGTGCTCTGAATCAGAATCGTGCGAATGTGATGAAGCCTCCCTGAGGTCCGAGGCAGGTGTCTGTACTCGGGCGAAGGAATCTGGAAGGCGGCTACGCGGCACTGGTGTAGTGACAACGACGGTACCGCCGACGTCAGACTCTGTTGTGTCCATCCCGCATACGTCCTTGCCATCCACTGCGGATGTCTCTCCCTCAAACACAATTCATCGCACCAGTGTGCCGTCGAGTGAAGTATCTACAGTACAGGAGCAAAATCAGCAGCAGGTGAAGGAGCCAGAACAGGGACAAAGTATACCCATGACCGCTACTGTGAACGTAGCCAGCAATAAGGTTTCATCACCATCTTTGCCCACATTAGCATTCACATCTGCGCCTGAATCACCACCATTGTCAGCGTCAACACCAGCGTCTACAATTGGAGCATCTGCGCATGCAACTTCACAAACCAATGCTGATACGGTGACCACCATCCAAACAACTGCAGCCACAACAATTTCGGCAACTGGTCCAGTTCTAAACTCAACACGTCCTAGTGAATCCATTGCACACACGGAACTTCATTCATCAGAACCTGTATCAACAGCACCAACAACAGCACCGCCACGGACAGAGAGCCTTGTACCAGGTATGGTAACTACAAGTAACTTCTGAGTTCTGTTGTGACTTGGCACGTTGGTGCTACTATAGAACACGGTCCTGCATTGTCCTTTCACCATTGTCATGACCGGGTATGTGTATAGCGGTGTTTTGTTCCTGTCTGTAGTACCGGCATAGCTAATGTGGCCTGTGCTTTTCTTGCTCAAGCCGAGCAATGTCTCGTCTTTTAAATGAAGCGATGCCTGCCATTATTATTGCCTGGTGAGTAGTAGTAAATTGTCATGCCTGCCCATCCGTGTTCAGCCTCAGCTGCAAATTTGCTGCACTGCGTGGTGCGCAGATACTTGGCCCAAGTGGATTACTAGTATTAATTGTTAGTGTGGTGCAGAGAGATGCTGCTTTCCCAGCTAGCGTGTTTACAAACTTGGAAGACCGTGTCTGCAAATAGGTATGTCTTTACTGCTGTTTCTCTTGCATGGCAAGTTAGATTGCAGGGACCTCATCGAGCCAATCTGTTATACCTTCTTCTACTGCCGTCTGCCAGTTCTTGGTAGTAGTGACACTATTCCAATTGTGCTGTATGTCTTCTTTCCCTGTGTTTTAGTTGTTCATCCTGTAGTGACCGCTGGAAAGAATCGCAGCATTACCCTGCCCAAGAACACTGTCCAGATACTTGCTACTATCTTTCCAGCTCCGGAGCCTGAAGAAGCTGCCAAGTTTGAATTTGATTGGACGTTCGTCAGCGGGCCGAGTACTGGTCAAATTGACAGCCCTCATTCGAAGGCAGCCATTTTGTCCGACTTGGTGGTTGGCGTGTACCATGTTCATTTGAAGGTGCACGGTCCAGACGGGGCTATTTACGAAGACGGTCTCAACATCACCGTCTTCCCCAAGCCACGCGTAAATCAACCACCAGTGGCCAGTGTCAATCCAGCATCTGTCACTGTGCAGTACCCGCTCAGCTCGGTGGTACTGGATGCCTCGCAGAGTCACGATGAGTTTGACAAGACGCTCAACTACCACTGGAGGGAGCTCTCCTGGCCCATCGGCCGGCGTCTGACCGACTACGACGACACGGACAACTCTGTGCTGAAGCTGCACGACCTGAGCGTCGGCGACTATCAGCTGCAGGTGATTGTGAGCGACTCGAACGGTGCGGAGGACTCGGCCACTGTCAACATCACCGTACTGCGAGAGCGCGATGATCCGCCCGTTGCTCTAGCCGGTGAGCCCCAGATCATCCAGCTACCCACAGACAGTGTGTGGCTGAATGGCAATGCCAGTACGGACGACAAGGGCATCAAGAGCTACATCTGGAAGAACCTGAAAGGCCCGCTGGGTTACGATCAGAGTGGTTCGTCATCGGCTTACCTACATCTCACCGGTCTACGGGATGGCGATTATGTGTTTCAGCTCACTGTCACCGACACGCACGGTCAATCCTCGTCCAGCACCGTCTCTTTTGTAGTCAAACCAGGTTAGGGGTGTGGACTACTGGTGCCTTGCTGCTGCTGCTGCTGCTGTGTGTTATGTTGCATTGTGTCCCAGCAATGTCTCTTTTTCGTTGTCAAAGCAGGTTAGAGGTGTGGAACGATTGGACTGCTGTAGCCTTGCTGCTGCTGCTGCTGCTGCTGTGTTTGTGTCGCATTGTGTTGTGAGTTGTTCACCCCGTCCATGGCTGCTCTGTATTGGTTTGTTCTGTGCGCCTTGTTTACCCACTGTCTAGTGCTTCAATGTGTCGTTCTGTGCAGCCAATGACAAACCTCCGCATGTAGATGCTGGCAATGACATGTCCTCGCCGGCTCGTTCTATGACACTGGAGGGACATGCATGGCTGGAGGATAAAGGGGACGGCTGCGTGGGTTGTACCTACAGGTGGATCAAGAAAAGGTAAATACCATGAAGAACTACCCCCTACCCCTAGTTGTCATGTGTCATCTCATTCCTCTATATAGATATTTTTTAGTCTCAAGTTGTTTGAACGTGTCGTGTTCGTTCTGTTGTGCTGCACTATGTGGTCGATGATGGCGTTGCTACTGCTGCTGCTGCTATTGTTGCTACTGCCAGGGCCCCAGTTGGCGATAAGTCACGCTTGTCTGGCAATACAACGCTGTTTCCTAAAGTTGACACGATGATAGCCGGACAGTACATCTTCACACTCACTGCTAAGAGCAGCCAGGGCAAGGCGGCATCAAGCGACATCACGCTGACCATTCAGAATGGTAAGAGACCATTCAAACCAGAAGGAATCTCTCGAGCAGACCTCTACTCTTTTCCCCGTTGACATAGCCTACCCCGGTTTAATGCCACCTTCACCTCTACCTATGTGTGATAGTACTTGCTTCTTTTTGTCCCTTCAGTGTGTGTTACTTCATGCTGTATGTCCACACCCACTAGCACTTGTATTGAGCATGGCTCTTCGCTTACTTTCCTGCTTGTTCTACTGTTGGCAGCGGCTGATATCAACAAGGCACCTGTGGCCAATGCCGGCGGTGATGTGACCATTCGCTTGCCCAATCACATGGCAATGCTGGATGGTAGCGGGTCAAGTGACAGCGACGACGGGATCAACCGCTGGCTGTGGACCCGCTCCTCGGACAGTCCAGCTGTGGGGGTATGTACTCGTACACGGCTTGACATCGCAGCCTGCTGTTCTTGTCACAAGGATTCTTGAAGGAGTGTGTATGATTGTGTTGTACTCGTACTCTCTCTCTCTCTCTCTCTTTCTCTCTCTCTCTCTCTCTCTTTCTCTCTCTCTCTCTCTCTCTCTCTCTCTCTCTCTCTCTCTCTTTCTCTCTCTCTCTCTCTCTCTCTCTCTCTCTTTCTCTCTCTCTCTCTCTCTCTCTCTCCTCTCTCCTCTCTCTCCTCTCTCTCTCTCTCTCTCTCTCTCTCTCCTCTCTCTCTCTCTCTCTCTCTCTCTCTCTCTCTCTCTCTCTCTCTCTCTCTCTACACTCCGATAGCCTGGATGGTGGTGTGGAACGCTTGATTGTACCACGCACTCTGCGTATATTGAACTGAGCTCGTCATGTTGCTACGTCATCGCACTACAATATATGTGGGTCACTCGTACGGCATGTGTCATGCGTTCTGTGACTTTTTTGTGTGGGTGGTTGCGTTTGCTGTGCTTAGGATGTTGCCAATGGCTCCGCTCACTCGCCCATGCTCAAACTGTCCAATCTGGTGGAAGGCACCTACAGGTTCCAGCTTGAAGTGTTCGACACTTTCCGCAAGAGCAGCATATCCACGGCTCGAGTGGTGGTTTTGCCAGGTATGCTGCTCGTCTGTGTCCGTGTTGGTGTGATGTGCCTGCTGGTGACTGCAGCTCTGTACGATCATGGAGCAGCTTTTCATGTGCACTGCCAATCATACAGGGAGAGGCATTTCTTTAGCCAGGGTTATGCTGTACATGTTTCTGTACATTGTGCTGTGCACTGTGCTGTACATTGTGCTGTGCACTGTGCTGTGCATTGTGCATCAGCTAGATACAGTACTAGTAACTTAGTAGTACTAACTAGTAAGGTCATGAAACTGAACAATGTTGGATGTGACAAGTGTCACCTGGCATACTGACGTCTGTTCTGCAGTCCCATGCAGTGCTGGGACATAACCAGTACGGGACCAACCCATAAGCTGTCCGTTGGGCTGGACTGCTGGGGGGGGGGGGGGTCTTCTGAGCACCATTCTACTCCTGTGATGAGTGGAAATATTATGACTCCGTCCCTGCGGGTCTGAGCAACCCTTGTGTGCAACTTATTTCATGATATATTCGACTCACATCGCTTATTTCCAAAAGGAAACGAGACTTCGTGCAGCAGAATGTTGTCCAAATATTTTATCTTTTTTTCCAGTTCAGTAAGAGAGTGACTTGGGATGCTTTCAAGTGTGGCTAACTGTAATTGTAGAATAGTTTTTGAACAAAAGAAGAGGAAGAAAAAAGGCGGTAGATGGAAGTGCACAAAGGCAGATCTACCCGTTTCAGTAGATCATCAATGCATAGTCAGTATATTTCATGTATTAGCACATTTTAAGTACAGTCATCGGAATGTATGACATTTCGTTGAAACTAGGTCCATTTCTATGCATACACTGAAATCCCGCACCTGTTCCAATGTCAATCAACTTATATCAGTTGCAAACCTGATAGAGCCGGTAGAGGAAAGCAGAATTTACCGCTCTTGTAGAAAACGAAAACGAACGCATCTACATCCAAGTACGAACATGGAATAGTCTGAGTATGGCTATGGAAGCTTATAGTGAAGAAAAGGCAGGAATTAGCTGTGCGATCGTCTTACTCTCTACAGAAAACATATCTGCAGGAAGTAGGACATGAAATAGGGCAGACCTTCCGGCAACTTAGCATAAATACTAGTAGGCCCAGCACGCCCCGTTGTGTGTACGCGTATGCATGTATGTAACCATTCTGCTATTACGACGTGTGTGGCCAGGACTGGCCTTAAATTGTTTGACTATGTTTCTGTTACAGCTGCTTTCTCGCTCCACGGTAGCCTCTTCGAGATCGAACTCAAGGAAGCGGCGTCTGACTTCACAGAGAACGAGAAGGTATTTTCTATGCACATGTGTGTGTTGTCCGAGTGGCTGTCTCCCATGCACACACGATATCCTGTCTGCTCTCCTAGCCAGCAGTGCAAGCTCATTCTCGCTTCAACACGTCAAGTTTAGTCTATTTTCCTCAGGGTGCGCAGGCTGTGCTATGAACTTTGTCAGTGAACAGTAGTCATGCATTCACAGCTTACTTGCTGGCAAATTCCTCTACTGCATGTAGGAATGCTGGCAACGAGTCGCTGGGATTGCAGTATAGATGTGAGTGTTTCACTTACATAGTGCGTATTTCAGCGAGGAAATCTTCCAGTGTCACCCCCTCCCAGTAGCAGACTTGGGCGCGAGTGTCACCTCAGATGTCGCTAATTCGTATTCCTATGCTGAGTATGAATCTGAATGCTACTAAGTACAAACAGCGCGTACTCTTTACACAAGTAGTCTAATACTCTATGTATGGATTTGAATGTGTTGTTGCCGGTGTGAGTATTCACTGGGGGGAACAGGAGTTTTGCACTATAAGTAGTAGTCTAGTGCTGTACATGTACGTCCTGTTTGAAATGTAGCCTTGCTGCTGTGAGTATTCACTGCGTGCAACTGGCGGCAATTCGATTCACGCAACAGTGGCGGTGTTTTATGCTTTCTCTTCTCGTATCTGGTAATTAGCATGGTGGAGACTTGTAGCTTGCCACCTCTCTTTTCACACTTGTCACACTTGATGTTGTGACAACATATTGCCACTGTGGCGAGACTTTCCTCACACTCCTTACACTGTTCTTGTTTAAAGGGGGTGCTTCTTGTTTCACTCTTGTTCTTCCTTTCTCAGCTATGAATGAGCTCTATATTGGTCTTGATTCATAGAAACAGGCCTGTTGCGTCTGGTTTTCGTTGCCCGTAGCTTCCTGGAGAGTGTGGATCAATCCTTCATCATGTCTGCGTTTCGTGTATGCATGTGCTGTGTGTGTGTGTGTGTGTGTGTGTGTGTTTATATGTGCAGGACATTCTTCTTCATAATGTGGCAAATGCATTGGGCTATGGGTCAAGCTCACCTGTTAAGGTGTATGCAATTGACTCGCGTCTTGGAAAGTAAGGTCATTTTTGCCTTGGATAGTGGCTCGTAGAATTTTCAGTTGGGACTCCTTAGCAGTAGAATTTGTTGTTATTAGTGTGAGCTGTATTTTCAAACTCCGTATTGTTTGACTTCACCCTGTCTGGTTTCTTGTTTTGCGCTGAAGTAGTTCCATAGTAATATGTGTAGCCTGTGGAGCGTGTGGCATAGTTCAATGCCACTGGTTATATTTTGTCTTCTTTGCACCTTTAATAGTGCAGTATTGTATAATTGTGTGTACTTGTTTGCGTGTGTGTGTGTGTGTGTGTGTGTGTGTGTGTGTGTGTGTGTGCGTGTGCATATGCATGCGTTTTCACAGGGTAACCATTGTACTGCACATCGTCGATGAAAAAGAGGACTGGACCGCTGAATCTGCCGTCAGTCAGCTGCGCGCGTCCCAGGACTCACTGAACGTGAACGTCAAGAAATCCTCGGTAACAGTGGAACGCATCAACACGTTTTACTGCCTGAACAACTGCTCCAACCATGGCACGTGTGAGCCACTCTCCAAGCAGTGCATCTGTGACACGCTCTGGTTGCAGAATCCCTTCAAGGCGCACTTTGGCGACAGGACGCCTAACTGTGGTGAGTTTAACCCAAGTTGCCTGATCACACCGGTCCTGTTTGTGAATATTGTACTCTGCAGTTGTGCCACCAACAGCACCTTGTATCACCACTACCGTAAGCAATCTCACTCAGTCACTGTCTAGAGGTGCTCGCCTTGAGTTTGCCTAGCCTGAATTTGCTTGCCCTCTGCACATGTACTCCTGCTGCTGCTTGTCCTGTGCTAGACTGGAACCTACTTTACGTTGCTATAGTAAACATGGCGATACTCGTAGCGGCCGTGCTCCTGTGCTACGGTGTGTACCATGCCTACAGTCGGTAAGTGAGCATTGAGAAACGTTGGTGTGCGTCTTACCTGGACAATCTGGGCGTCGTGATCTTCTTTTCTTCATTTAGCACCAATTCTAGATACGGCAATAAGGTGAACGCATTCATACCACGGCGCCAGGGGAACACTATGTATACCGTAATGTCGCCTATAAAAGCAGGTGCTTACGGCCGTATAAGCCAGTGTCAGTGCTAGGCTTCTATTCAAACCACCTATCTCTATGCATGGCAATACTAAAACCAGGCGTATGCGCTGACAGTGTATCTTAGAAATCAGGCTTGTATTCAAAACAGGCTTCTATACAAGACAGGCTTTTATACAAGACACAACAGTAGATTTAACGTCGTTCTCATGTAAATATCTTCAGAAATCTTCATCACAATGAATCACAAATTGCTATCTGTAATAGGTTTCTTGTCTCCTTGCCCCCTGTTTTACTATTTTAGCCCCAAGCTATTATTTTCGCTACTTGACCTTGCAGAGCGTGGTACCCTCTTCTGTTTGTGCTGGTGTCGTCTTCCGCAACACCACATCCCCCTTTTTCCCCATTTACGATGCCTGATCACCGAGACCTCTGGTCGGTCAAGTTGCTCTCAGTACATCGGCACGTCGTCCCTGCATCCCCTTTGTCTTGTTTTATGTTGTCATCCACGTGTATCCCAGTAGGGCTGTGTTCATAGTAAAAATCTTTAAAAAAATTGCCACCCCTATAGCCAGAGATGACCTGTCCCCAGTATACAGCCCTGTTTTCTACACGTTGCAGTGAACATGCGTACCGGTAGGTTGACGACCAAGAACAAAAACTGTAAATCTGTAAAAGCCCCTGACTCTGAGTAAGGAAATTCTTTAGGTGACCTGTAGTGTCTAGTATACTAGTATTACTTGTACTCGTAGTAATGGTAGCACTCAATAACCCGGGGCAAAACCCTTTCTGCTACAAGGAGAGTACACTTCCTGTTGTCAGCTTTATGCGCTTGACCAGGGAGTAATAAAAATACTCCCTGCGCTTGACCATTAGATCGTCTGATCAGGTCTAGTCTGATGGTGTATCATCCAGTATATGATGAAACCTGTGCGTGTGTGTGTGTGGACAGGTGTACTTTGAATCGGATCAAGCTGCGTGCCAAAGGGAAGAAAGGCTATTCCGTTTTGAAGAGGGCTGAGTCGGAGGAGGATACGTCTCTTGCTATTTTGTCGCAAGGTATGTGCAAGTACAGCATTCAGCACACTGTGTGCTGAGCGTACCTAATACCTATGCTGATACTCGCTCACTTGCTCCACTTGAAAGTGCTGGCTTTGTATTGAATGATGCTGCCGATGCTTTGTCGTAGTGAGATAGATAGATGACCACCGTATGATGTATACCATGGTACCAAATAGTTCTAACGATTTACAATATGGTGTATGAAGGAACTGAGAACCAATGGATGTGCCGCTTTGCTGATGGTATGTGCTGTGGCAACGCATCGAGTTCGGTTGGAGAGGGCAGGTGTGGGGCGGTCGTCAATGAAAAAATCGATCCAGGATGGAATCATCTTTTTGGTGTTAAAAGATGGGGGGGGGGGGGGGGGCAGGTGGTTCTTGACCAGGAAGTAACGACTCCTTGTTCTTGACCTGCGCTGCCCGGTACGCGAACCCCGTCGAATTTATTTATTTTTTAAAGATGGCATGTGATAACTTAGATGTTACAATATTCATGTGATCTGTATGCTAGTCTAGTAGTAAGAGTCTTTTGTCTTCTACTTTGCTGATTATAGCTCATAGTCGTGGCCAACTGCAGAATGACTCAGGCTCAGAAGATCTACTCTTTGATACCACGAGTCTTGTAAGGATGGATGGAAACTCCAAGACGCGCAAAGCCCACGAAGGATCAAACGGCAAACTACAGAACCATAAGGAGACCTAGGGATGCCCTCACATGGTTTGCCCACCTGCTTTCAATTTCCTTGATTATATCTGAGTGTTTTTTTTTGTTTCTCTTTTTTTCTTCCCAAACTGCCAACCATTTTAGGACTGGTTTTTGACTTCCTTGAGTTTGCCTTGGCCATGAGAGCTTACTGCATGATCTAGTCTTGTCCTATTATGTTCCATTGTCATTGAGCAGACCAAAATTGCCCCCATTCAGCATTATCATGATAAAACTCTTTGTCTACAGACCTCGATCACACATAAAATATTTTGCCCAGAAGTTGGCTGTTTAATTTTCAAATCAAAAGTGTGCGTCACATTTCTTTGCCATTGCATTTTTTAAACATTATTATACGTCACATTTCTTTGATTATCTGTAGTACATGTTTAGATTTTTAGGCTGTTTAGAAGAATTTGAAACAGCGACCATCGCACTATGGATAAGCATTACAGCATTGAACAGAGACGGCAGTTTTACCGTATTTCCAGCGTATAAGCCGCGCTTTAAAATCTGGGTGCGGCTTATACTCCAGAAAATAGTTCAAAACACGGTACTCGTTGGGCTGTGCAACCATGCATAATCTCGGTTTAGTACAGTTTTTTTCATTACCAACGTACATACCCACACACACACCAGCAGACATGCAGTTGCGGTGGACGCATATGATTACAAGTATGGTACTTTAACTGCCAGGAGGGCAGCAGAAGGAAGTCAGCACACTAAAAGAGAAGAGGGCCCACCCATAACAGCTGGCAAAAGCGTGCTGTCGTAAGAAAGAGAGACGAAACAACAGAATAAAGTGAAATAGATGACAAGAGGTCTCCAGTCCCAGACTCTGGAATCAGCTACAGTATTGACGACTACTGGAATGTGTTGCATGCTGGTGACGGAATGTTTTCAAAGTCATGAATGCAAGCATGCCTAATAGCCAGTGAGCAGAAGAAAAGATCATGCAGGGCATTGCAGAGTGAAGCAAAGGCAGCAGAATAGAGAGAAGCAAGCGGTAAGACACTGAACTGCGAGAAGGCAGCAACAGAAGAGAGTGAACGAACCAGATGTGAACGCCTTACCAGGCAGCAAAGTGAAAGATGGAGATATCAGAGAATTAGACAGTTGACCTTCTCCTTGAAGGGGTTCTCGTTGTTAGGAATTCCAACAAGCAACGGGTCATTCACCTGGTGCGTTGTGCAATATCCTACCAAGCTGCACAAATAATCAAATGCAGACAGACACACCCAGACAGACACACAGAATGAGAGAGAATAATGACCATGGCAAAGACACATACATATGCAGTGTTCATCAGTCAAAGTTTCACAACAATGAAAGTCGATACCCAAGTAGACTCCTTACTAACTCAACAGAAGCCTGCATGTGCAGCTCTCCAGCAAGAGTACATAGTGTAAAGTGAGAAAATTTCGCTATTTTCGCGACCATCGCACATTCGCGAATATAAATCGCAGCAAACCTCTCTGTACATTGATTGTAGACAGTACAAGATCCGACTGAAGATACAGAATCGTGAACCAGCACAATTTATGAAAACGTTAAATTTGCGCGCCGCGAAAGTTTTGTCGCTTCACAGTACCCTGCCCACCTGCACAAGATGAAGATTGCTATTCATTGGCTTCTAGAGAAAAATCTGACTTTGGTTGAAAACTACCCGGCCACACTGACAATGGCACAGGAGTGACAGAAGTGACAGTACACTACCGTTTTTCACCAAGCTGACCGTTCATGACGTCACGCCTACGGGTGGCGGAAGTCAGTAGCTGCTGCTACACGTATTTTCATGGCTTTGCTTTCTCGACCCCCAGTAGAGTCTCAGGGGCAGGAGAACGGCAAAGTTCAGTTGTTATCTTGGCGGCAAAGAAGCCGGCAGCATCTCCGGAATGAATTCACACCAAACGCTCCCAGCAGAGGGCACTACTGTAGAACGGGTAATTTTAGCGACTATTAATTTTAGCGTTTTCCCATTGTCAACCGGTTAGCGACGTTTTATTTTAGCGATTTTACTCACGGATCACCAGTGCACTATTAATGTCTCAACGGATTAACGACTTGAAACTTTAGCGAAAATGAGTCAATCGCTAAATTCGCTAGGGTTTTTACGTCGCTAAAATTACCCGTTCTACAGTATTCTCACTAGTCCCTAATCTCAGTCCGGTTGGTCGCAGAAACCCTAGCGGCATGGCATTCTACCTGCACGGGGAGTCGGTGGAGAAGTATGCTTTATGCACAGCGGTTGCCGCAGCCTACTACCACGGTACAGGTGCCCGGCATAACAGGCCAACACAACAACGGACTGAAAGATGATAATGAGCGGCCATCCCATGTAGACTAGACTGTAGTGTCGGTGTGAAGCTTGAACGCGAAAGGACCTCACACTCACTGAAAACTACACTACTAGACTGAAATTTACCAACCAGATAACAGATCTCAGTGTACACTGTAATACTGTATAAGCAGAAATATTCGTCTGGAATTTAATTTCGTCTTTTTCGTCCAAGGAGCTTTTGGACTGAATCAAATGTCGATTTGCCCAGCTTTTCTATACTCTTATGATCCATGGACGAAATTTTCAACCGGACGAACTCCTTTTCTTTGGAGTTGGACGAAATTATTGACCGACGGAATTTTCTGCCTCTACAGTATTCGTCAGTGGCCTTTTTTTGCAGAGAGAGAGAGAGAGAGAGAGAGAGAGAGAGAGAGAGAGAGAGAGAGAGAGAGAGAGAGAGAGAGAGAGAGAGAGTGATGCATTTTTACGCATTGCGTTCCTCGAGATCGGGTGCTTGCTGATGCACCACTGCGCACATCATCCGCTGATTGCATAAGTACTGAAAAGAGGATGGGCGGTGACGGACGGCACATCGCCGTATCCATGGACACCGTCAATCGGCGTCATGAGCGCCTTGTCGCTTCTTACGCTGCACCCCGTTAAACGTGAACCGGGTTCACAACTTCACACCGGTGTGAGATGCAGCAAAGGCGAGTGAGTCACTGTGACACGAAGAAAAAAATGGATTTAAAACTACTTCGCACCGGGCTCATTCTCCCGGAATTGTACACTCCGGTGTATGTGCTCAATACGAGTAATACTGTGCTTCATTCTCTATCAGTGATCGTGCATCATACAGTAGTATGGTGCATCCGACTACAGTTTAGGTCGTAGATCTACGACAAAGCTTTCGAAAATACATGTACGGAGCTTTCAAGCCATTCTATTTATTCGCACATTCACAGATTCAAGGATTACGACTGTATTGCCTCAAAATCCGCAGACTTTTTTTAGCAACCGAAGCCTAGCCTTCGCGTTATACACAGAAAAAACACTACTGGAAGCGAAGGGCAACTGCACCGTTCACTTCATGTCAATCATGACCCGAATGTAAGCTGCAGCAGCAAGAGCTGCAATGCGAAGGATTGACAAAAATAAGTTGTTTGAGAACACCCGCAATCTATTTACGAGGATTAGTACCAAAACAACGGGAGTACTACTGATGGAAGTCAAGCAGTGAGAACGATAGCAGAAACAGAGAAATGATACGAAGTGCAAAGAGACGGTGGGAGCGAACATCCTGTAACTCTTCAGTGTTGCGAGAGAAAAACATTCAAACTCAACAACTTACTCTTGAGCAGCTTGCGAGACTTTCATTCTTGAGATTCCCGCTTCGCTGCGAAGCTGCTCCACAGACTTCCGCGCTGATTGAACTGCCGCTGAAGACATTGTGGCAAACTTCCACCCACTCCTTTCCAACAGCAACCAAAGACGTTCACTACGGGGAGACTGCCAGTTCACCTACTTCAAGCACTCAAAATCAAATACAAACTCTCTCCGAAACTGGCGAAGAGCAGTGGCCGGGACAGCGTAGCTGGCGTGGATCTGACTGATGCCTCCAGTCTGACACTGTACTACCGGCAGTACCGCGCATGATTTCCAAACCAGCCCGATTTTGTACACAACTTTTTTTTCTTTCCATTTCCATTTTTTTCATTCCATTTCAATGGGGATATGGGTGTTTGAAGAAGTAGCCGCTGAGTGCTCGGCATTAGGTGGCATGTTTTTGGCTATTATTATTATTATGTGCTTGTTCGCGTAGACATCAGCATGGCCTGCAGGCTGCAGCTGCATTAAAGGGGCACTCCGGCTTCATTTTCGACGCCGAGTTTTCGATGGCAAGACGAAGGTAGGTGAAAGAGAAGACCCCTCGAACAAGAACGAGTCTCCAGAAGCGATCGAGTCGAGCGGGAAGACGACTTTTGAATTTCGCCGAGCGAGCGCTGATGACGTAATGAGGGATTAGCTTGCCGGTGGAAATGCACCTACGCACATACATTTCACATACTTTTTGGCCAATTTTCAATCGAAGAGGAGGTTGTTTTCTATGTTCTCCCAACGTTGTGAGCGATCCCGTCTTCTATACCCTTCCAGGTATCCTGAGGGTCCTCCAGAGGAGAATTTATCTCCAGCAAAGCGTTGTTGATCCGCTAAATTCGTCTCGAGACATATTCACCCAGTACAGATACCGGTAAATGTAGAATGTTGAATCTGTGATAATTGTTGACGATGGAGAGAGAGGCTAATAGCCGCTGTCGCAGGGAGAGTGAAGCTGCTGGAAGTAACAACGGGGAGCCCGTTAGCATCACATGAGCACCCAGACTTCAAAGCAGCTTGACGGAATCGGGGAGTACAGACTATTTGTCTCGCCGTTTTAGTGAATTTTATGATCAGGAAACTATTCGATCAGGATCCCTTCCACAAGATGTGAAGTACAGGTGATTTCTGAACTTGACGATATGGAGACCGGCCAGTGGACCTACAAACAACGTGTACCTGCAGGAAATTCACCCAAGCCTGCTGCTATCCTCTTCAGTGGCTGTTGTCTTTCAGTAAAAAATATATTCACTTCTCAACATACTTCTGCATGGCAGCAAGAAGGTGTGCTATGGAATTCAACGCCACATTCTTCGCCCAGCTGTGGATGAAGCATGGCCAAGTCATGGGCAGTACTGTACATATACTTGTAACAGAAGAGAAATTGAAGTTCATTTGTGATGGGAAGTTTGACAGCCCCAGTGACCGAGTCAAGCATTGCTATGTACTTTTGCCGCGGCAAAAATTACAGAAGAATCCGACATGGTCTTGGAATTATGCACATGGATACTACCGGTATACCAGAAATAATGGTGGCATGAACCAGTGTGGAATGGGACAGCTCACGGCGAATACTGGAGTAGCGCAAATATCTGTAGGTGATTGTAAAATAGTCCTGTTCTGGCTGATAGCTTCGGCCTGCTGCGCCCGTCCATGCACAATGATGGGAACATGCATTTCTGTTTTCTACATATTTGCCAGCTATTTTTCTATGGCATTACAGTTGCAGGTCCCTTGTATAGAAATATTTTCACCCTCCCCTCCCATATACCCACTCAATATGAACTAACAATTTCACTGTTGGACTCAGATAGAGGGCCAATGATTAATTTACAGCAAAGAAAAGGACCAGGGAACTACAAGTAACGCTATAATGTCCACTAGCAATTTCACTGTATTTGGAATAATTTGCTTGATACCCTGAGAACTCTGAAACTTTGCAACACTGTGGATTATCCGTGGATACAACATTTATGGAAGGAAAAATGGAATAATTTCCAACACATTGTACAAATAATTAGAGCACTGAATTATTGAGATTGTGAGCACATTCCAAACAGCACTCCACACCTTTATAAGCGGTGGCAATCGTTAGGAATAGGTCATGAGTTGTCAAAGTGATCAATTATATAAGAGAAGGCTTTGTTTGTCTAATCGACGGCTCGTTTGAAGTCGAGTTGTTTCCGTCGACTTGATTCTAAACAGTAGTCGAAGGAGTACTATGAAGTATACACCAGACGTAGTCTGTGAGGTATCTCGTGAGAATTCTGTCGGTACACATCAGGTATCAGCCTTGACAAGATGGCTCCTCTCTCTTTCTTGCAAGCCTGTTTAGCTGGACTGTGGCTCCAGCGATTCCCTTCTCAGAGCAGAAACCATACCCACTGCGGTCAATGCATATTGGACAGACCTGTGTGCACAACAGAAATAGTGAAGAGAAATCTCTCAGCTCATGAACAATTTGAAGTTTGAACTGCCGTTGTTTGTGGTCATCAGTATGAACCTATCGACTATAACTATAATGTGCAAAAACCTCTATAACTACAGCTGGGGGGGGGGGGGGGGGCATGGAATTATAAAGCATCTAACTTAGGGAACTGCCAATTCTGGTCTGAGTTGCGTTCGAGGCCTGCAATTCATGATGGCTATCGTATGTTGCATTGACCAGAGATCATGTAAAACTTCCTAATGCCACACTGAAACGCGCACCGCTTCGAGTACTATGATATCCCCCACCAAATGGGCATTCGTTCTTGGGGTGGCAGGCGTCACCATTCTTCATGCCTGGATCAGATTTCATTGACCCCAACTGTCATGAAGAATCATTTTTACTTCGACTGGATTTTAGTACAAGTTGTAGAACTTTAGAATCAATTTTGTTGTATTTGGGCAACCATTTCTCTACCAACGCTCTATTTGGAAAATAGAATGTTTTTACCCACATCTACCCAAATCGGAATACAGTGATCGCGCATTCAGTAGTACTACACGGAAATTTGGAAAACGCCAGGGAATAGGAATTTGCTAAAGAGAACTCCAGGCCATAGCATGCCATGCCATGGGTACTAGTGTACGAACAAAAACAAGAAAAACTCACCAGCATACGTACGTGTAGTAATTCATGTTGGTGTAATATTCACGATACACAACGAGGGAAATAGTCAGCACCCTCCGATTTGGTCAAGCTGCTTTGAAGTCTGGGTGCTCATGTGATGCTAACGGGCTCCCCGTTGTTACTTCCAGCAGCTTCACTCTCCCTGCGACAGCGGCTATTAGCCTCTCTCTCCATCGTCAACAATTATCACAGATTCAACATTCTACATTTACCGGTATCTGTACTGGGTGAATATGTCTCGAGACGAATTTAGCGGATCAACAACGCTTTGCTGGAGATAAATTCTCCTCTGGAGGACCCTCAGGATACCTGGAAGGGTATAGAAGACGGGATCGCTCACAACGTTGGGAGAACATAGAAAACAACCTCCTCTTCGATTGAAAATTGGCCAAAAAGTATGTGAAATGTATGTGCGTAGGTGCATTTCCACCGGCAAGCTAATCCCTCATTACGTCATCAGCGCTCGCTCGGCGAAATTCAAAAGTCGTCTTCCCGCTCGACTCGATCGCTTCTGGAGACTCGTTCTTGTTCGAGGGGTCTTCTCTTTCACCTACCTTCGTCTTGCCATCGAAAACTCGGCGTCGAAAATGAAGCCGGAGTGCCCCTTTAATGGGCATGCAAATCAAGCAAACCAGCCAAAGATGTTCGCATAAGCCACTTCGAATAGATACAAAAGACCATAACAGTTTCAGAAAAAGAAGAAATATGCGAAAAGAAGACAAAAACCAGGGTGCCGACACCACTCGGGCACAGATGCCCACCCAACCGCTTCGGTCAGCAGCAAGGGCACGGAACGCCTCCAGATCGACTTTGCTTGACAAGGAAAGTCCAATCCGCTTGGCATCATCTTGTAGTAGCGTTGGTAGTGTGTGTCTTGGTCGTCCCCTCCAGCCCGCTGGACGAGGCTCTGCGAAGTACGCTCCCATGGCCAGTGATGGTGGGGAGTCAGCCGGGAGCCGGAGGACGTGCCCAAAGAGCCTCCACCTAGCTCTCAAGATGATAATGCCGAGTAGAGAGGAACCGCGCCGGTACGCTCATAGAGCCTCTCGTTCCTAATCCGATTCGGGAACACAATGCCGATTAGCGCCCGCAGCTGTTTTCGGTGGAAGGCCTCAATACGGCTCAGCTGCTGTTTCGTTGGTGCCCATGTTGCACAATTGTAGCAGAGTACAGGGAGTACAAAGGCATTATAGAGCCGGATGCGGAGATCCTCCGAAACTAGCGACCTACGGATCCACAGCGTCCAGAGTTTACCAAAGGCAACCAGTTGCCAGTTGCTGTCGCCGTAGCATATCCTCGGCATCACCTAATAGGAACCCGAGTTTCTTGGTGGTTCGCCACTCCTCCTCGATGCGATCAGTGTGCCGTTCGATGTGCGTGTGCTCTGTTTTGGTCTCATTCACTTTCAAATCCCATTCGAGGAGCTTGTTGGATATGGTTGGAAGGAGGGTCCTCAGCCTCTCACCATCAGTAGTCACGAAATCCACATCGTCGGCGTAGGCAGTTTCAGTTGGTAACCCCAGGGAGATATCGGCAGGGGGACGTGGTAGAAGAAGAGGCCGGACATCACGCAGCGCACCCTCAAGGTACACAATGAAAAGAACAGGAGACAACGAGTCACCTTGGGGTGTGCCGCGGAGAGTGGGGAATGACGGGCCCTTAGCGGATGGGAGTACAACCCGCAGTACGGTGTCCTGGAGGAGGTAACTGATCATTCGGATTTCATCCGGCTGCAAGAACGATCCCAGCACCGAGATGAGCCGTGGCCTGCTTATACAGTCAAACGCTTTTGACATATCAATGCCTAGGATATCCAGCGCACAGCGATAGCGTTGGCATCGAGCCGCCAACCATCGGTATGACCACACAACATCTGTGGTGCTTCTGCTGGGGCGGAAACCACTCTGTGTGTGTGCAACGAAGTTGTTGACGTCCTTGTTGATCCTCCGCAGCACAATCAATGATAGAATCTTCCTGAGCGCTGTGAGTAAAACCACGGGCCGTAGGTGAGCGACTGGTCCCCTTGATTTGCCAGGCTTTTGTAACGGAATAAGCGACCCAATACCGATGTAATGCTGTTCAGGGGCAGGCCTGTCTCGACGTTTTTGGCTAGAGAAAGCATTATCAGTTCTATTTTGGTACAATACAAGTCTTAGACTTTTTACACGTCTTTTCACATGACAAGAGGCTTGTACAGACAGTGTACCGACACTCTTGCGTCGCTCTTCCGACAGTTGCGTGTTGTCGTCGACTAGTGGACTGGCAACTACACTTCCTTATCTCAGTATGAGCCAATTGTGGATACATTTCTTTTCCATGTGCATATTTGCCCAAGATAGCTCGAAAATATACATATCACTCTAGCATTATAGTGTGAATGGAGCATTATAACAGGCATTATGCCGTGAAATATCGAGCACTGCCAAAAGCATTATACTGTGAAAAAAGAGCATTAGCCGCCGATGCCTAACCGGTACCGTCCTTCGTCTTCAGATGACTGACGGTGACTACGAGTAGTGCATTTCCAAGATGTGGGCACTGAACCGAGATTTTCTCGACCATAGCGAGGTGCCGGGTCGTGAAGAACGATACACCATCCCCAGTGCGTGGGATTAGAGCATACCGAGAGTCCGAGACCCCCTTCTCGATAGGGGAAACTGGGAAGAGATGCCAAGAGCAATGTCAACAGGTTGTCCCGTCCGGTTCGGTAGAAGTTTAGTGTGGCCCATGATGATTATTATGCTCTACGGGTGTCATGGCTTCCGGAGATTACTTCTAATCCCGACAGAGGTACGTCGTCCATCTATCATGTCTATTGGCAAGGCGTGAATGCTGCATACATGTATGCACCTTGCGGTTGGAACAGGGCAAAAGAGTACAGCACATCAACCTCCTTGCACCGCAAATCTGCCTTCTTCTGGAGATATTCCTGGATACAGTCAAGAGCGCCTAATGGCGCAGCGAGATACCGATGCCCCTCAGCAATTACTACAATACTAGTACATGTACCTGGATACCGCCCGGGTATCAGCGGAAATCCTAGTGGCTTCTTCCCTGACTGGCCTTACGAGTATTGACTGCAGAGCAGGGTAGGGTCGATGACGCTCAGTCCGCCCAGCCCACGGGGAAGAACTCGGGCAACCCTCTCGGAAGATCCGAAGCTCCTGGTGGATTCCTGCCTTTCAGATCCGGGAGGAGTACTTAGCAAGCGAATGTGCTCCAGCGGCTGTGAGGCGTACATGCACCGGTACATGTACAAACGAAAATCCAGTGGAACAAAAAGTGATTACAAGTCTCTACTCACGAGTTTCATGCTGAAAATCACTCATCAGAGAGTGGCGCTCGGAGTTATGTGGTGATGGTGGGGGGGGGGGGGGGGGGGGGTGTGTTATCCCATGGCATGTATGCAATGCTAGTGTTTCAGCGCGAAGGCAGTGTAACACAGTGGTATAGTACTATGCGGGTGGCATGAGGGTATTATGAAGGCAGTGCAAGTGATCAGCTATGCGGGTGGCGTGGGGATATAATGAAACCGGCCAAGGCGCTACCGGTCCGCAGGGCAGAGGAGAATACAGGCAAAACGCCAGTCTTGTCATTGGGGCTTGGTGAGAGTTGGCACCAACTCGGGGTGCTACTGATGCGGGAAGGGCGCTATGTTATAAAGTTGCAGAGGTAGAACTTCGATTCGTGTCGGCACTTTGACACCAGCCCTGTGCGCTTGTTGAGGGACGTTTCCTTGTCTGCATTGCTGATGTATAGCTTCTCTGTTAGTTAGTTAGACACAGGTCACACCTTGGTGGTATTTGTGTAGGGACCCGCCCTGCATCGGATCGACCAGTAGATCCTGCCTGAGGCCTTGTTCGACTGCTTCAACTCCCAAACGTATCTCGACAGCCGTGTCACTGTGCTTTTCTCATACTTTTTGTGACGGAACGAGGTATTGTGCACATATGGTTGTTTAGGTGCTGCTTGAATTATGTGTTCTCGCAATCTCGGACAGCCCATGGTAGATTTTTGGTGGGGTGCTGTCGGAATCCACGTGAACTTCCGCCATGTAAATGAGTTCGTCTGTATAAAACATTGTCCGTTGAGCGGGCATTGGCACATTTTCCCATACCATCGGTCGTTGAGAGAACGACAGGGACAAGTGTGGAGTGTTCGACCTCCCTATATATGAACACAATAATAGAAAAGCTGACAGGATCGCTTTTCTAAATGCACGCTTCTTGTATTTAGCACGCTACCAAGAGTTCATAACCCCCAGGGGTTATGGACTCTTGACGCTACGCATTGCCACCACACCTGCATTATTTAGAAAAGCGATCCTGTCAGCTTTTGTTCACACACAAGGCAAGATGTGCATTGCATGCAGGGAAAGGCCATTACATGCGCATAGGCCCGGCCCCTACATTTAATTATAGCCCTGCATAATTACCGGTACGGTATGACTGGGACGCATTTGCGGCGTTTGCACTCTTCAAAGTCTTGCAAACAGTTGCCTACGGGTACGGGTACTGGATTTGGTACAAAAGTGCTTACTCCTGTACGCAGTGCACAACAGCTAGCGCCATCGTACATCGTGACGCCATCGAAAAGTTTCTTGCGGGGACCTCGTGCCAACCCAGCATGCAAGACTGTGCCGTTATACTCCCCTTCGATGCCCCATGCCTGGCGCTGAAGTGCCACTCACAGTCACCAAGCCGCACAGGTAGTGTGCTCTTCCAGCAGGCCCTGGGGCATTTGTGGTGGAGGAAGAAGGAAGGAGGTCGTGTAGGAGTTAGCACACCTCTATCTCGTAACCTTCAACCATCTTCTGCTTCCAGTCTACCAAACTTTCTTTCAAGCTACACCGGATGTAGGTTATGGCCATACCTGGTTTGTAATTTTTATTTTCATAATGGATTCTTTTCACTCTTGCTGTGCAAGAAATTTCACACCCGACGGTGTGCCGCAGGCGGCTTTCATCCAAGGAAATATGAGTGAGTGCTGGACGAAAACGATACCAATCATCGATGGCCTCCAACTTACATCCGAACTGGAGAGGAAAGCAGCTTGTCCTCGGCTGGCCGAGGAAACAACTTTGGACGAGGGTATTTCTCTGGGCTTTGACGGGGAGCGGCCGAACTTCGACATCACAGCTGGAGCAACGCAACTTGGAAGTGGTGGATTCGGGTCTGTGTACCAAGCCTATTTGATAGATAAGCCGGTGGCAGTGAAGACATGCCATCACCCCCAAGACCTTCATGCTTCGGCAAATTCAGCTAACACGCCTCTTTGGCGTGAAGCCAGGGTTTGCTCTCGCCTTCGTCATCCCAACATCGTGGAGTTCATCGGCATGGCGGACACAGTGTCTGGCGTGTCTCTGGTCATGGAGTACTGCTCCGGCGGACCGCTGTCCGCGCTGTTGTCGAAGCAAGGAGAATTACTTCCGTCCACGTTGCTGACTTGGGCACAACAGATAGCGGAGGGAATGTGTTATCTGCACCATTCTGTTCGAGGTGGGCCTGTAGTACACAAGGACTTGAAATCGGCCAATGGTGAGTAGGTCTCTGTTGGCATGCAATATACACATACATGTACAGTGGCCCCTTCATAATGCGGCAACACTTGTCCTACAGAAATGCTGGATTAGGCTGAATTAGAGAGGTTGCTAGATTAATACATCTGATTCGCTGCTGCAATGTGCACGAAGAGAACATTTTGGTTACTGAAAATGTGCTGGTTGTATAAAATGCTGGATTAAAAAGAGGGACGACTGTACCGGTATAGAGCTAACTTTAACTTTTTCAAGGTTGTACCAGCGGTCACTTTTTGGGGTCATGTGCGAGAAATTTTTGAATTTTTTTGAATCGCTGGTGAACAGGTGAAGCCCAGTTCAAGTTCACTTTGTATGGGAATGGATGCGTGGAGGTGAAAGAAGCAGTAGAATGGCGCTCCACTTGATGTCCGACACTCGTGTTAAGTCAGAGCAGTTGCCAGGAAACCCTTCCATGGCTTGGGCGAAAAAGAACAAGCTTAAGAATCGCGCCAAGCGCTGGTGGAGACGAACCTGACACATGTCATATACTTTTCACTGTATTTTGACATGCGACCTGTTCACCACAATCTCGGGGTGATCGCCGGGGCGGGAAAGGTGTCCTTGAAAAAGCTCAAGCATACCGCCCAGTGTCCATATAGGGCAGTGGCTACATGGCGTCCGGTGTTGACTATCTCACAAGGTCATGCTTCATTCAGCGCACTAGAGCGCCTCACATTGTTACCAATGTGTGTGTGTGTGTGTGTGTGTGTGTGTGTGTGTGTGCACGCATGCACATGTGTGTGTGTGTGTGCGTGCGTGCGTGGTCTACAGGGCATTGCATGCCCCCATTAGTATAGTAGCATTGTGAAGCCTCAGTGTCCACTGGGTGTCAGAGACAATGGGTCAACATATTGGATAGTGTGCTTCTCGAATGGTCTAGTTGCACTTGGTTTGATTACAATTGTGCGTCTGTTTTGTGATGCAGTTCTACTATCTCGCCAGGTCAACCTTGATGATCCGACCACGCTGGTGAACAATCCCGTGAAGATTGGTGATTTCGGCCTTGCTGGAGCGCCGTCCAATGTTGACTGTGCATCTCATGCCACGTCCTGCATGGGGACTTTCCCCTGGCTGGCACCGGAGTCCATACGCCGGTCATTGTTTACTTGTGCATCAGATACGTGGAGGTGAGGTGCCTGGCAAGCCTGAGGTCATACATTATGTAGAACATGCACACACTAACTGAACTGTGTGCAATTGTTGCGTCCAGAAGTGTCTTGTACCATGCACTATACGCTCATAGCTCTCTTGTCCGGGCGGTCCGGGACCTCCATCTACTGCCCGTAATTTGGAATTGTCTGTCACTCGGAATCACGTACGTTTTGATGCATTTCCACAAAAAATGGCAAAGGAGTGTGTCCCTGGTTCGAGTCCCGGTGGTGTGACTAATGATTTTTTCTTTCTTTCGTATCTGGCTTGCAAGTGTTGAGTTTCGGAGAGAAAAGAGCAGTATGAGGCATGTGGCCTCTAATTTCCTAATAGGAGTACAGTCAGACCTCGCATAACCGCACACATCCGTTTTCCACAAAAATATCCGGATAGGCGAGGGAACCGGATAATCGAACACACATACTGTATGCAAGCATGGCATATGCTGTACATGTGTAACCAACTATTTTCTTCCGGATGGCGAGGGATCCGGATAAACGAGGACCGGATAAGCGAGGTCTGACTGTAATACTGTTTCCACTAAAGCCCACAGAGTGCCCGGTAGACCGAGGTGCCCGTAACTTCGAGGTCCGGATAAGAGAGATACGAGTTGCTCAGTGTAATCTCATGCTATGTAGAACTGGCCGGATATACGCTATCTTATCATCACATTGCATTGTCTGGTCCAGTGCTCTGCAATCCCTTGCTTTTCCCCTTCTTCAGTCTGCATGGTTTTGATATTTCCCATTTCACTTTCCTGTTGTTCAGTTTTGGCGTGGTCCTGTGGGAGTTACTGACGAGTGAGGTACCCTACCACGGCATCAACAAGTGGGCGGTTGCGTACGGCATTTCCACACAGCAACTGCAGCTTCCGATTCCTGCCACTTGCCCGGCCAAGCTACGCAGTTTGATTGAAGGTACAGTGAAACCTGGTTGAAAAGAGCACTGATAAGGCCAGCCTTTGCTTCAGAAAAACTAGTATTTATATCTATTGGATAAATCACTGGGTATTCACTGGGTATATAGTAACGTTATGGATAAAAAGAAGTCCCGTTATTGCAAACAAATGCAGTGAAACCTCGTTAGGAATAACACTGATAAGACAAATGTTTGCTTAAAGAACTAATATTCGTCACTCCATTGGATAAATCACTGTGTATTCACTGGGTATATAGTATGGATAAGAAGAAGTCCCGTTCTTGCAAACAAATACCATTGGTTCCTTGATGTTGGTCCTAAAGACGTTTGACTGTACCATTGGTTCCTTGGTGTTGGTCCTGAAGAGGTTTGACTGTACAGTGCAGATGAACATGGTTCGTGTGGCGTGTCAGACCTGTAACAAGCATGCTGGTTGTTGAAGTCTTGGAAATGGTGCCCTGTAGCCCTTGTCTTTGCCTGCATGCACTGACGACCCATTGCATATTCCCCTGTGTGCATTATGATTATATCCAAAGTGAATAGCTAATCTCGTTTCATGTCCCTTCTACTATGTACTAGTAATTTAGATTTAACTCGGTACCCGACACTGTTGTGCTCTCTTGCATAACCTGCTACATGTGTACTGTATGCAATTTCTCTTTTCTCTCCATGCAGACTGCTGGCGGTACAATCCCAACGAGCGGCCAGCCTTTCCTGTCATCCGTGATCGCCTTTTAGCCATTCAACCTGATTTTGTCCCGCTGGAGCAAGAACCGTTCACCCGCGCCCAGCTAGACTGGAGGCGTGAAATCTCAAAACTCTTCGATGAGCTTCGTCAGAAAGAGCAGGTAATTATACAGTTTAGCATGTGTCTGTAACTGTTTTCAGAGTAAAGCAATAGTGTGGCCTTTGCTTAAAGGGGCACTCCGGGAATTTTTTCGGCGGTGTGTTCTCTTCATGGTGGCCTTATATGGCCCCCAAGGAATGGGGAATCGCGAAAACTAGACCCAAAAAGTCGATATATGAAGCCAGGGAGGGCCAAGTTTGTCTCCTCTTTTGATGGTTTTGATGATGTCACGTGTGATTAGTATTCAGATTCTCTGCATTTGAAGATCTTAGTTGTTTGAATTTTCTGGTGATGAATAACGATGTTTGGTCAACATTCCCAAGCTTCACAACTGCGGACATGCTCTAAGGAACCTGAAGCACCCCCTGAGGTGCCCTTGGTAGAAGCGCAGCCTGATGAGGGCCAGGAGATTGGAGCGGACGACTTCACTGGTCCGAGTACGAGGATCCCGAAATTCTCTATACGCCGTGAGGCATATGGTCAGAACTGATGTGTAACGCATGTCAAAGGGCTGTCAATGCTAACAGCTGCAGCGCTCTCTCGACAGCGAAGGTAATCGACTGCCCTCTGCATCACCCCACATTTCTGGCAGGAACACCACTCGTTATTTCCTTGTCGACCAGTGAAGTCGTCCCGCTCCAATTTCCTGGCCCTCATCAGGCTGCGCTTCTACCAGGGGCACCTCAGGAGGTCCTTCAGGTTCCTTAGAGTATGGTCGCAGTTGTGAAGCTTGGGAATGTTGACCAAACATCGTTCTTCATCACCAGAAAATTCAAACAACTATGATCTTCAAATGCAGAGAATTTGAATACTAATCACACGTGACGTCATCAAAACCATCAAAAGTGGAGACAAACTTGGCCCTCCCTGGCTTCATATATCGACTTTTTGGGTCTAGTTTTCGCGATTCCCCATTCCTTGGGGACCATAAAAGGCCCCCATGAAGAGAACACACCACCGAAAAAATTCCCGGAGTGCCCCTTTAATTTCTTCCAAGCAACATTGCCTCTTTCTTGCATGAACTTGTTTTCTTGTCTTTGTTCACTGCCTGCTGCTGCTGGTGTTGCGGTGTTGTTTGTAGGTACTGCGATCTCGCGAGGAAGAGATTAGGCTCGGGGAAGCACAGCAGGCTGCGCTTCGCTCTGATATCCGCAAGAGGGAGCAGGCACTCCGGCGGCGTGAGAATATTCTGCTTGGAAGAGAGATTGAGCTTGGAATGATGGTGAGTGCATTTCATGTGTGTGTGCTTAATCCAAGAAGAGGTTGGTGCCACTTTGGCGATACTTGGGGGAATCGTGTGTTGCTCCCTACCTGCTAAATCCAAGATGTTTCACTGTACCAACAGCGTTAGGTCCCAAGCATGCGTAGGGTCGTGTTGCTCGTAGCACCTTGTCAGTTTTCTCCTGTATGTAAGCTCCTGGTTTTCTTCTGGCCTCCTGGATTTCTTTTTGCTTTTTGCCTCTCATTTCACAGCAGTTTCTGCTGCTGCTATAGGTAAAGGAACAGTTTCACTGTTGTGAGCATGAGCAATTTTGCTGTCAGGACATGATTGTGTTACAATAGTCTTGACAGTGATGTCTCTCAATTCATATCTATAAACTATGCACAGGAGAAGGAACAAACGGAGCAACAAGCCGACCAATCCCGTCCCGCTTCAGCCGCTGGCAGGAGGAGTGCTTTCATTCAGTTCTTCAGGCGTCTTAGCGCGCGCACTCCTCTTTTGCAGCTGGACAATCGCAGCACAAGTAGTTCTGATAACATGGCGCTACCTCTGATCGACTCTCTGTCCTCTAATGATGATGATGCGATGAGTTTTGACGATGGATTCGAGTCCTCATCATCTGCCCCTCAAACACCAACGAGCATCGGTGTCGGGTCTGACATCTTCTCGGATTTCGAATATTTTTCCAGGTTTGAGTCCGGTCTCCCAGTATGACCTACGCTCTGCTCCTGTTTCCTCCCTTGCTCTAGCTGCACAACCAATCTTATTTATACAACGTACACTTTCCCTTAGTCGTGCTTTTTTGTATTCTTCGGTGGACCACTGCTCTGTCCCCGGATGTCGGCTCCCTTCTGCAGCTTAGGATTTGCATTCGCTGAGGCTCAGCTGCCAGAATGTGTGTGTGTATTCGATGCGGCACGGCGAGTGACACGTTCAACACCTGGCCATGGTTACATTGTTTACTGCCAGCTTGAGAAGGGGCCCCGTGCGCCTGAAGGTCAGTTTCTACTTGGGGACTGGTCGTCACTCCTAGCCTGGACAGACTTGCCACCCAACGTCCACAGTTTATATTGGAATTATCCAGCCGACTCGTCCCTTGCCAATCGGCCTGCAAGTTGATTCGAAGGAAACTCACCAAACCTATCGCGCCGGCTCTAAGGCGTTTGCATCCATGACGACCGTTGCCTTGTAATAATCTCTTCTCAGCTCCTGGGTCGTCAACAAAACTAAGTATTATACGTTATCCTTGTTATATCTTCCATAATTTCGTAACAGCTCTATGTCAAAAATATTATCCATAATCTATTGTTACTAACTGTAACTAGGGCATGTTAGTCAATCCATGGTCTCACCGTACCAGCTTGCGGCTATACATAGGGTTTTTGACTTTGTGATCCTCGCCCCGTAACTACTCCTGAATTTTAATCTTTCGTCCTCGTCACCATTATTACTATTTTATCCGACAGCAGCCGCCTTTAAAGACAGCGTCTGTGTATGTATTTTTGGATGCCTAGCATTGTAGTTGACTTACAATCTCATCTTATCCTTGTATGTCTAGTGGTGTTTTGTGTTCTTTTAATCCCTACAAATGACTGTGTCCACCTGCTCTTCCGCTGACCATGACACTTCCATCATATTGTATCCCCCCCCCTATTATCCACCTCGGTTCCGTGTCCGTGTTTCTGAGCAACGTCCCCAAGCACTGCTGCTGCTCCTGCACATGCCGGTTCTGTCATTGTCCGGGCTCTTCCTTTCGTCCCCGGTACATCCCCCGCGACAACAAGTGCTTGTCATGCTGCTGCTGCTGCTGCTGCCGTTGCAGCAGCAGTACTAGTAGTCTCTAGTTTCTGGTCTCTTTTAGATTTTGTCTATACCCCACAGATACACATGTTCTCTCTTAACTTTATTATTTTGTTTTTCAAAAGTTCACCATACACCATGGCGTAGCTTAAAATCCTCACCTAGCACTTTGAGCACAATATAGTTCACTAAATGTAGATTTTCAATTCCGTTAACACCAGTTTCACGATCACTTGTATTATCATGTTGCTAAGTTACCATGCATAAGCTGGTTTCTCTTGCCACATTCTCTCCACGTATCTATCAACCATCACAACACAACACGCTCTAGCCTATATGCACTATAAAGTGGTTTGAATCACGCCTTTGTAATAATTATTTCAAAGTACAGACACGATCGGTGGAGCCTTGTGTTCATTGGTACTGCCGGTGTGCAGTACCGTCCATTGTAGTGTGCAGTCAAGAGTGGATAAACCAGAGTGCACAACTCCGGGAGAATCATCCCTCCCACGTCGAATGTTTTTCAAATCGAAGCACTTGACTGACTTGAGCCCGGGGTTCGATCCCCTGTAGATCTCACCTAACTTTTTTTCGCCTCCAGTCTCTCAAGTGTTGCAATTTGAATACATGTACTGTAAACTGCCCAATGTTGCGGTGTATTTTTAAATGTTTGCTAATTTTGCGAGAAGAGCATAAGTTATAAACGCGAATATTAGGCCAAGTAAAGAAAATTGATTGTTTATCGTCCGCGCCCGCCCCGATTTTTCGCCCTCCCGGCCGAAATATTTTATTTTTTAGTTCCAGTAACTGTACTGTATGTACTGCAATCTATGCCCATACGGTCTCTAATGAGCTTGGCAGTAGATCTTGGAAGGCAAATTCCGCAGATTGAATCATACATGTACTTCTTGAAAAGTGAAAGAGATTATCAGCTGCCTGATTCTCTTCGTTGTCCTACGTTGGTTGTTTCACTTTTCCCTATTTGCAACCTCAAAATTATCTTGCAAGATGTTATCCGGTTCCCTCGCCTATCCGGATATTTTTGTGGAAAACGGATGTGTGCGGTTAAGCGAGGTCTGACTGTATAACCGTAAGGGGAAAATACCGAGATTTGGGTTCGACCTTTAGCAAGATGCACGTTAACGCACTTTCTACATACAGGCATGCACCCGGCTCAGAACACATTGCTTTTGGTTGGCATATCAGGGATATTGGGCGGAGCAGCTGGCGTGCATGAGAAAGACAGGTCGGCCTGCTCTGCGCAGAAGCTGTGACCTGGAGCACAGAGTGTGAACGAGAGACGGTCGGCCTGCCGTGGGCAGGAGCTGCGACCGGTAGTGATTGAAATGAGCCAGCTGCGGAGATAGATTGCCCTCACCCGGTATAGGTATATTGACAAGAGTTGTACTGACACTGTGACTGAGGAAATTATAGTGGCACGCACGCTGCGCATGTATAGCAATGACATCATAATCAGATGCATGATCATCAGACTAAGTATGAGCGGTAGAGGTTCCACGTTCGTTAACAGGGCTTAGCGCACACGCTAACCCACCACTCATTTGAGTACGCTGTTGTCATGAGTATAGCTTTTATTTCGCACGGTACAACCTTTCATGGCGCCATATACGTGATACAAGGTGACGCAAAATCTCTATACGAAACATGGTTTGTGTGAAAGCCAGCTCCACACGGATTCTCCGTGCCGGAAAATCGTATGGAGCACACCTCGAAAAATCCGTAGCGCCCATACGGATTTTGGCACGGAAAATCGTACCCCGGAACCTCTTTATCGTGTACATGACTCACTGCATGTACACACATATGTGGGAGTTCCAGCAGTCATGTTCATGAGGTTTAATTTTATTGTTGACTTACTACCACTGTATGTGAAGTCATTATCTATACATTCATTTGCACTGTGCGGCCCGCTCATATCTCAATACTGATATATTTACCAAAAAAGATAATCGTGCACAAACCACTCTACTCTACCCAAACGATAGGATATCTTCTCTAAGAGATATGGACATATTTCGCTTATTCATGGCTTACTTTTGAGTACAGTAGGCGCACGCTGAAGAACGTGGAGCTGAAGGACGTCCAGCCTGAAATACTAAAAACTCCACAGCCTAAAATTAAGAACGGCGGTATTGGTTTTCCGGCAGCTTGTAGGACACATACTGATCCGGTGCGGATTGTTCTCGGCTAAGAACGTGCTATAAGAACGCTGCCCGATTGCTGAAAACATTAATAAGAACGTGCCAGGCTAACCCCTTGGAAACAACGTCCGTGGGCGCGCGACTCTACTGTAATTAGACTTGCACCGTTGACCGGGAGAATATCCTATGTTCTAAATGAACATCAAGACCAGGTAATTTGCCATTTCTATTCAATTCACATTTTGTGAGCATGCATCACCATCAAGCATGCAGTGACCAGTGCAGCGCTTGTGATAAAATGCTGCACATAGTCACCTACGTACTAGCATGGGCCAGTGCATCACTGCTCAGCACACGCTCACAACAGCTGATTTCTAAGTTCTAACGGACTGTGATGTGGTTAGCCAATGCCCGTTCTCAAGTGCTTATACAGTGTAGAGTAAGCCTGAGAAACAGAAACAGCCGTTTCTCAGGGATACGTCATTCAGTTCACTCATTAGTTACAACATTGCCGCGCATACCTGAAATAGAATAATCAATCAGCAGTCAGTCGACGGTACTTCACAACTTCAGCAAAGAAGTGCAGCAGCGGTCGGGGTGTGTGGTGGTCAGTGATGAGGATACGCTGTAGTGCCCTGTGTCACGGCCATGCTGCTCCATGAGGATACGCTGTAGTGCCCTGTGTCACGGCCATGCTGTAGTGCCCTGTGTCACGGCCATGCTGCTCCATAACCGTGAGTAGCACACCAGCCTTGACGGCCGAGAGCAACATGTCGACACAGTGACCGTATGCAGGCCAGAGTCTTGTTGACGCGGCTAAGCAGTCAGCATGCAGTAGGTACTGAGAGGCATAGAACACTATCCGGTCATGGAGCTACGCAGCGTTGCCGAAGCACTCAATCGTCAGTCTTCGCCTCCTGGACCACACCCAGCTGGACTAGCAGCTTGTGTTCAAATGCCAGGTATTCCTTGTATTCCTACCACAAACAGAACAGAGTAGCCGTTGGCACTTGTGTACTGGCATCATGATAATGGTACATAGCGTTGCATCATAGGGCTCAGGCTTTACTGGAACTTCCTTTAATAGTAGAGCTATCAGATTGCACATGCGAATTTGCCAAGTCAAGGACAGTGGTGTATATTCCGAACATTGGAAAGCAGCTAGCACGAAAAATCGAGGGGTGCACCACGGAGTACGTGCATGAGCAGTTTGAGGCTTTTGTATCTGCACAATCCGCCTCTTTTGTATCTGCACAGTCTGCCTCTTTTGTATCTGCACAGTCCGCCTCTTTTGGCACATTTCATAAGATGTACTGAATGTTGTATGGCTTTGAGAGCATCCCCCGCAGAACATACCTCGTATCAGCAAGAGTAAATAAGTTCCCGAGAGTATGCAACTCTGCATATGAGGGTCTCCGACGGTGAAAACTCGCATCACATGTTTCAGGCACGCTTCGTACTACGTAGAGCAGAGGATAGCGTGTGTGCAATCCAAATATTTGCCATGATCACGACAGGAAGTTGTGCACCGAAATGTCGCATATATTTGAATTTACCTGTTTCAATCTTGCTCTCCGCTCAGTCGTTGGCTCTGAGTCTGGTCTAGATGCCTGGGAAGCAAAGAGGGAAGGAAGGAAGCAAGTCAATTCTATCTAGTTTGGTAAGAGAGATTGGCATCGATGTAGCTGAAGCGATAAAGCTATACTTTCACAATACGGCCCACTTTCGAGAATTCTGTCACTACAGGTATTGAATGTACGTCAGAACCTGTCCTAAAGGACATCTGGGAATTGAGGGCATCTTTCAGAAGTGCATGCAGGAGATGCAAACCTGTACATTTGGACATCCAAAGGAGGACGCTTCTGTAATAGGGACAGTCCCTAAGGTGTTCACATGTCTGTTAGCACTACAGTAAGAACCTGCATTTGCCGGACCCTGTCACGGCCCTAGAGGAATCCTGAATCAAGTTGACCGGACACATTTTCAAGCACCGACGTGCTGTGGATCAAACGTGCACCCTGGATCAAGCGGAATCCTGTCATATCAGGACAGAGTCCACTGCACCAAGGGCGTCCGGTTTGGGCTGGTCTTACTGCACATGTAGTGAGCTCTTCTTCAAATGTAGAATATCAGGATGTAGAGAATGGTGGCACACAACTGATACTGGTACGCACCGATTTGATGGCCTCCTCCTCTTCCAGCCGTGTCTTCTTCACAGCGGCATTCTTCCCCAGTAGGCCCTGCATGTACGTCAGCCTTTCAACTTCACGCTCAAAGAAAGCCTGCGCTGATGTCCGCTGCAGGAAAGCACGTGCATAGCAAGAAAGCAACCAATGGCCGGTCAAGTGCAGAACACAATCGGAGTGCTTCGCAAAAAAACGACTGTCAGCGACTGTGAATGCAACGGCAATTGGCTGTACAAAATTAAGGTGGCTGGGGCGGTACAACCTTTTTGGGAAAATTTTGACTGCATTTTTGAGTTTATCGGCAAGGCAGAGATGAAATTTGAAAATGTTTTCTGGTGAATCTCTGGAGAATAGCCTTCTCTAGCTTCCTATAGTTTTATTTTTACTTTTGGACAAAATTTGAAATTGTTTTATGAAAGGTTCGTGTTATTTTTTCACGGACCTTTCATAAAACTTTTTCAAATTTTGTCCAAAGTAAAAGTAAAACTATAGGAGGCTAGAGAAGGCTCTTCTCCAGAGATTCACCAGAAAACATTTTCAAATTTCATCTCCACCTTGCCGATAAACTCAAAAATGCAGTCAAAATGTGATCAAAATGACCCCTAAAAAGTTGTACCGCCCCAGCCACCTTAAGGCGTTTGAAAAGTGGAACACTCAGTGTAAGTTGCTGTACCTCAGACGGAGAACAGTGGGCTAGTGACCATGGCAGCTGGGTGACGTGTAATGTGCCACTGCGGTCTCCAATTGCAAGCAAGACCTGCTGTTTCTTACGACCTGTGCATGGCATGAGCACATAGATTGACACGATGGCTATGGGCTTCACAAGGCAAAACAACCGCCACTAGCATACAGCATACACACTTACACACTTACACATGCACACACACACACACAGGCACACACATGCACATGCACACACATGCACCCCCCCCCCCACACACACACACATGTACACACACACAGGCACACACGTGCACATGTACACACACATATACACGCATGGACATACACGCACACACGGACACACCATGTACCATGTATACGCCTGTCATAAGAGAAGCACGCAAATCTACAAATGCACTGGATGTGCACCCACAGATTTTCTCTTATAGCAACGATAGCGAACAAGATCTGAATGAGACAGATCAAGACTTGCGCCAGATAACTGTCTAATCCACACAACTGGCGAAGCCATGTGAATCGACCACCAATGCATACCTGGTCTACACCACACGGACACACACACACACACACATACACACACACACACACACACACACACACACACACACACACACACACACACACACACACACACACATGGACTAACACGGATACACACACACATACACACATATACACATATTTTCAGGAGAGTCACAGTTCACGGGCTGGTCTACTGTTCTGCGGCATTGCACCGGAAAAGCAAACTTCCGATGGCATGACCGAGTGTCAATTAATTCGCTTCTCAGCAACATGAACTGGTGGAAGTGCATGTACATGTACATCTACCGACTAAAAGAGAAGGAAAACCAGCAAGAACTGGAATCCGACAGCATTTGTTCATGCCAAACCTGATAAATCCTGTAGGTTGAGCTTGATCGTGCAAAGGATGCGCCCCTGTAATTGGTGGACCTACTACCTCCACTGATGAACAAGTCCAGAAAGTGCAGAAACCCAATGGTCTGGACCGGTACTAAGCTAAACCAGTAGTCAGCAGCAGCAGCAGCAGGAGCATTTGTACAATGTCCCAATGCTATGAAGAAATCTCACTGTAGCAGCAATGTATGCCGTATGTAATGTGTGTGTCTCCTACCTTTCTGGATATGCGGAACCAGTGTGGTGATCCCCAGCGCTGAGATATTCTGGGAGAGAGTTGGTATGTGTGATCTGCAGGGAAGTGCAACGGAAACATACACTGACATATTAGCACACAACACCAGCTCAGTCGCAGGCAGCAAAACCCCACCAACAAAGATCACGTACACCGACAGCATCAAACGCCCTTTGGGGCACAGGCGGGCAGCTTACTTGTCCAAGAGGTCCCAGATTTCCACTGTACCGTTCGCCTTGCCGATGAAGAACACACCTGCACGAAGACCGTGACAAACAAGTCACACAGGACACATCCACACGTTGCAGCATTCAGTAGACAGTTCAATACGGGACTGCGCTAGCCCTACAAGTACAACACTAAAGGACTTGGACTGATCCGCACACACACTGTATTGTATTGTAGTTGAAAAGCGTCATGTGAACATCATATCAACTTGCTCATTGCATGTCCATCAGAATCGTAACATTATGATTAAGCTGGCTTAAAACTCTGACAAGGATCTTGATGGGAACGTTGCTGATTGGCCGTCTCCTGGATGACGAGACTCGCCTTGATCTAAACAATATTAGAACCTTAAAAAGTGCTGGTAGTGTTGGTCTGTTGCACTTGCGCAAATTTGAAAACGCTACATACACGTTACATGTGCTCTAACTCAGCGAAGGGGTGCACAAGATATTGCTGACCTGGCCGAGTTGGACTCCACTTTCCGACAGTCAGGCAACACTCATACGGTGCACTGTGCATCAGGGGCCCGGCCTTCACAGAACAACGCACCAGCAGCATTGCAATATATTATATGTGAGGCCCTTGCGCATTGTCAAATATGGTCAGATGCATGAATAATGCATGTGAGTACGCTGAGATCAGCAATGCACTGTTCAACACCCCCACACAACCAGGCCCGGGTGGCCGTGTGGGGTGTTGACTGTGTTGACTGTGTTGACTGTGTTGACTGCTGACCGTACAAACTACATCATTGCGCAATGGGCCTACACACACTTCAATGTAGCATACATACACACACACATTGTGATCACAGACATATGTACACATGCACACCCGTGTGTGCCCAGAAACACACACGGCGTGGATTAGGAATGCATGAAGACCTGCATCCAAAGGTGCAACACGCCTACATTAAATGCCAATTGCGCTATGCACACGTGCATCCCCACAGAATGTCACAACACTCACATGGTATGCTCCACATTATTTTCTTTTTCTACAGTATTTGTGCAAGTTTTGCGTAGCTAAAGTATGTTAACGCGGTGACGTAATGTTTTCACTGTATGCTGATGTCTATCACGCGCGTGTTCGCGCCAGCTCACGGATGCGCCGTTGTGCGCATGCGCAAACTCTCCCAGCAGCTCGCTTTGCATACGTACACCCTTCAGCAGCCTTCGTGCCTGGCTCTCTTTGTTAGTTGCATTGGCTCGCATGACTCTTGCTCCGTGTTTTCAAACTCCGGAGTTCTTCAGTTCTGTTCAGACTTCCTTGTACAAGGTGACATCGTCGTTTCGGTCTCTTGTTGCCTAGTTGTGGTGTCCAGCCCCTGGGCGGGCTGGAATTCTGAGTGCTGTATCCGCGGAGTGGTTTACTCAAATTTTCTCAAATTTTCCCACGCTGAGGCAAGAGATGTCGCGCAGGTCCGCCAGGTCATCTTCTAGCCCCTACGCTAGAGCAACATCCTCCCCTGCTCCTGGAACCACCCAGGCCAGAGCCCCGGCCCAGAACCTCGCGCCGCCTCGTGCTCCTCGTGCTTCGGCTCTACCTGGCCAAGTGCCTCCGTCTCAGTCAATGCCGGCCGGCCACCCACCCCAGCCCACGCTGGCGAGCCAGATCTCCGCCGCCGTGGCTGTTGCTATTCAGCCTCTGGCCGACAAGGTTACCCTGCTGGAGCAGGCTGGCGCAGCCCAACTCGCCGGCCCAGGAACTGGCGTAAACTCGGGACTCGCTCATGTTCCGACGTTCAGCGGGGCCTCGCTTTGTGCTGCCGGATCAATCGCCACTGCAGCGCCGGTTTTACCAGTATCAGTACCGGCCGCCAGCCACCCGACACAACAGTGGCCGTCATCTGGAGACCTCCCCGTGGTGCCGCCTCGCCTTCGAGACCGGATTGTGCGAGGTGAGTTCACAGAATTAAGCGATTTGCTGCCTGAATCCCTGGGCTTCGAGGGGGATCATGATGTGATGCAACTCGACGTGGGCGCGGGCCGATCTGTGCAGCTCGTCCCCAAATCTTCCCACCGGCAACCCGCCAAACGACACATCTATGATCTTGCCACATGGGTGGAAGCGTTCACCACATACTCGAGGGTGCTGGCCGACGCCTCACCACAGCTGGCAGGTGATCTCTGGGCGTATCAGGCCATCATTGTCGATGCCAACGTCCGGTTCCACAATGATGCCTGGCTGTCCTACGACCGCAAATTCCGTATGGCCACGGCGTCCCTCCCTCACCGCTATTCCTGGTCCGTCATTGACCCGAACCTGTGGCAGTCTTGTCTCACGGGCCGCGGGCGGCCTCCGTGCCAGCGTTGCTCCATGGTCCATCCAAGTCAGCCCAGCAGCTGCCCCTTTCGTGGGGGGCTCCCAGCCCCAACAGCGCCTACGGGGAGCCAGTTCTCGCACCAGCCTGGCTTTGACGGCAAAGCCATCTGTCGTAATTTCAACTTCGGCAGCTGCTTGCTCTCCCCCTGCTCCAGAGCACACGTCTGCATCCAGTGCCGCGGCCGTCACCCCGCACGCCAATGCTCCAAGTCTGGTGACTCGACCAAGAAATAACTCTCACCCCAGTGGTGACGCTGCTTTACAGGTGCCCACTAGCACGCCTGTTCATGTTCAGCGCTTTATCAATCTTCCCTCTCCTCATCCAAATGCAGTCTTTCGCTCTTATGGTTCACAAGGCATGCAGTATGGCTTTCGTATTGGCAGCTTTCGCCCCATTGCATCTTCTGTTATGTCTCCTAATCACTCTTCGGCTTGTGCTTGCCCTGCTGAGGTTACTACTCATCTGCTTAACTGTTGTGACCGCGGAGAAACTGCGGGCCCATTTGCATCTCCGCCATTCCCTCACATGCATATTTCTGGTTTGGGTGCTATCCCGAAGTCTGATGACAAACTGCGTATCATCCACGACCTCTCGCCCCCTGCCGGCTCGAGTGTGAATGACGGTATATCTCGGGATGAATTCAGCCTGCAGTACGAAACTGTCGATACAGCTATCTCTCTGATCATGCAGGCAGGGTGTGGCGCTCTTTTGACGAAGGTCGACAGGAATGCATTCCGTCTCTGTCCTGTTGCCCCCTGTGACTGGCCTTTTCTGGGCATCTTCTGGCAGGGACAATTCTATCATGACAAAGTGCTACCATTTGGATTGCGTTCTGCACCATACATATTCGATAAATTCGCCACAGCAGTCCAGTTTATTCTCGAGGATGCATGCCACCTAAGCCAATTACTCCCCTACCTGGACGACTTTCTGAACGTTAGTCCGCCCCACCTGCCCGTTGCGGAACATCATCGCTCACATATCTTAGACATGCTCCGCTATTTGCAGATACCGGTGGCCTCTGAGAAAGTCGAAGGCCCATCCACATGTCTCACCTTCCTCGGCCTGGAGCTGGATTCGCTGACGTTTGAGATCCGGTTACCGTCCGCCAAACATGGGGCGTATCTCGGCAAAGTCAACGGCCTCCTTCAATCAGGCATGGCGTCCCGGCGCGAACTCGCCTCCGTGTTGGGCAATCTCTCGTTCGCGGCCCGGGCTATTCCTGTCGGTCGTACCTTCCTGAGGCGCCTGTACGACCTTGACCGTGCAACAAGCAACCTTCCAAAGCACAAGGTTCTCTCTGGCAATAGCACCGTCATCCAGGAAGACATACTCAGCTTCAGAGCGGCGGTACCTGGATTTCTGTCAGCAGCATGGCGTTGTGGCCCTGCCTGGAAGCGACGTTCCACTGTGCTACTACGCAGCCCTCCTCATGCGCACACTGCGGCCGGCCTCGGTTCGCACATATATGTCAGCCATCTGGAACTTACATGTCGAAATGGGCCTCGAGTACCCGAATCAGCCAACGTCCCTGCTGTCACGAGTGTTAAGAGGCATAGCCCGTTCGTCGGGACCTGGCCGCCCTCGTTTGCCTATCACAACACCCATCCTCCGGCAACTCTGCCAACGCCTCCAAGTTTCCTCCATGCGGCACTCAGTTGACCAGGCAATGCTGCAGTGCGCCTTCACCCTGGCCTTTTATGGCTTCCTGCGCTGTGGTGTGAGCTCACCTCGTTGACGTTTGGCAACGTGGCCCTGGACCAACAATCATTTCGTATCACCATCACGCTGCTGCAATCAAAGACGGACCCGGACGGTAGGGGCACGGTAGTCCACGTGGGCGGCTGTACCGATGTCATCAGCTGCCCGGTTACGGCGATGGTGCGGTACCTGACGGCAGTGTCGGCAGAGTCCCAATCTCCTAGAGATCAGCTGCTCGTCTACCACAATGGCCAGCCTCTGACACGAGCGGACGTCACGAGGGAGGTGCGGACCCTCCTACCGCTTTGTGGGATTACAGATCCGTCCAGCTATGCCAGCCACTCATTCCGGATCGGAGCAGCCACGTCTGCAGCTATCGCAGGCGTACCAGAGCACGTGATCCGCCATATGGGGCGATGGCGCAGCGACGCCGTGCTGCGCTATATCCGTGTTGAGCCATCCGAGGTGCGGCTAGTATCAGAGAAGCTAGCCACAGTGAGTGACTGACCAGTAGCGCTGCACCTTGACGAATGTCTCCTCTGGTATACATACCAACTCTCAGTACCGCTATCGGTACCTAGATTTCTTGACTGCTAGCAGCTCCTGCTATACTCCTCGTTCAATGCTCGCGTTATTTCTGAGCACTGACTTATTTGGTTGGCCCACCAGGGTAACTAGCTTGGGCACTGAACTCTCAGTAGCTGGCAGCATTCTCTCTACTCTCCCGAATCACTCTATTCGGTTACTGCCCTTGGCAGGTCAGCCGCCATTTCGGTCTCACTCCGAATCACTCTATTCGGTTACTGCCCTTGGCAGGTCAGCCGCCATTTCGGTCTCACTCTCGGTCCCCGCCTCTGTCGGGTCGGCCGCCTCCATGGTTACACACTGCCAGCTCCTTCGCCCAGTTACCCTGTGGTGCCAACCAACTACTGCTGTGTCTGTGTGTGGGTCGTGTATGCCTCCGCGTACGGAGCATGCGTTAATGCAAGTTTTGCGTAGCTAAAGTATGTTAACGCGGTGACGTAATGTTTTCACTGTATGCTGATGTCTATCACGCGCGTGTTCGCGCCAGCTCACGGATGCGCCGTTGTGCGCATGCGCAAACTCTCCCAGCAGCTCGCTTTGCATACGTACACCCTTCAGCAGCCTTCGTGCCTGGCTCTCTTTGTTAGTTGCATTGGCTCGCATGACTCTTGCTCCGTGTTTTCACCCACCCACCCACACCGACTTCATTGTGTTACAATTCTCATTCTGTAGCACCCCGCTTATACTACTAACCTCATTCGTCTTCCAAACTCACTCTGCTAAACAAAAACAAGCAGGGATTGGGCACTGAACTCTCAGTAGCTGGCAGCATTCTCTCTACTCTCCCGAATCACTCTATTCGGTTACTGCCCTTGGCAGGTCAGCCGCCATTTCGGTCTCACTCCGAATCACTCTATTCGGTTACTGCCCTTGGCAGGTCAGCCGCCATTTCGGTCTCACTCTCGGTCCCCGCCTCTGTCGGGTCGGCCGCCTCCATGGTTACACACTGCCAGCTCCTTCGCCCAGTTACCCTGTGGTGCCAACCAACTACTGCTGTGTCTGTGTGTGGGTCGTGTATGCCTCCGCGTACGGAGCATGCGTTAACAAAACCCTTAGCACCCTAACTGAATGATATGCATGCATCTCAAACTACGAGAAGGATGTCCGTGCTGCTTCTGAGTGATAACAGTGACAGCGCAGCAGGGCATACCTCAACACCTTCCTTCCAGAGTGCGAACGTCCACTGTGACACGCTGAGGATGATGTCTTCAAAAAACGGCGAGCGCTCCAAACTGGCTATTGAGCCGCTGTGCGTGGTGTCAATGTTGAGTGGTCGCTGAGCTGTCGTGATCGGCAAAGCACAGCACGTGAACATAATCTGAACGTGGATACTGCATCAGCACATGCGGCTGTGTTTGGGGCTGTGTTTGGATAATTAAAACTTCCGCATGATTAGAATTTGGGGCTTGAACGTTAATTAAGGTTCGAATTAAAGGGACTCTACCTGTATATCTCACTTGGACGCATGGTGATCAAGGGTTCCATGCACACATCATGCGTACATATGCATGCACACGCGATGCATTGCTGACAGTTACAAACAGCTTACACTGCAGTCTGCAGACAGAGCAGTTTCGGAAACAACTACAATTTTTTGGTAAGAAATGACCTCTCCAAACTTTTTAACTCACTGATCCATTTGGCTGAGTCGGAATCTTTGACGAATGGCCAGCTGACGTACATCAGTTCACCATCCTATGAAAGACAGGAGAGTGGTAGAGAAGGCTACTTCATGAAAATCCAGAGCCCAGCACACATTGTTCACGCTCTGCAATAGGCGTTATCCTTCATGCACGGCATACAAGGTCAGGACGGTGGCCTTACGCATGAAGGCCAACTGCCTTGCCATCAGGTAGTGATTGTAAAGTAGGATTTGCCCCCCCCCCCCACACACACAGTTCAAAAAGACTGTTGGCTGCTGCACTATGGTGAAGTACACACAGAAAAGTCTGCATGGAACCGATAGAAACATTCACTCACTGACACGGAGCTATTTGAGCCCAGTCTTCTACCATCCCAATCCCACATGGATTGGAAAGGAACATACAGAGGGAGTGCAACAAGCCTACTTTCGGGTACCAATCATACAAGAGGGCAAAGTCTACTCACTTCTGTTCCAATGTAGTATTTGGCAATGCTCTCGTCCAATGCAACCAAGTCAGCACTGCTGGGAGGGGGCAGGGTGGTCAATGGAATTTCTCGTTCATAGACGGCATCTGAGCATGAAATCACAGGCATAGTTATGATCATGCATGTCAAGCACACATGACAAAATTAATGCAGTGGCAATCCACAAGGATGCTTACAATACACCCGCAGTATGCTCTGCCGTTGGAACAACCAAACACCAAACCACACTCCTACCGCCACCGTTCATTGCAGTCATCCTGGAAAGGGAGAGATGATGTATGGTGATGGATGCTGACAAGTGGACCTACTGCGAGTCTTGTAATCTACAGTAGAGTTCCGAGTTATGTGCACTCAACAGTCCATTTCAAAAACTATAGACGCACAGTGTTTTTGAAATATTTCAAATTTGGCTGGAACTTTTTGAGAATAGTTTTCGGAATATTGCTCAGGTCTGCTCCACAATTACTCTCATATAGTTTCTAAACGATTGGATAACAGACGCCCAATTTGGAAAAAATTATGCACAAAGTGATCACAGATTTTATGTGGTATAGATGCTGGCATAGCGGTTTTTGCCTAGGTACGCGTCTATAGTTTTGAAATGGACTGTAAATGCCTAATAGATGCCTTGCACTCCCGACACCAGTCACCAGGCGTAAATGTCATGTACAGGTAAAAGTAGGTACAGGTATCTTGATTACAAAAATATACCACATGCTTATGACAAAAATATACCACATGCTTATGACAAAAATATACCACATGCTCATGACAAAAATATACCACATGCTTATGACAAAAATATACCACATGCTTATGACAAAAATATACCACATGCTTATGACTTGCTTGGGAACAGTACTAGTAACTGTTTGGACTGCACAAACGTTTTCCGGCTGAGTGCGCAGGTGTCCACCAAGGGACGCTCTACTGTAATGCAACTGACCAGTGACTTGTCCAGAATACAGAGCTAGTTACAACTTTTAGAAACGGCTGGGACTGCCAACAGATGTTGCCTGGATGAGGAAGTGTCATGTGATCAGAGGACTCCGGTGTCTGCTGTCAGGAGAACACTATTGTAGCTGTACTTGGCTAAGGTTGTAGGGAAACTCCTAGCGCTCAAGATAGACACCTATTTGCAACAGGATCCAGGCAAAGCATGCTGACTGTTGACAGGGTAAAACCATCAAAAACCAAAAAACCTATAAGTTAGTACAGTGGAGATTGGATATAATGACACTCCTTTGGGAGAAAACAAAATGTCGCTATATTCGATCTGTCACTAAACCCGATCTTCACATTTAGTATGCAATATGCATATCAACAGGACAGAAATGTATTGCAGATATGCATGTGCATAATATCATGCATATGGATTTCAGATGTGTATGTGCATGTGTCTTGCATGCATAGTTGAAGCCAAATGTCATGCATAGCAACTACACTGCGACTACAATGTGCAATGACCAGCCATGGAGTGACCCAGAGGTCCGGGCATGTGACACAGACATGTCCCATGGATGCCAATCCGCCTGATACAAGAGGAAAGTGGTATACTCGATGTATTTTCAGGTCTTCGGGCACCAAAAAAGTGTCCGTAAATTCGATCTGTCGTTATTTTCGAGGTCGTTATACCCGATCTATAATGTACAGAAAGGACTTGCTAAACGACTTGGACAACACCATTTTGTCGTTATATCCAAGGTCGTTATATCCAATCTCCACTGTACATGTATGGCATTGCAATGACAGAGGTGTCCCCATGGAGTCTGAATTTTCCAAATGATCGCGAGAGTCTTGGAACATCACTACAGTGAGCTTCAATATAACGTATCCCTGTCAGTCACGTAAGTACAGATCCGAGTATAACGTATCCCTGTCAGTCACGTAAGTACAGATCCGAGTATAACGTATCCCTGTCAGTCACGTAAGTACAGATCCGAGTATAACGTATCCCTGTCAGTCACGTAAGTACAGATCCGAGTATAACGTATCCCTGTCAGTCACGTAAGTACAGATCCGAGTATAACGTATCCCTGTCAGTCACGTAAGTACAGATCCGAGTATAACGTATCCCTGTCAGTCACGTAAGTACAGATCCGAGTATAACGTATCCCAGTCAGTCACGTAAGTACAGATCCGAGTATAACGTATCCCTGTCAGTCACGTAAGTACAGATCCGAGTATAACGTATCCCTGTCAGTCACGTAAGTACAGATCCGAGTATAACGTATCCCAGTCAGTCACGTAAGTACAGATCCGAGTATAACGTATCCCAGTCAGTCACGTAAGTACAGATCCGAGTATAACGTATCCCAGTCAGTCACGTAAGTACAGATCCGAGTATAACGTATCCCAGTCAGTCACGTAAGTACAGATCCGAGTATAACGTATCCCAGTCAGTCACGTAAGTACAGATCCGAGTATAACGTATCCCAGTCAGTCACGTAAGTACAGATCCGAGTATAACGTATCCCAGTCAGTCACGTAAGTACAGATCCGAGTATAACGTATCCCAGTCAGTCACGTAAGTACAGATCCGAGTATAACGTATCCCAGTCAGTCACGTAAGTACAGATCCGAGTATAACGTATCCCTGTCAGTCACGTAAGTACAGATCCGAGTATAACGTATCCCTGTCAGTCACGTAAGTACAGATCCGAGTATAACGTATCCCAGTCAGTCACGTAAGTACAGATCCGAGTATAACGTATCCCTGTCAGTCACGTAAGTACAGATCCGAGTATAACGTATCCCTGTCAGTCACGTAAGTACAGATCCGAGTATAACGTATCCCTGTCAGTCACGTAAGTACAGATCCGAGTATAACGTATCCCTGTCAGTCACGTAAGTACAGATCCGAGTATAACGTATCCCTGTCAGTCACGTAAGTACAGATCCGAGTATAACGTATCCCAGTCAGTCACGTAAGTACAGATCCGAGTATAACGTATCCCTGTCAGTCACGTAAGTACAGATCCGAGTATAACGTATCCCTGTCAGTCACGTAAGTACAGATCCGAGTATAACGTATCCCAGTCAGTCACGTAAGTACAGATCCGAGTATAACGTATCCCAGTCAGTCACGTAAGTACAGATCCGAGTATAACGTATCCCAGTCAGTCACGTAAGTACAGATCCGAGTATAACGTATCCCAGTCAGTCACGTAAGTACAGATCCGAGTATAACGTATCCCAGTCAGTCACGTAAGTACAGATCCGAGTATAACGTATCCCAGTCAGTCACGTAAGTACAGATCCGAGTATAACGTATCCCAGTCAGTCACGTAAGTACAGATCCGAGTATAACGTATCCCAGTCAGTCACGTAAGTACAGATCCGAGTATAACGTATCCCAGTCAGTCACGTAAGTACAGATCCGAGTATAACGTATCCCTGTCAGTCACGTAAGTACAGATCCGAGTATAACGTATCCCTGTCAGTCACGTAAGTACAGATCCGAGTATAACGTATCCCAGTCAGTCACGTAAGTACAGATCCGAGTATAACGTATCCCTGTCAGTCACGTAAGTACAGATCCGAGTATAACGTATCCCTGTCAGTCACGTAAGTACAGATCCGAGTATAACGTATCCCAGTCAGTCACGTAAGTACAGATCCGAGTATAACGTATCCCAGTCAGTCACGTAAGTACAGATCCGAGTATAACGTATCCCAGTCAGTCACGTAAGTACAGATCCGAGTATAACGTATCCCAGTCAGTCACGTAAGTACAGATCCGAGTATAACGTATCCCAGTCAGTCACGTAAGTACAGATCCGAGTATAACGTATCCCAGTCAGTCACGTAAGTACAGATCCGAGTATAACGTATCCCAGTCAGTCACGTAAGTACAGATCCGAGTATAACGTATCCCAGTCAGTCACGTAAGTACAGATCCGAGTATAACGTATCCCAGTCAGTCACGTAAGTACAGATCCGAGTATAACGTATCCCAGTCAGTCACGTAAGTACAGATCCGAGTATAACGTATCCCAGTCAGTCACGTAAGTACAGATCCGAGTATAACGTATCCCAGTCAGTCACGTAAGTACAGATCCGAGTATAACGTATCCCAGTCAGTCACGTAAGTACAGATCCGAGTATAACGTATCCCAGTCAGTCACGTAAGTACAGATCCGAGTATAACGTATCCCAGTCAGTCACGTAAGTACAGATCCGAGTATAACGTATCCCAGTCAGTCACGTAAGTACAGATCCGAGTATAACGTATCCCTGTCAGTCACGTAAGTACAGATCCGAGTATAACGTATCCCTGTCAGTCAACGTAAGTACAGATCCGAGTATAACGTATCCCAGTCAGTCACGTAAGTACAGATCCGAGTATAACGTATCCCTGTCAGTCACGTAAGTACAGATCCGAGTATAACGTATCCCTGTCAGTCACGTAAGTACAGATCCGAGTATAACGTATCCCTGTCAGTCACGTAAGTACAGATCCGAGTATAACGTATCCCAGTCAGTCACGTAAGTACAGATCCGAGTATAACGTATCCCAGTCAGTCACGTAAGTACAGATCCGAGTATAACGTATCCCAGTCAGTCACGTAAGTACAGATCCGAGTATAACGTATCCCAGTCAGTCACGTAAGTACAGATCCGAGTATAACGTATCCCAGTCAGTCACGTAAGTACAGATCCGAGTATAACGTATCCTAGTCAGTCACGTAAGTACAGATCCGAGTATAACGTATCCCAGTCAGTCACGTAAGTACAGATCCGAGTATAACGTATCCCAGTCAGTCACGTAAGTACAGATCCGAGTATAACGTATCCCAGTCAGTCACGTAAGTACAGATCCGAGTATAACGTATCCCTGTCAGTCACGTAAGTACAGATCCGAGTATAACGTATCCCTGTCAGTCAACGTAAGTACAGATCCGAGTATAACGTATCCCAGTCAGTCACGTAAGTACAGATCCGAGTATAACGTATCCCTGTCAGTCACGTAAGTACAGATCCGAGTATAACGTATCCCTGTCAGTCACGTAAGTACAGATCCGAGTATAACGTATCCCTGTCAGTCACGTAAGTACAGATCCGAGTATAACGTATCCCAGTCAGTCACGTAAGTACAGATCCGAGTATAACGTATCCCAGTCAGTCACGTAAGTACAGATCCGAGTATAACGTATCCCAGTCAGTCACGTAAGTACAGATCCGAGTATAACGTATCCCAGTCAGTCACGTAAGTACAGATCCGAGTATAACGTATCCCAGTCAGTCACGTAAGTACAGATCCGAGTATAACGTATCCTAGTCAGTCACGTAAGTACAGATCCGAGTATAACGTATCCCAGTCAGTCACGTAAGTACAGATCCGAGTATAACGTATCCCAGACAGTCACGTAAGTACAGATCCGAGGCCGGTAAACAACTGGAGTAGCACAGTCATGCAGAGTCCAGGGAATGGGTGTCAGTTCTATCCCGAAGTTTACTACAGTCGTCCCTCTCTAATCCGGCACTTTATAATCCAGCACCCTCGATAAACCAGCACAATTTTCAGTAGCCAAAATGTCCTCTTCATGCACATTGCAGCAGTAAATCAGATTTGTTAATCCAGCACCCTCCCTAATCCAGCAGATTTTCGTGGCACAAATGGTGCCGGATTATAGAGGGACCACTGTACATCAATTCATGGGTAGTCCGGCTATACTGAATTTTCACTTTCAAGTCTAAGAATACATGTTCTGATGAGGCTGCATTGTGAATATGTCAGACACCAACACACACCTACCTTTGTCCTGTTCACTCTGGAGTCTCGTCGCCAATTTGTACGGGGAGTATGGCACACCCGCATCAGACTTGCCATAGACCAGCTGAATGAGACATGTTACACATCATGATCCGGCATACGCGCACAAATACATGCATGCACATAGACACAAAACACAAACACACACACACACACACACACACACACAGACGCACACACACACACACACACACACACACACACACACACACACACACAGACGCACACACGCACACACACGGCATGCAGCCAACGCCTCAGGCTCTTTACAATCAACATTGGAAAGTTTCCACTAGTACTTTCACTGCCTGCTGGTCAGGTGGATACAGACAGAAGAAGAAACTAACCAGGACACCTAAGATAAAACATTTATGATTTCTGTGTGCTATATACATGTACAAGACTTCGTGAGTATTCAACTCAAATTCGTGTTCCGTCAGCGTCAGTATCAGCAAGTACATGTAGTACAATTTGTTCCCAAAATAACTTCGGGACAGTCTGTTCATGGTTTTCATTTGTATTGGACTCGTTCTCTACACTTGCGATAATTTAGCAGCAACTCTAACGTTGTAGCGTTGTTCTCTTGTAATTTAGTGGAACCTGTATTGAGTAACTGAGTTTTATGTTTCGTTACATTGTCGACAGATCTCCTGTGTACCGATTTTGTGGCACAATGATTATAGCCATTATATTTCGTCATCTCCATTCTTGTGCAATCATGCATATGTAGGTTGGTTCTCTTCATGTTATTGTGACCAATTTCATAGATGTTGGTTGCCTTGTTGCTTTCTCTCCCCTCTCCTCTCACCCAAGCCATTCTGCATAAGCGAAGCTGTGGACGCAGCATACTGCTGCTACACTTCAACGCGGGAATGCGTATAATAGTAATAATAATATACACTTACATGTACGTATGGCTTCCACTCGGTGCTGAGGTGTTTGAAGGTAGACGGTATTCGTGTGCCGCGCTGCGTCTTGAGCACAGCATCAGCCGGATGACCAGCTTCTTTTCTCGCTATCTCATTTTGCTTCTTTGGCGGCCGTCGCAAGTCCCAGACGTTCACAGATCTAGAATAGACACATCCATGCATTTCAGCCCGCAGCAAGGGAGTCATGGGTGCGGGCTATGTGTGATGCAGCACAAGTGGATCCAGGGACCTCCTGAAGCCTGAAGGGAGTTTTTTTTGAAATTTGCTTTTCGGCACTCTTCACAAAATGTGATCTGGCCAAAACTGGACGGCTTCTTAGAGCGTTGAATATTGGTGTGTGCAGTTTGAGTGATAGGATTGTCCATTGAGCACTAGTGAGGCAGTCATTTGGCCAAACACCTGGCTCTTATGGTTTTGCCAAGTGCAGTTGCTCACATAATGTTTTTCGATTTGTATAGTATCTGTAAGTGTGCTTTCATATTATGTGCCAATTGCTAATGGGCATGCAAAATGATGACAAGCTTCCGGCACAGACGCACCTGCAAATTTAGTGCTATCATTCGGCACATTCTAAACTGCTGACGGCTAACTGTTCCAGCCAATGAGGCTTATTAATCAGTTGAACTACAAGCTAAAATAGAATGCGGCTGAACTGCCAGTCAGTGCATGCCAGCAGCATGCTATCCGCCACTATACTGACATGACTTCATTGATACTCAGACAATGACATGCTTCGATGGCCAAGGTGATATTTCACTACAATGAAGCCTGGTTAAGAAGATCACTGACAAGACTGTGCGAGGTCTTGTCAGACAGGCTTTTGCTCAAGATGAAGCAGTGTTCAGAACTCCATTGGATAGATCACTGCACTTTCTGACTGGGTATAAAACATGCATGAGAAGAACTCTCGTTATTGCAAACAAATAGTCATTGACTCAAATACCATCCGTCTCTAGGTGACGGTTGTTCTAAACAGGTTTGACTGTACTTTAGTTGCTGATGCTCACTTACCCATCCGCCGCGGCAGTGACGATCTGCACAGACATGGGTGCTTTGGAACGCAGTGGGTTTCCCATCCTATCGAACTGTGCCGGACACAAACACAGGGAAAGGAATCACTGTAAGCATGCAGATTCTGTAGGGCATAAGCTTTGCCTTCACAGGATGGCGTGGTGCAGATGTGTTGCTTCCGAGATCTGTACTATTGCCATGTACCTTACAACTGAGAAACAACCTATTTAATATGATGAACTAGAACCCCCCCCCCCGAAACGTTTTTAAAATGGCTATCCAACGTCTTCAAACACTAGCGTAGCCGTGGTTCCCATTTGGGGGGGGGGGGGGGGTGCACAGCGGCATATGTGTAGTATGGCTAGTGCATGTCATTCATGGTCACTATGTGCATGCTGAACCTAGGTCGAAATTGTTTGGGGGTGCACATGTCCCCCGTGCCCCATGCGGGCTACGCGCCTGCTACACATCCATGCTAATCAGGGGCAGACCTCGCACATCTGTAGTGTGGTGACCATGGGCCCCCACCGCAACCTCATAGCCACCATTTGCCTATATTGACTACCAGTATGTACATACGTAGTATCTATATTATAATTATTATTATTATTAAAAGCATGTCCGCGTAGGTGGCGGGGGTGCCACTTTCGGTTATGCCATTCAGGATTGATGTCTGAAGAGTAATACGATACAATGAAATGACAGAAGTGACGTCAACAAAAGCCGTTAGCAACAACACCAATATGACTAATGGAAAACTTCATCCAAAGTATAAAATAAAATAGAATATGCATACAACATGTCTGGTCAGTCCTGTTAGGTGGGACGGGCTCCACGCCATGCCTGTCGGTCCGCTGCCATTGTGCGGACTGCGTCAACATCTAGCGGCTGGTGGAGGGCAAGTCCATGCCATGATAACAGTTCCGTCTGCAAGACCGTTACCAAAGTCGACCCCTGAAGCGTTCAGTGCCCTCGTCGTTGGCCAGGCGAAGATACATATCCACTGCCAACTGTGGAGGAGCAGTTGGGGCCAAACGAAAGATGTAGTATCTATGCTGGTGTGGTGACCGGACTACGCTGACTACACATGAGCTACGCGCCTGCTAGTGATATCAACGATGCCATATAGAGAAAAGTTTCCCATTGCACATTGATCCCATTGTTGGTCCTAGCACTATGTGCACACACATCCCACAGGCACACTCTTAGACCGGTCTGTGTTTTTGTACACACACTTCACAACATTCAGTCAAGGTCTTCTCTCACTGCCAGGAGACTATTCAAAAGCCTAGTGTCTTTAATTAAAATACCTCAACACTAGACGGCAGCCAGAACAGCTCTGTGACGATGCTCTGATGGCCGTCCTCTATTGTTGCAGCGATGTGATAATGCACCGTTTCCGCCTGTCCAGCCTTTGTAGAGCGGTCAAAGAAGTTCTGTTCATACGACGACGACGACAACAACAACAACAACAACAACAACAACAACAACAACAACAACAACAACAACAACAACAACAACAACAACAACAACAACAACAACAACAACAACAACAACAACAACAACAACAACAACAACAACAACAACAACAACAACAACAACAACAACAACAACAACAACAACAACAACAACAACAACAATGTGAGAATAAAGAATTCAAATTCAAAAAACAACAACGACAACGACGACGACGACGACGACAACGACAACAACAAGGGTGGCAACGGCAATAGCAACGAGTCACAGCACAAGTCACAGTACAAGTCAACACATACGCTTCTTTCTCACATTGGGGCCTCACATCAGCCATAGCCAGTGCAGGGTTGGCTGCAGACAGCCATATTGCAAGACAAAAAGAAGTCAACACCCACACCCACACAAACACGCACGCATGCACACACAGCAGGTAGAAAGGAACGGCTCACTGCAAAGATGCACGTCTGAGTGGCGAAGATTTTGCTTTAATAGGAGTAGGGGTGAAAGTTGGCACTGAGAACCCGAGTTCGAGTACTCTGATTTTCTCCGATCGAATATTCGAGTATTCTTGATATCCTAAAAATCGCACACCAATGGCCTTAAAAATCACATGATACAACCCTGATTGAACCGATTGGCAGTCCTTTTCTCGGGTGTATTGGTTGGTGGGTCATTTGGGCTCTCTCTACTAGTGTACAAGTGTTCACCACACAGTCTGCACATCAATATCTGCTGACTGCTGCTCTGAAATGCAGACTTCTGTGGCAAATGCATGTACCATGTATGAGCGAGTACTCTGATTTATTCCGAGTACGATTATATTTGAAAAATCCAAACGACTATTCGAATATTCGGTATAATTGTTTCACCCCTAAATAGGAGTAACATCCGACCAATGCAAGAGCAGTGGATTCAGGTCGTTTCTGATGCCACCAACACTACGACAACATAAAGAAACAGCAAGATAAGATCAGGAGCGACTTGGACTACCAAGAGTTACCGCTGCACTGGCACTGGGCGAAAGCATAGCTACTTTTCTTACTCACCTTGTCACGCTCACGATTCGTGTCCACCTTCGCAGCGTCGTCGCCTTCACTCTTCCCGTCCTTGGTCAGTGCCATGTGGTTGCTCAACTTCCCGTCATAATCTGACAAGTCCCACAGGACGAGCTGAAACGGATATTGACAAAAAAATGTTAACAAAAGGTATACATGCACGGAGGATATAAAACTTATGGCAGGCCCTTACTATCCATGGCCGAGCACATTTCTGGACTAATGGGCATTTTCTTCTGTGCATACCATCTTAAAGCGAAATATCAGCAAATAATCCCCATCCCATGTACTGTTGCGAAGCAGCACAATGTCAATCTAGCAACACAGGGTGTTATATCTTCAATGTTCTGCTGCTCACGGTAACAGTTAGATACATCATATACATGTACCGGTATAGGATTTCAAAATGGAGCAACAGCCCAGCCTACTACGGTCAACCAGGCCCAGGCAAGCCAACATCACATTGCTGGTACTGCATCTTTATTTCATGTGGCTCATTGCACCGCAGGGAACGAAAGGACTCTCGCCTCGTACAAAACCAGACACGGTTCCATGCGCAATATATGTATGTATTGCGCAACACATTCTCACACTAGTACCTGTCCGCTGACACAGCCCGCAGCCACAATGTTTGGATGTGTTGGGCAGAACTCAAACACGGTGACATCCTCTGGAGCCTCAAGTAGCAGCTAGCAAAAAGCATGACAAGCAGTGAAAACCACAGTGTAATGTAGTGTAGTTTAATCCACATCTACAAACTCAGTAGCCCCACCACCATGTGAACTAAGCACATTGATCAGATTCTCAACATGACCCTGTAACCTGTACAGGTACAGTCCAGGCATTTGTGCTGTTTAATCCGTGCTGTTGGATTGCGCCCAATGCCCAAACACATAATAATTATTATGGTACGAAACTGGACATCCTATGGTGTTTCGTGAATTGTCTTCGGCAGCCCTCCTCAACCACCCAGTACCATCCTTATCCATGCGGAGTTTCATACTGTCACATCCTGCAAGCTAATTGTCTAGGCCAGGTGTGATGAGATCAGTGGCAATCCAGTATACGCCGGTGTACCTATACTGTAGTAGGAGTCCTGTACAACCAATCCACAGTCGTCACCATGGAGTTGATGTTGGGCGCTATTTGCCAGTTATAATAATTATCTACTTCACGAGACTAGAAGAATCTTTGAGTATATAATATGCAGGCAACTTGCACGTAATGTTTTCTTCTCTTGTTCTAGGAGGTGCATGGTTGGGTGTCAGTTACAAAACTAGCAGAATTTCAGCCTGTATTAAGCATGTTTTGATGAATTTTTGCGAGCGCGCAAAAATAAGTTAACACAGAAGGCGCATGCGCCGCGCCGGACACTTCACAGTTTGCTTCCTGCTCAGATTTGCATGGCTGACTGGTGACTCTCTTCAAAGCCCACCCTCCCATGCCCTCTGCTTCTTTTCTGCTGTGCTGCACAATGCTGAGGCACATCTTCACTTTCCTCTTGGTATCACAATAACCAACATTCAATATCACATCTCTTCAGTTTAAATAACTGAATAAAGAGGGGAGTCAATCTCGCTCACCAGGCTCATCCTGCCAGTGCGGCTCACACAGCCCACCCGGCTCTCAAAAGATGCGACAGGGTCACTCACCTTGACGCCAACATAAAGATGCGGCCAGGGTCACTCACCCTGCTGCGACTAAAAATAATACTCACTGCGAGCCTGGCAAACAGCGATTGACAAACCACTCCTATCCCCACAACTCAATGCTCTCAATGCTGTGTAGTGTGCATGCAGATGGGTGTGTTAATGACAAGCAGCAGCAACTAACCAGTGGATGTATGGGGTCAGAGAAACTCCAGAGCAGAATCAGCGACTGGCTCAGGCGAATCGTCGAAGACATGTCGATCCTTTCGTCGAAGGTCAACGCGTGCGCGTAGGACACGCCGATCAGACCTATGAACACACACAAACACACACATACACACACACACACACACACACACACACACACACACATGGCACACACACACACACACACACACACACACGCACACGCACGCACGCACACACACAAACACACACACACACACACGCACGCACGCACGCACGCACGCACGCACACACACACACACACACACACCTGGCACTATTTGATACACGCTAAGCATTCACTTCACACGAGCAAAGTTAGGTCACCAGCTGGGTTTCGAGTTTACAGTACAAAGTATTATTGGTACTGGTGACTGTACTGCCTCCTGAAGGCAAAATACATACTGCCTGGTCCTATCACGTATCTAATCATGACTGATCACAACTCAATATAACGTTGGTAAGGCTGACATGACGACATTTGTGGACTGCCTTAAAAAGAACAAGCGATAAGAATATAAAGTGCATAGTAAGTTACCCAAAGGCACACGATGAAAACCTTGGGCAAATTCCGTTGTGACTCAGAGGAATTTCAACTTGCCCAAGGTTTTCATTGTGTGCCTTTGTGTACGCCGCTCTGCCTGAATCAGGTATTGAGCACTTTCGCAGAACCTAAGCCTACTGCCTCTGTGCTTAGTAAGTTAGTAACATCATACAATATAGATTAGTGTCTGATATATCACATGACACTAAGATTTAATGCCAGGCCGGCAGATCAAAGCTAGTCGGAGTCACCACTACTTCAGTCAACTACTTGGTCACTCTCCACACTCCACTCACCTTTGATTGTGGGGTGCCACCGGACACAAGTTGATGTTCGGTCCTTGCTGTATTTCAAGTCGGTAAACGATTGGTATTCCTTTGCAGGTTGCACAAGAAAGCGCGGACAGATAAAACTTGCGTAGCATAGAAAGAGCACAATCAAAATGTGCAGAATGTATGCATAGAGTTACTCCTTGGCATACAAATCACATGTTCTCGGGCGTGTTCTTGACATAATCCTCATACTGATTGTGCTGGGTGTGCAAAGAGAATGCGTAAGTAACATGTGGAAATTCATTACTTTTGGAAATCACTGTGTACCTTCATAGCAGTGTCTGCCTTCGTTCCGAGGTCTCCTTCCTCAACAGGCAAGCTTCGACAGTTGTCTTTGAAGATGTTGATCAGGTTGTTCTGTTGAATGGCACCAAGCACACTGCAGCAGGGAAAATACGGTGTGATAGTCAAAGTCGTGTGAGTCACAGCTCATTCACCCTATGGCTCTTGTACAATGGTCCAGGATATCATGTCATGCTTAAGAAGAAACACACTTCCTTTCAGCAAAAAACACACGGCATATTACTAGATAAACTCCAGGAAGTATGCCAGGAAGGGGAGAGTTCTTTCGCAACAAGGCATTATTATGTCTCCGCTACATTTAAGCCACCATGAAATTGTTGCTGGCCTGTGTTACGGTCTGATTTGGAGACATGTTTGTACGTTTTGCATCATAGCAAGAGTCCATAAACAAGAGTATGCAACTGTGACTTCTTTTCTATGGGCCAGATGCGCGGCGCGCTGCCTTCATTACATCATTCAGCTGCAGTCCGCGCACTGAGGAAAATCAAACACCGCGCTTTCCCTCTGGTTTGAAATGAATTTTTGTACGGAGCTGGAGTTCACGCGCCAAAATTTAGAGATCGCGTAGGTACTGGAATGAATCGAGCAAAAACGGATGGGCTCGTACGAGAAATTGTGGGTTTGAGTGCATGCTTTCAGAGTGTGATGGAGGCAAGTTACGTAATGAAGGCAGCGCGCCGCGCACTGGCCCATAACCACAGTTGCATACTCTTGTTTATGCACTCTTGATCATAGTAGCAGTTGAAACAGTGACAAGCTACAGTGACAAGCTACCGCAGACGTATTGGTTCAAAAAATAGATGCACCATAGCATAGGAGCACAGGAGCACAGGACTAAGTATGATGTTCAAGTAAGTACACACAGCATCATCAACGTGGCACATGTATCACTCACTTTGGCAAGTGGCGCCGTAAGACCTCATCAATATCATCACTGCCATCGCTGGTTGTGGGTGCGGGCGTGACCACAGCAGGCGTTGCGGCTCTTGCCTGACTCGCAGCTGATGTGCTCCGGTCAGCGCTCGCATCCGGCGGCTGATCCGTGCTGTTACCGACTCCAATGCTAGCACTACTCGTCACGGCGGTCGCTGGGGTTTCCTCTGCTGGCTTTTCCGGTTCTGTCCGAGGCTCGTACTGAATAGCCATGTGAACCTTCTTCACCCTGCATGACCAGGCAACGCGGTATAGGACATGGATCAGGTTACACAGTACAGGACATGGATATGGAGGAGCATGTGTGTGATGTTTGTGTAAGGTATTTGAAGTGCACCCTCAGACATCGATTTTGACATTCATAGATGCTCTCTCCGAGCGATATGCACCATGGTTGAATGACCTGCAGATCAAAAGCTAATCAAGCTAAATTGGAGTCCGGCCTTTCAGCACCACCTGCTCTATTTAGCACGATTCTGCGGCACTAGACGTGCAAAATGCGCAGGGGGTCACTCTGGCTTTGGATACTGCCTATCACGCAAAGACTGAGATACGGCGGTCCCACGGGTGAGTCACTGAAATCACGTTTCGCTATGACTACAGGGCAATGCAAGTTATAGTACATTTCAAACAGTTTATAACTGAAGTACCGCACTTTCCCGGATATAAGTCACACTTTTTTTCTTTCTTTTTTACAATCACAATCAAGGGCAAAGAAGGGGATACAGCTTACAATCGAGCGTGACTTCCTACTTAGGTCACCATATTGAAATAGTATGGACAATAGACCTGAAAATGGGGTTGCGACTTTGATATGACGGGGGGGGGGGGTATGTTCTCACCATGTAGTCTGTATCATGGCGTCTATTGTCTCTGGTATAGCCTGCACGGAACACAATCGCATAATCAGTGTCATCAGCAGGCAGAGTGACCAGCAACAAATACATTCATTTGAGAACGCACTGAGATCTGGTCAGCGTTGAGGAGAAACCAGTACGTAGACACCATAGCGTAGTTACATGTGCATTTGCGACACTTGTTTTATAGTTTTCATTTTGAGGAGGCAGCTATGAGAGGGAGCGAAGGGTGTGTGTGGGGGGGGGGGGGTCTCATCAAGAGGCATGACCTTTGCCAACATGTCTGTGTAGAGCTGCTTTAAACACCTATTAGTATTGATCTTCTGGATGCGTGGGGTTTGTACATCTATCCTAGCCTGTGAGAGCATATGACATAATATAATTATGTCCATAATGATCTTGCCACTCACTTGAATTGCTTTGTCCTTCTCCATGATCGGTACAGACTTGATCTCATTCGAGCTTGGTAAGCACTCGTGGACGGCTCTCTCCTTGAAATCGGAATCGGAAAACTCCACAGGGGCGCCGAAGAAGCGTCTCTTTCGAAAATACTTCACCTGGAGCTGCAGTTGATAGGAACAAATGCAGCACATACAAAGGGACACTACAGCAGCTGCATGCGTAATTCCATGCACCGTCTATTGTGCAGAGCATCCAGGTCTAATTACAGGTTAAGCGAGTCACGCATCAACATGCTCCACTGCAGAACATATCATCGCATGCTGTGAGTACTACACAAGCAGAATCCACGGGCCTGGCCTATGTTCGGATGTTGGACGGCCCGGCTCACGTCACCGGTCTCCACCTCCAGGAAATACCTCTCTCCTTCAATCACACCATAGTACCGTTGACATACGCATACAGATGGTATTACAAGAGTTGTGGAAGTCCAAACATTAGAAGCATGGACATCGGATATAACAAGATCAGCTTGTATACAGAAGGTATACAGGACTGTACCAGTTGTCGCTGATTCTTGCACTGAGCTTCAATGACTTCCATGTCGCTGCCTAGGTTCTCCCAGGGTCGTGGTATCGGTGTCTTCGGGATGGGAATATCCTCCTCGTCTTCATCCTCTCCATCACTACCTTCTCCTCCTCCTTTTGCCTTGTGCTCCTCTTCAAATGGCAGCTGCACGTGAGAATACCAGACAGAAAGGAGCAATAATTATTGTATTCTGCTAACAGCACGCACTGATGTCAGAATTGTACGACATGCACTGGTGTGTGTGTGTGTGTGTGTGTGTGTGTGTGTGTGTGCACGCGTGTGCGTGCGGGAGAGAGAGAGAGGGGGGGGGGGGGGGCTGGGGGCTGGAACGTTAGCCTGTGCTGAGATCCCTAATCCTAAAACTAAGGATGGCATAAGTTCACACACCGTGCCCACTCCTGGGGCTCTGGCTACACCGTGGCACTTGGAGATACAGGTCAGGTATTCTTGTGTCCTACCTTTCGCCATTACATTCAATACTGAAATGAACAAGTCACTTGGAGTCATGCTCAAAAGAAGAACAAGGTTCAGCCTCCTCACATGCAACATTTTTAAAAATTCCGCAAGTAACGGTTACTTTCAATGCCTTCTCATCAGGTGGAATACAGGCAAAAAAAGAAACCCAAGAGGCACAATGAACTTTATACTGGAAATATGTGATAGACACGGCGCAAAGAGGAATAGCCAGACACAAGCGTAACCTCATATACATAGAATGCATGACAAAAGGTACAAGTGTGAAGAAACCTATTATTAAAGCGAGTCATGATTTACTACGCCGACAATAGACAACCAATGGACGTAAGTAATGAATTGTCGACGATCTGACAACCAACCTACTTGTAGCTTTATAGCATTCAATAATTTAGCGCGATATACACGTGACGAATCAAAATAGCAATCAGCTGAACACACAGCATGGCATTCAGGATGCGCATAGAGGCATTGTGATAAAACTGGACCCCACGGCTCCAGGCTGACTGGAATTGAGGCCACGCTGATTCTGTGTTCTATCATTTAGATCAACATGTCACTATACCACAGGCACAGGCTGTATACATGGTATTAGCAGGCACACTGAACATGCCAAGTACGTTCACACAGGTCATTGTACTCGTACAGTGCACTTTGGCCGGTTGACTATAGGGGAAGCACACATACCTGAAGGAAGAATTCCTTGGCCTCTTCGGTCAAGCAAACAACAAAGTTCTCTCCGTACTTGTAATCCCGGTCCATGACAATGAGCACCTCGTCACCAGGGTAGTTCTGTCGCATTGCAAACACAGCAGCCACAAGCCAATAAGTATCGAACTCGCCAAGAGTTAATCTTTTCCATGGACTTTTCCCATGTGTCCTGTTGATGGAAGAAAAACGACATGCTGTGGATAGGAATGAAGTGCAACACGGGGTACAGAATACGTAAACTACGCTGCACTTTTACTTGAGTTGTGGACCTCAGCAAATTCCGGGCCAACTTGAGCTGAAACTGCTCCCTGTCCATGCCTGCTCAAATTCAGTGGAAAGGTGTCGAGCTCCATGGGTCACCTTGCCGGTACACACACAGAGCATGAGAGGACCGTGTCAGAAAAGCCGGCTCACACAATATACCCACTTTATGTTGGGTGCGTTTGTGGAGGCCACGTATTGCATGTGTCTCCAGGTGCAGAGTGTTCAATACAGTACTGCCGGTCGCCGAAGAACAAGGGAGTCAGGCTCGTAGCCTCGGACCGTTCTTATTTTCATGTACTACCGTCTATGTATAGTTGAGTCACCGTGTATACACTGGTATGCCATGCTTGGTGAAATTCTAGCCTGTTTGTTCTTCGGCGCTGCGTTCTTCAGCGCCCACCATTACTGTATGTATGCTAGAGGGTGATGTGGACGCGTGTCGAAGTATCCTCAGGCTACATAGAGTGCCCAACATCTGGTGGACAGAACCAAGCAATAGTATAGCACATGGTGCTGTCTGATCTGTGCTTTTTTTTTAACACGAAACTCTGAATAGCAGCGAAAACAGACTAGCCTGAGCTTGGCTGTACCGTTGCAGTGTGCCTATCGAATACAGCACTGTGCCTACACTACTAAACGATGGGATAAGACCTGAAGCCGCAGTGATCGACTAAGGCACTACAATTAGTAAAACCGGATTCACACTTCATTTCGCGTACCGGAAATGCATCGAGCGACGGGCCAAACATGTTGAGCTCAAGTCAACTTTTCTCTCCGCGGCGGGTATCGCGATGCATTTCCCGGATGCCAAATGAAGTACGAATCGGCCATTACCAGCAACTGACCTGTATATCGGACTTGACCGGGTGGAAATCACAGACTGACGCCCGGTTTTTGAAGTCTTGCATGATGTCGGCCTTCAGGATCAGCTTGAACATGTCGGCGTCGTTGATATCAACGTCCGGCGTACAGTGGAAGATTTCTTGCGACGGGCCGGACATAAACAGTGGTTTTGCTCCCGCTGGTAATTCATCAGGTAGTTTGCGTATGCGTATCTTCTCTACTTGAGTTTCAGAGCCCTCACCCTCACCTTCTGCGCCACCGTCGCCACCACTGGTGTCCGGTTGCGATGCTGGACCTTCAGCATGGTCACTAGCAGTGGGTGGGTCGGCCACTGCTGGCGTTGCAGCTGTGGATCTCGTCGCACCCTCTGCTCCGTCCTGATCGCTGCTCCCATTCGCCGTCACGCCCGCTGCAGCAGCCGGTGTTTGCTTTCCACTGGCAGGCGCTTCCCCGCCAGCAGCGCTAGCGCTGGCCGGCGGTTTGGACGATGCACTGCCCGCACGAGACATAGCAAATTCAATTATTCAGTTAGGTAAATAATTCCTCCCTAGGGCAGGTGTTCGTCGAGATTCCCATTCAAGGACCAAATTCAAGAGGTTCAAGAAATGGATGGTCGTTGACCATCCCGGTCGGCGTTGGTGTTACTTTTAGACTAGTTTTAGCGCAGTTACCACTCATGCCACGTGCGACAAGAAAGAACGCTTATTTTAGGCAAAGAAAAGATGAAAACGATGTCAAAGTTTTCAGAAAACAAGCCCGGACGACCTTGTTGGCTCAGCGGTTGCACCGCGGGAAGTGGCGACAACATTACTTACTAGCTGCATGACATGTGTATCCGAGGTCTGGCTCTGATTTTGATGTTGGTTTTTTAGCAAGACTTGACTCTTCCCTGGCCTTGCACGGCTGTCAAGAAGCGGCAACTTAGAAAGATGGCGTCGGTTCGAGATGGCATGGTAACCGCGCACGTGCCGTGGTCCGTGCCTTGCTCATGTATGCACGCAAATGCAAGTCACAAACTCACAAAGATCGTCTTTGCATTTGGAGAAAATATCTTCGACTCTCTTTGGAGGTTGGCGAGGTTTGCCTAATCTTTACTTGATTGCGATGCCGGTATGTCCTCTCAATAATTAGAAGAAAGAGAGCTGATGATCGCTTCATTGCTGAGCAGAAGTAACAATCAACTCTCCTCATGTCCTCAGTGCCAAAGGCAGACGACTGCAATTCCACAACGCTCATTTCACGATGATGGAAACAATAATCGTGTACTAGTACACACTTGGACCATTTGGTCATCCCTATTCTAGCCGCTAGTCCGTCCAGCAAGCAGATATTGACTATTACGATAAGGACAACTGCGTGAACGAGGGCTCGCCCAGCAAATACAATTCAAGTCGTGACTCCAGTCAAGAATTAGGGTCTTTACTCGAGAACTTCACAAATACAGGCCAAGGCACCCCACAAAACTGATAGATGGCATGAACGAAAGACAAATAGGCTAAAGTGTCCCAAGTGATTGAAAACAGCAGATCTACCAAATAAGACAGCTACATGTGCCTAAACAACAATTCCCATACAGTAGAGAGTAGTATCAGGCAGAATGAAAGCCTTGGAAGTGCACAAATACAGCCACGACCGCCACAAAAATTGGACGACCGCCACAAAAAAATTCTCATTGCTCTACCTCCTTGAAGGGTGAAAGTTACCAGTTATCCTATAGCGATGTCAGTTTATGCCTGTTGGAACCCCCCACAGCCCGCACGAAATACCTTTCAAATAATTCCAGGATGCAATTGCAGCTCCAGACAGGAGGAAGAAGAACACAGTGAAAAATAACGGCAACGATGCCCAAACTCTCGGGAAACGGCTGAAGTCTTCCTGAAGATGTTAACATTGAATAGCCATCGATTACCAGCGTGGTTTGGTGACTTTAGAACTGTTTTGAGACTTAGAACGAAGCGATATCTCAAATTTGATGGAATTGTTACCTGTCAAATGCGTGGGCGAGCAGGCCAGCTGACTGCTTATGCATGAACAATGCATGAGCATGCATTGATTTTTCATGGTTCACGTGCAGAAAACTAAGTTGCCGCGATCCAAGTGCAGCTAACAGCCGTGCTTGGTGACCATCCCGGTCCGATATGCCAGCGATTCATAATACTGATGCTGGTTATTCATGATACAGGCATAACTAGCAATTAGCATGGGGAAAAACTGCCCTTGTTTCTATGGTGGGTATCCATGGATACAAGGGACTACAAAAGGAGACAGAGCTTCACTGGCTTCAGTCAGACACGAGTCAGAGACTGAGCTATGATGACAGACTGAGAGGAAGAGAGATATGGAGAGGGGGGGGGGGGGGGGGGGGCACGAGAGAGAGAGCAGCAGCAGGGTCTGATCATTGGCACACACATACACCCACACACACCGAGCATTTCAGCAATGTAGTGAAATGCATGATTGTATTGAAATCCGATCGCATGAGTCAAGTTTGTGTCCGTCCTGCACTACAAAGTAACTCACTACTAATACTACTAACGTAGTGCTACAGATCTGGGCTGCACAGTGCAGAGCACGCGGCATGACATTGAGTCATTGACTCACATGATCGGATTTCATTCAGCTGCACTGTCCATTTTGCACACATTCTCTAGTATAGGTGGGAACAGCAGGGTTGAATGGAAATGAAAATTGTCATCCAGTTACAGTGACCAGTGATGTGGTTGTCGTTGCTGCTGCTGCTGTTGTTGTTTGTTGTTGTCGTTGTTTGTTGTTGTTGGTGTTGTTCGTGATGGTGGAGGGGAGCAGTGAAAACAAACAAAAAGCGGGTAAACCGTAGCTAAAAGTTACAGCAATGCACAAGTATTTCATAGAAGAAAAGGGTGACCCTGTAACTAAGTAATTTGCAGAGAATAACTATTATAGCCACACATGCAAGAGAGGTCGGTCCAATGTTATAGTATAATAAGTATAGTCATGGGTGCGCCTTAGATACTGCCCATAGCTGTATTTAAAAAAACCTGCTGCAATCCCGTTTTCATCACTCTATAATTCGTCATCTGCGTAAATGTCGGCTTCCATGATGGGATTCACCGGAACTTCCGTAAGATAGCCATTTATAAACTCAATAAAATGTCCAGTCAACGTTCGGCTGAGAACCATGATATTGTTTGCTAATACAGATAATTCGGCAAAAGCACTGAGATACAGTGTGCACGGTCATGTATGGCATGGCTTCAAGCAATTCGGTGGTGCACAGAGCCAGTGATCACGGTCATGGTGAGTTGTGCACTGATACACTGCTACACTGTCTGCTGCAGTCAATGATGGATAGCAGTAACAACACACGGTCCCTGCTCACCGAAACAACAACACAACAGCGGTGACAATCCACATACACTTCTTGTACATGGCTGCATCATGTCTCCCGTACGCCTACTTCAAGGCGAATCCCGGCCGGCGGCAGGTGGCACATTCATACAGTGTCGGCACACAGGAGTTCAGCACCGACAAACGGGAGTTCATCACATGCCCGCAGCACTTAGCAGTGATGAGTTCAGCTGCATCGCCGCCACTCATTCTCAAACTCATCCAGAGCCGGTAGTGAGGCCTAGCCATGTAGGATGCATAGCCTGCTCAAGATTGCCCATTGATTGTCAGCAAGCAGGGCAATTCCAACCAACTCTGCAAGGGCCTGCCTTTTTTATACTTGCTAGCCATTGGGTGAGTCTCACCACATTCGACTTGTGCTTCACGGGCACTCCCAGCCTTTCGATACGGCAGTTGATTGGAGTCATTGACTGGGTACAGATTCACGTCTCTGAGCCCAGAGTGAGGTGAGGTACTACGCAGCAATCAGATCCATCAACTCTGCACGTTCAACTGCAAAACAAAAAGGGAAAAAAGAAGGGCATAACCGACCACAAGTTACACTAACGCACTGCTAGCTTGTCCTATATTCTCCAGCACAACCAGCAGGCAGCTTCTCGTATCCACTTGGCCAAGTTTCTCACTGTTTACACAGCATGGCTAACAAAAACGAAAACTCCAAACAGATTTCTCTCCATCACCTGATTACCTGACAACAGTTTCCACACCGGAGAGTGGACATCAATGTTCAGAGCATGAAAATTCAAGTAGAATCGCATCTGAAAGATTCCAATATGTGCACATACGATTATCCGAACATCAAGTACACGTATCCGAACGCAACCTGCAGCACCTTTCAAATGGTGTACTGGATGCATGGCGGGTTGTTGTCAAAACGTCTCTCTCTCTCTCTCTCTCTCTCTCTCTCACACACGCACTCACACACTTACACACGCACGCACGCACACACACACGTACATATTCAAGTGCAATGGCTATCATACCAGGTGTAGTCGCTGTTTTCAAGCATTCCTGAAGGTATTTGCGATTGTGAGCAATGAGAAAGCGCTGGCAGCTACGAATAGTACCTGCAAGAAAAAGCAAGACATTACGGATTAAGGGTTAGTCACTTTGACACACACACACACACACACACACACACACACACACACACACACACACACACACACACACACACACACACACACACACACACACACACACACACCATTGGACGCCCATCGCCGGAGGCGATGATAGCGATGCTACAGCAGAAGCCATAGCAACTTGTGCTGGGATTGCACCATTCAACAGCTTGCAAGATTGAAGAATTGGCCGCCACTATTCAGCCTGGTCTACACCACACAGCTATGAAGTGGCTTTTTCTGGCCAGTGAATCCCTACTTTTTGGTCTCTTTTTTTTCCCGCACACACATCACACCACATACTCCGGCATGCACTGGCTGTTGGTAACCACCCAGGAGAATGAAAGAAAAGTCAGGAAGAGTCTGAGAAAGAGAAGAAAGGCGTGTGTGACCATAATCGTCGGGAATCGAACCCGCAACCTGTCGATTGGAAATCGCTGCACATACCACTGCACCATATGGGACACACACACACACACACACACACACACACACACACACACACACACACACACACACACACACACACCATTGGACGCCCATCGCCGGAGGCGATGATAGCGATGCTACAGCAGAAGCCATAGCAACTTGTGCTGGGATTGCACCATTCAACAGCTTGCAAGGCTGAAGAATTGGCCGCCACTATTCAGCCTGGTCTACGCCACACAGATATGAAGGGGCTTTTCCTGGCCAGTGAATCCCTACTTTTTGGTCTTTTTTTCCCGCACACACATCACACCACATACTCCGGCATGCACTGGCTGTTGGTAACCACCCAGAAGAATGAAAGAAAAGTCAGGAAGAGTCTGAGAAAGAGAAGAAAGACGTGTGTGACCATAATCGTCGGGAATCGAACCCGCGACCTGTCGATTGGAAATCGCTGCACATACCACTGAACCATATGGGACACACACACATACACACACACACACACACACACACACACACACACACACACACCACACACACACACACACACACACACACACACACACACACACTAACACACACACTAACACGCACACCTGGGATGTCACAGGGTGATACGAAGTGGTTCGACCAAAGGGAGCCATACTTCAGAGGGTGTCAGGGGAAACTTCCCCTTTAAAGTTTAAAAGTTGGTTTCACCAGAGCAGCTCCCAGGGCATCTCAATCAAGCTGTGATTTAGATGAATAGGGTGGACTACCTCGGACAAAAGGTGGTATGACCATGGTCGTACCGTCTGTGACACACCCCCCCCCCCCCCCCCCGCGGTGACACGCAACAAGCTATTCTTGTGAGTAAAGGTGGAGGGGGAGCACAGGGGAAAGAGAGAGAGAGAGAGAGAGAGAGTGAGAGAGAGAGAGAGGGGAGGGGGGAGGGAGGGAGCAGACAAAGAGAACCATACCTCCCAGATGTAACACCTTGATGCTGCACTCAATATCCCGGAGTTTCTTCATCAACGGAAGAGCAGAGAGCAGGAGCTTGTAGTAGCCGCGAGAAATACGGATTATGGCAATGTTTGTTTGTACATTCAGGTATTTCACTGCAAGGGAGTGCAACACGACAAGAGGAACCCGCATCAAACAGCGCTGATGAGTGTCAGCTTTTGAAACTGCCCAGCATTGGGGAACAGTACACAAGAAACATAACAATCTTGCTACGGACAACAAGCATGCCTTGACACAAAGAAGACATTTACTGGCGGCGGCTGTCATCATTCAATACAAGTGCTACACACTATTAGTATTAGAGTACACGCTGGCATAGAGCACACCATGATTATTCAATACAAGCATTACACACTATTAGTGCAGTACACGCTGGCATAGAGCACACCATGATTATTCAATACAAGTACTACACACTACAGTATAGAGCATACCATGCAGGGATCTCAAGACGCATCCCAGACCATAATCACCGTGAAGACATTGCACTGCCTTGCGCAGCTCCTCCACCATGCGCTTGCTGCTCAGCTGTTCGTCGTGCTGGCGGCCACCACCACTGTCACTGTCGCCGCTGTAGCTCAGCTCCACGGTTGCATACCTACATGTACACGTACACACACACACGTACACACACACACGTACACACACATGATTGTACAACCACACACACACAGATCATACACACATGAAGTGGAAGAGCGGAGTAAAACACCACATCCCAACATGACACAAGCTATCAAGGGAACTAGGCTGAAGTGTATGTTGACACTCAGAGTTTCATGGCTATCCACCAATCCTCAGACAACAAACGATTGATTGAATATGATGTACAAGACACATTGGTGGGAGCAAAAGGAGGCACCCTGTGTGTCAAGCATGCCTCTTGTGCTGATTCTGTACACAGTACTACGATCCTGGGACCATTCTAAAAGCTGCTTCCATGCTAATAGTGCGTGCATGGACTTCAAGGCCGTACAAGAACATGTTTGTGTGGGACAACCCAACCGTTCAGAAATCTCAGGGATTGAATTCATGCGGGTGTCATTTGACCGACCCGTTATAAGGACATGTACCTTACGGAAGCTCGAATGTGAGCACACTTGCTATGAATACACAATCATCCAGGTCAAATTGGCTCTGGCAGCCCCACACCTAAAGTAGCACATGTAGATCTGCCACTGACTAACTGACTACATGTCCCAAGCAAACAAATTGTTCTATGGCATAACCTACGAATCGCCATTGTCTTTCTATTGCGCCGCGATGTGGCAATTTCAAGGAATCCAAAGGCTACACTACACATGCGGTACGTCTGTGCTCAAACTGTGACATATGCGGAGTGATCAGGGCACTACACTATATTCCCAACAACTAGCTTTCAGTGTTTCAGCCTGATGAGGGGCTCTGCCAGGAAATTTGGTGAATGTTGAAGTTCTTGCAGTGAACAGACCACTCTGTGTGTGATAAATGGAGAGGCTGTTGTGATGTACGCCATATTGCCTAATGCTATCAATGCATCAAAAAAAGTTTTTTTAGTAGTCTGTTGTCGTCGCTTGATCTCTCATTAGCCGTGTGCTTCCTTGTTATCTCCTTTTCACCTCCCTCTCTTCATTTCATACCCACCGCCCCAGTAAAATATCGAATCAGGATCCATCTACTATCGGGGGGCTTCAAATAAAAATTAATATGAATCAATGGATGAATTCATTATGGTAGTTTGAGGGAGTTGAAAAGTAAAAGAAAGTATTATGTTTCGTTTTTCTGTAAATGTTTCACTCGTCTCGCACGCACATTCAAAATCCCCTACTGTTCCTTACCTGTGCTTCAGTCGAACCATTTCGGATCATCCACGAACAACACTACTCTCCGAGTGCTGATAATTTGGCTACTGAGCTCCGCTTTCAGCAAATGAATAATTAATAATTTATATTTTGAAAACTGTGAAAACCGGCCCAGCTATGCGCTATAGCGCTAGCTCAGATCATGTTTATCACATGCAGGAAACCTCTTTTTTGCGTTGATGACGTCACAACTCGAGGCCCTCCCGTAGATCCTGTACAAGGCTGTAGACCACAGTCAGTGTAGTGTTTGGGAGATCTTCCTCCATGCCTCCAGCCATGCGCCAGTCCAGGCTCCACCTTCACGCACGGTCGGTATTACACAAACTTCTCTCGCCAGTACAGTGGATACGGATGTCAACTCGCTGTCGGAAAAGTTTGTTCATCGCCGAGTTTGTAGAGAGTACAACAGGGAGTCGACAATAATATTTAGTACCAAATAAATGTACTGCGACCGCACTCAATAGGACAAGTAAAGCGGAATCGACATGGAAACTTCATTCGTGCAGTATCAAAACAGTGTGGAAACTAAGTGTAATAACAACGATGAAAAGTAAGAAGGAATGGTGAAGAGAACTATAAGTATGGATCTCTTCACCATTCCTGCTCTTCAATATGTCGATTCAGCTTGTCCTTTTGATTGCTGTCATAAAATTGTTGTCTCCTCGCCGTCTCACCAAAATACTACACTGATGTTTGCTCACAGGCATTGAACTGAATACTAAGTTTAACAAAATAAGCGGCAACGAGCTGAACACAAGCTACATTCCGGAATTCCCATGCTCCATGGAATGCTGGCTTTGTAGTAATTGTACTATAACGGGACGGTAAGACCATTGGACAATGCGGCGGTCTAACCACGCAACAAGTTCACAATAACCACCCAACTTGTGAGGCTCAATTTTATCAAGGATAAGAAATAAATGGGAAGCTGAAGCCTGGGAATGTAGCTTGTGTTCGGCTCGATGAATCGATGACGCTCACCGGCCTCTGTGGAATTATCACTAATATCCACGAACCTTCCAAGTAAGTTGGAAGGCCGTTGGTTAGCGCTATCGAGCAATGCTCAAGCTCACTTTCATGCCATGGAATGCCTCAGTACTCCTTGTCAGCCTGGCCAGTGCTAAATTGTCTACGTCTGACTGTTCAAAATCTGGTCTAGTTGGTGGACTCTAGCACATACATGTAACTAACTTGTGCTCCACTGTTTCCATGTTTTCACTTTAGTATTTCCTTGGCTCACCATCTGAGTTCCTATTGGATTCGTCAATGGATATCACCAAGACTTCATAACCATGATAACCCCGGGTTGCAGCCAACAGGAAACTACAACTTGTACAATATGTAGCTTCCAGTGCACCGTACCTGAGCTGAACGGTCCGGTGGACCTCCAACCGTCCAGGATAATCATACTTCATGCTGTCAGAAAGCAAGTACACTGTGCATGGATACAATTACACTGTATAACGGCCTTGTTAATATGCCGTGTTATACAATCACCCCGGTCACTAAGTGTATTCCTAAGCCTATGGTGTTCATGCATGATCAGATTGTTACTTCAGCAAAAATAAATAAAGGGCAGCTGTTCTACAATGCCAGACTTGGAAGGTGAAACACAAACTGGGAAGGCGAGGAGAGCAATGCATGCTTTAAAAAAAGAACTCTCCAAATCAGGTATTGGAATGATGTCCATGGAGGTGAGAAAGAGGAGGGAAGGCTTCCCTGTCAGAACAATAACTGTTTCTCTGTAATCACTACATTTGTGTCTTGTATTAACAAGAGTACATAACCCCCCGTACTCTTGGTATTAATAAGAGGTAACTACATTGTAACTGTTAGGCTAGCGGTGACTGGTAGTTGTACGAGTCCGGTAGACGCAGTGTACATGGTATCGATGGCTCACATTAGCACCTCATTATGTCCAGGATAATGTACAAATTGGCACCAAAATCATGATTTCCACTGAAAATGAAAACTATACAAGAGAGAGAGAGAGAGAGAGAAAGAGAGAGAGAGAGAGAGAGAGAGAGAGAGGGGGGGGGGGGGGAGGAAGCTGTGTTACAACTCCGAGTTTCACGTAGTCACGATCATCAACCACCTGCTCTTGATATTCGAGCAGTGGAGCACGCTACTTGTATGATTACGGAAAGTGAAAACTCAACGAGGATTGCTTCCTGAAAACTTACAAGGTAACATTCGCCTACCGGTACGCGGTATCACCGTTACCAGTGAAGTCAGTTGAAGAAACCCTCATAGCCCGCACCATAATTGCACGTTGTGTACGTGTATCTATTCTTGGTAAATGGGGAGGAGGGGGGGGGGGGGGGGAGGTACTTTGTAGACAGTATAGTCATGTACCTAGTATAGTAGTAATCCCGAAACAGCTAGCATGGTTGTCCGGAAATGATAATTTAGTTTATCTACAAGTACAGTCATGTAACTTCGAGAGTTCGAGTATACATGTATGTACATGTACATGTATACAGTGTACATGCATTTTTAACCATGTCGTGGCAAGAGTAAAGATCCCGGGAGCTTACGTGTACATGAGTCAATTGTACACACGCATGTACGTGTACGTGACTGTACATTTACATGTACAATGTACACTACATGTACAGTGTATCTTACTGATAAAAGCCACGTACACGTACATGTACATGTACGTGTACGTGGGCAAGGGACAGGCTATGAATCAAAGAAAAAAGACGAATAAAAGCTCTAACTCTGTTCCCTCCTCCATTCACTTCGTTGACTCTCTCATAACCTTTTATTGTGCATACTTTTCCCCGTAATCCCCAGTTATCTACCCCCCCCCCCCCCCTGCGTATTTTCCGTAATCTTTTGTTTTTGTGGAGCGCTTGGGTTGCAATGAAGCCGAGACCCTATGGTCGGTCAAGCTGCCCCTGCCTCTCCCCCACTGTGACTCCTGCCATTCCATATGTCTCATCGCTGCCTTGCTGCTTTGTGCCGTCAAATGGTGTGTGTTTTTTTGTAAAAAAAATAAATAAATAAATAAACCATGTACATGTATGCGAAACATCGGCAGCCATATGTTTCTCGACACCCTCATAATTATCATTAGATTTTTGAGCAATCCCAAATCTTTCTAGTACTCCAATGGTACTATTGGTAGGTGAAAGATGAGTGGGAAATGCTGGCGAGCAGACAGTTCTTCCCTAGCACTGCACAGTCAAAACTCATTTGCTTTCGCTTGTAAGAGCAACAATCATCAAGTTCATTGGACAGTTGGTGCAGTGCCAGGGGAAACAAAAAGTATGTCTGTTCGCCAACGCCCACTACTGACCTACGATGTTGGAGGACACCTCACCCCTCTTATACATGTACAGTACCTGCATACTAACTACACTGTAGTAACTACATTGTACTTCTGAAGTAGTTAGTAGACAAAAGGAAAGACAGCCCATAGTAAATTCTGGTGGTGGGGCAGGAGGTGTGGGAAGAGGTCTCTTTTTTCATTCAGCTCGACATATGACTGCAGTGCTCATCTACTCTCCTCAATCGCCTTCTTGCCTCCCCACTCAAAAGCTGGGACTCCTGGGATGTCGGGAAATGATCTTCGCTCAAATTGAAATCGAACCCGAAACCGCATGTTTTGAAGGCCAACACTTTTTAAAAATAACCATTCCGCCAACACCGTACCCCATTCACATGCAATACGAGGCAAACACATTGTGTACACGAGTCATGACTCAGTAGGTAATACCTGTTCAGTTAGGGGTGACTAATCCGTTGGTCCCTCAGCTTCCAAGAGTGCTGAATATCATAGGCAGAGAATAGAACTACGTATTAGCAGACTCAGCGGAGGACGTTCGGGTTCGTTGTAACTCGCAAAGCAATTCAGACCACTTCAGATATCTGACGATTGCCTCGCGGCGTGAAACTCGGAGTTACAACGAACCTGAACGTCCTCCGCTGAGCTTGCTGACAGTTCTATACTCTGTCTATAAGAGTATGTACTCCTTTCGGTATTGTGATGAGGTTGGCCTTGCGATTGACCGCAGTTCTTTGCCACTCTGAACTTCATGAAAACTCTCATTGCTGGATCAGATGATTGTCAGGCTCGCATTCCTGGGGGGGGGGGGGGGGGGGGGGGTAATAGTCAAAGTGTACATCGCACATGAGTTCCAATTCATCAAAACCAGCAATAGCACCCTACAGATGTACTTGCTACACAAGAAGGTACGTCCGCCACGTCACCGCTAAGCAAGTTGTTTCTCCACTTCTGCCTGTCGCGGTGTCAGCGTAAGCGATCAACTTTGTTGAAGGATGGCGATCAGTCAGGACCGGGAAGCTTCCCATTATGTCAACTCCATTTTAAAGGCATTAAGCTGCATGGTCGGAGGAAGTCGTGGGAAGCTTCCCTCCGGTGTTTCGCATTCTCCTCCAGATTGATAAGCATGCGTCCTTTGCTTGGTGGCCTGGAGTAGGATGTGCCCAGGCAGCTGTCATATCGTTCAATTCGCCGTACGCCCCAAACCCGTATAGGCTATCTTACAATGTGCATTTTGGTTCTAGCATTTCAGCGATGCACTATTTCCGGCGGTTTTCACAACACACCTGCTTCTCCTGAAGAGGACAAAAGCAGCTCGCATGCCACATGTACCACCTTTTGGCAATGAAAGCTGGTGGCGGCACACACCGAACGTGTCGTTTCAGTGCATTGATCGTGGTCGTGCTTGCTGAGGGTTAGGCGTTGGGGGCTACCAGAAGGAATGGTGAATTTCGAGTCGACTCCAGGCGCTGTCTAGTTAGTAGTACCCTCACCGACAACAACATTTTGATACGAAAAATCGAGACTTGATGGAAACAGATCAGATCGTAGGCTTGGTTCAATCGTGCCTGGCATACAAAAACCAAAATCTTGACAAGAATTAGATAAGATAGACTCCATCCACAAAAAAGGTTTCTGACTTAGCGATTATCGCTCGTGTGCGTAATTTCTAGTTCAGCAAAGATGTTCTGTCAAAGGTGGTTGGACGTTGACTTGAGCACCCGGGTCTACTCCCGAGTGAATACCGCCAGATAAGGCCTGCATTGATTATCAGTCCGATGTGTACATGTATTTAATTAAACTGTAGTATGTTGTTACTCTCCATTCCATACTTTCCACATTCCGAAGTGTTATTTGAGTGCCATATTGTTACCAGGAAAGAACGGCTGGTCGCGAGGCTCAAAGGGAAAGAAAGCGTGCTGCTGACCAACCGCCCCAAAATACTCCAGAAGTAATTATTCAGCAGAATTGCAAAGGACCGGAATGATGTACAATCATGTACATGGCATTGCGATGCTTGCATGCCACTAACGGACTTATGGTGCATTCTCTCTGAGGTGATTTCATTTAATAGTATTTACGTTATTTACCAAGACAGCGTTTGCCTAGCATACATACATGTACATGTACATGTACATGTACAATCATGATATAATCCAAAACTGGTAAACCAGTATTAGATAAACCTTGTTGTAGTTCACGCAATTGTTAGATTGACAGCATGAAACAAGGAGGAGGACACTGTGTTCGAAAACAGTGACCTTACTACAACATTCCGCGGTTGGCAGAGCCCCGGTCCCTGCGGACCATTTGAACCATTATGGGTATCGCACCCGGTTCTGACCCTCGTTATGCTAGGGGGTTAGGAGACTACTCCTGATGTCGTCTTGTTGTCTTCGCTCTTTTTTAACTTCTATAAAAACTTCTTTTTCTTTTTCTGTTTACAGCTGACGAGCTGAGAGAAGGACGCCATGGGCGGAAGTTGGAAAGAAAAAGAAAAAGAAGTTTTCATAGTTATAGAAAAGAGCGAAGAAAACAAGACGACATCAGGAGTAGTCTCCTAACCCCCTAGCATAATGAGGGTCAGAACCGGGTGCGATACCCATATTATGGTTCAAATGGTCCGCAGGACCGGGGTTCTGCCAACCGTGGAAGGTTGTAGTAAGGTCACTGTTTTCGAACACAGTGTCCTCCACCTTGTTTCATGCTGTCAATGTAACAATTGCATGTACAATCATGTACATGTATGTATGCAACAGTAAATTTCAAAGTCAAGAACTGCAATTTTCACAGGAAGGTGGCCAAATGCACTGTCTGCATGCACGTATGCTTCTAAATAATTATAATACAGTCATGTACATGTACAATGTACAACCCATGGCAAGCCGATATTTTAGCTATTTATCTTTAAAAGTACATGTACTTTGTTTGTCAATGGTCAGGTACAATCCGAGCATTCTCACAAAACGACACAGTAACAGTGCGCAGGCGTGTACATGTGTGTGTGTGTGTGTGTGTGTGTGTGCGTGCGTGTGTGTGTGTGTCAGTGTATGTGTGTGTGTGTCAGTGTGTGTGTGTGTGTGTCTGACTGTGTCACGTGTATGTGTGTGTGTGTGTGTGTGTGTGTGCGCGTGTGTATGTGTGTGTGTGTGTGTGTGTGTGTGTGCGCGTATATGTGTGTGTGTTGATCACTGTCTGCAGTGATGGATCCTCGTCACTCGGTAGGGTCGATCCGAGAGAGCTGTACCCCTCCCCCCCCCCCCCCCCCCCCCGATGCGGAGACTGGCGGGTTCACATCCCTGTGTAGGGCAACTTCCCCGTGTCATGTCTCGTGCACTGCCAAGGACACCGTCAACTCCACCTCACCATCATGATACCACTGGATCACCATCGTCAAGCCTCAAGGTCCAATGCTGCAAAGTGCTTCCAACCGTTACATGGGAACGGACACACATTCGCTTCTGCGACTCCGGACACGCGAATGCGACATACATTTATACAGCAGCCTCAGGCAAACGTCTTTGCGATGGCATGATCAGTCTGTGCCCCGGAAACTGGACACGGGACAGAGCTAGAGCATCGTCGGCGATGGCATAATTATTCCTTTTTGGCAATAACGTTAGAAGCTGATATATCCCTGTACTAAGTTGAGCACCACGCTTTTCCTGGTTAGCACAGCTAGGTTCCGCCGAGAGTTGAGAGTTGACACTGCTGTTCTGCACTTGTTCACATCTATCTACATGTATGTACTAATGATAGTAATGACTATTGTAGTCTCCTGGTCTCCCTGACCAGTCACCTGGTTCCTCATGTCCCAGTGACACTTTCATCAAAAGTCAGGCACAATCAAAAGCTTTATACCTGCCGTCCCAGAAAAGGCTGCATCCGCACCATCATTCTCACAGTCCGGCTCACCCTGCATCTGTACGAGCTCGTACTACGCAGTTTCGCAGATGTTGCCTGGCCCAAGGCAGTGCAACGCAAAGCGGGTCTCTGTCTCCTAGTCTCTGTCTCCGAAGTCCAGGTCTGCCAGGCATAACTAGTATGACTACATCATGTAGTACAGTGATGATGTCTGACTGGCGATGACCCTGCACTGTCTTTGTCTACTACATGTAGATCTACATGATATTCTGGGCTACTCGGGTCGGGACTCGGGTGGCCTGCGTCGCAAGCCCAGCCCTAATTGCTAACGGTACACCGTTCCATTTCCGTGTTATCATTTTGAGGAATGCGTGTCCTCATATTCATAACATAAGTGCGAGATACGATCGCTCAATTATTATTTCCAATGCTAGCTGCTGCTGAGTGCTGGTGCCACAGTGCGTCACGTGAACCGACGTTGAAGAGGGATTTATCGCCCGACTCCTGTCGTCCTGAGACTGAGTCTGATCTGCATCTGACATCGACACAGCACACGCGGACACATGTCCAGGGTGCTGGAGAAGGTCCCGATTCGGACTCAGTTTTGCATAGTGTCGTTGCATTGACCTCGTTTGTGCGTCACTGCATCATTCTGCCTTCTGCCAGTTCTGGTCTTGTCAAGCTTCATGGATGTTCTGACCTGATGCATCGGCATGCTGGGTGATGGGATTTATTGACTTTATTCCGGCTGCAGCAGTGCAGGCGCATGTGATCATGGTGATACACATGTCCCACTACTACTGCCGGACTGGTGCTAGTGGCGTAGATCTACCTGCCACTACTGCACTGTAGTCTGGCTGCTGAGCTGTGTGAGTCTGTGACTATGCATTATTGCATATGCATGCAAGTGGCGACCCATTCAAGCAGCGTCACCAGACCCGGACCAAAGGCATCGTGGTCCTGCATTACTGCGTCTGCACCGGAGCAACACTAGTCACTAGCAAGGGTAGACTTACTGTACTGGCTGCCTGCGCCGGAACAGCACGAGAGTTCCGATCAAGGATCGGCCTACAGTCCGCTGCCACGCTAAGGCCTGGCGGATAAACTCAAGGAAGTCAACACAGCTGTCCCTAGGTCCCTGCTCTCGCTCCCTTCACTACATTAATAATAGTCACTCGGCAGGCAGCAGTACCGGCCATGATTCTGTCATAGCACTCCAAATCTAAGAAAACCAGCGGCAGAAAGGTGTCCCTGACGTACCCCCGTGTAGACCTACAAGCTAGTATTGACTATTGCATCTGACCGAGCTAGAAATTGTCAACCAGTTCGCAGGAGTTGCGAGAAAAACGTAGTAGTACTGCTAGTTCCTTGCTCGATGAGAGGAAGGTCCTTGTAAAGACCTCGTCTTCCCTTCCTGACCAATGTTCCGAAATCCGCACAAGCAATTGTGCTGAGCCGGTGGATGCACGGACGAGCCGGGTTCACACCTAGAGCACTGTGAAGTGCACCCACACCCAAAGTCTTGGACTGCAGCTTTGTGGCACAACCCGCGTAGGCTGAGTCGTCGCTATTTGGCGGCGCTCAGCCACCTGAGCAGCACCGAGCAAGCTGGCTCGCCGAGTTGCCATCGGCGTGGTGGTGATCGGGCTGTCCGGCAGGGACGCTGGTGAGGAAGGTGTAGGAAAGTCGTGCCTGTGCACGCGTCTCGTCAACCCAGGTGTTGATCAGTACGACGCAGTGGGTGAAGCACATTCGTCCGTGTACACGCATCGCGAATTTCAGCAGAACATCATCAATGGAGATCATTTCCTCTTCTATGGGACAGGTGAGCGAAGGCTGCCTGGTGTGACGGTGGATTTGCAGGTCGTTGAGCACACGGAGATACTGGATGGGGGAAAGGATGGCAAGGTGGCTAGCCCCAAACCCTTCTCTCCACCAGGCCTCAGACGCTACAGCGACCGGGCGCTGGCGACGAAGCTGAGCTCGGCGGGGAAGAAAGTCTACTCCAACCATGCCCGCACATCACGGGGCATCACACAGCAGCCGCACGCCAGCTTCCCGGGCGAGTTTCGCCCCACGCACTACATTCTGGTCATGGACCCGACGGCGTCGTCGAACAGTCAGCAACGGCAGCGTGCGCTGATAGCTCTGCTGTGCAGCTCGCTGGGCAGTAACACGCGTAAGGCCGTGATAGCCGTGAGCAAGTGTGACCGGCTGAGCGCGGACAAGATAGCCACCATGGAGCGCGAGAACGAGCACCTGAGCAAGATGCTGCAAGTGCCGGTGATGTGTGTGTCGGCGAGCAAGAACATCAACATCAACGAACTGGTGCTGCTCCTGTCCACGCGCGGCCGCGGCAGAACCTTCCGCGGTGGACCGCCGTATGCCGACACGGAGCTTGCCATGAAACGGCAAACTGACGACGCCAAGGTGGCACTGACGAGTTTGCTAAGGCAGCGGGTCACCGTATTCGAGGTGGAATGGAAGTCCGTGCAAGCCGAGCTCAATCAAGAGCAGCCGTTCTACGTGACGTGCTATTTGGCCGGTGTGCAAACAGCACGCACTCTCTTCCAGGAACGCCTGCTGGAGATCAAACTGGACGCGGTCAAGGCCATTGTCAAGGAAGAAGCACGGCAGAGCAACAACAGCGAGTACGGTGCTCTGGCCGCCAGCCTCCTGATGGAGAAAGCAAGAGACATTGAGCAGTCACTCAGTTCCCATCCGGAGTTTGCGTAAGTCATGAGAATAATATGTGTATAAGTGGGAGGATCAGGAGCGGAGGGGGGGGGGGGGGGGGGCACAGTGAGAACAAGGAACATGGCTTACAGTTTCACATAGATTCTTCCAAATGTTATCATGTTGTAGAAAGCCCGTCATCGTGGCCGTGATGTTCGTATTCTCCTTGAATGGAGCTGGGTATGTGTGTCTTGAGGCATGGTGTGTGCTGGTGTGGTGTCAGTGTTCTCACTGAGCCTATTCACACTACCAGCAAGTGATATCCTAAAACTGAGTCTTTTTATCGTCAAATTGGTACTTGAGGCTAACATGGCTTTTCAGGTGATATGAGTTCATATGGTCGGAGATTTACATGGCCACGAACCCACTGACTGTATGGCACAATGCTCTTGACTACAGGCAGAAACCAGCTGGTGCATGGCCCCCGGTCTTGCAACGGTATGAACAGATGAGACCATGGGTTTGCAGGATGTAGGGTACCAACTTGTACAGGGGCGTAGCACCCGCTACGACTGGTACGACCATGGCCGTACCACTTTTCGAAAAGTGTGGTCCGTCCGGAACGTGCAAAACCGTAATAAAAAATCAGGATCCATCGATGCATATGCGCATCATCAGACTTTGACCTTTTTCTAGACTCGTAGGTCTACGCTCGTACTCGTACTCGTAGATCTGCCATGCATCTGTGCATGTCCATGCACGTCTCTTCTGACCGTGAAATAATTCTATGACTATATAAACTGTGCCAGAAGTGTGCCAGAAGTTCCCAGAACGCAGAATTTTGTGTCTTTTTTTACAAAATTTTCCCGCGGGAAGTCCCCCGTACCCCCTCCAAAACGGCCTTCAGTCGTACCACTTCCCAAACCCCTCCTACGCCCCTGTTGTACTACTGAAAGTCTTGTCACGGCGGTGACTTACATGTGCCCAGGGTTATACAACTCGGAGTACTCAGTAGCATAACCAACTTACAGTAAATACTGCTAAGCCTGGCACCAGTGGGATACTCATGTTGTGGTAAAGTCCCGTTGCCTCCCCGATTGGCGGCACTTAGCCGAAAGCAGAAACAAATCGTCTGATGATATGCTGTGGATATGTCATAATCATTGTAAGATTGGTAGTTGACTCATGTCTGGTAGGAGTCGAGAAGCTACCAGTATATGGCTATGATGGCATGGTACTCAGCACTCATTACACAGAGCCTCAACAGCACCAATACACACATCCACACACACGTGATTATGGCCAGATCACCCCAGCACTAGCACTGAGTTGTGGGGGTACCAACACAAATCAGGCTGCAAGCAGTCTTAGCTCACATCGACTGCACAATTTGTTGAAGTGCTCATGCCCCTAATCATTCAGCATCATGCTCCTTGCAGCATCTTCCTTTGCATCAAATGTCCGTGCGTGGTGGTGATCTGCGGGTTATTAGCATTAGAAACTACACCTGCATGACTACTACTTGTCGTCAAGTGGCCTGACACGTGTGACAGATGCAATGTTGAGATGTGCAGTCCAGCAATGAGCAGCATCGCAGTGCACCTGTTCATACATCACGTAGACTACTGTTTAGAAAATCCCCACCCGTTTCCTTGAATACATGTACCAGCATGACCAATACTATTCGTATACCAAATATGTTGCCTGATGATTACATTTTGAATTTTTGGGCGTGAACATCCGAGTTGCAACAAACTAGCCGGCTTGACCTACTGTTTCATCGCATGCACAAGTGCATGACTGCACAATGTTCTACTGTTTCATCGCATGCACTCGCGCATGACTGCACAATGTCCACGTCACCTTTATTTCAGGCAAGGCACACTGATGATTCTGAGCACTGAGTTCAGTACAGGATGCTGAGTATTACGACTCGTATACTGAAATTCCTACACGTGTAGGCAAGCACACCCCTCACCGGATTGTTTGCTACCATGCATGTAGCGATTCACGCTTGTGAGGCTTTTAATTTGTCACGGTTGCATTCAAAAACTTGCCCATGGCGTACTCCGAGTGGCACTGACAATCTCAGTAAACAATGAAAGTAGTTGTGATACTAAGCACCTGCTGCCAGTAGTGAACCGACTTTCCTGAAACTCAGAGTTGCCACAAGCTAGTCTTGGTCCACTGCTGTAGCCCATACACTAATGGCACATGACTGCACAAATGATAATGTCACGTTTCTTTCAAGCAAAGCAATACTGAGCACTCAGTGAGCACTGAGCTTACAGGATACTGAGTACTGGCATGCTGCACTTGCTACAAGTGTAAACAAGCACACCACTCATCTGATAGATTGCTACACTGCATGTGGTCACTCACACTCAGTGGGAATTTTAAGTTTGTTGCAGTCCAAAACATGCCCGTACCGGGCTCACTCACTGGCACTCTAGACAATGGTAGTCATCATGATGTTAAGCACCTGCTGCCAGTAGTGAACCCCTTTGAGTCCCTAACTGTCATGACTTTTCTGTGTGTTTGGTTAGCCTGCATAATGGTGATATTCAAGTTTTTGCTGTATACAGTTTCAGAAGTGTGTTGGCGGGGCAGTGTTCTAGTATGTACTACTGTACCAGGCGATGGTGAACCTATGAAAGTGAATGTTTGCAGTTATGTCCAGTCGAAGCGGGAAAAAGAAAGTTTGTGTGTCGTTGTGATAGTACTCCGAGTGTTCTTACCCATGCTCAATCACCAGCCAGCTGATAGGTCAGTGTGAGAGAAACCCACCAAGCAAAAGAATAACAACTAGTGAAGGCATGTGAAGGCAGCCATCAAGGCTGAGGCGGCGATAACCACAATTGTATATGACATTATAGTGTACGAGATACTTACAGTACATTGGGTGTGAAGGAGTGGATGATCCGGAGTAGCAACGCAGTTTCTCTCTCTTCCTTCTACGGTGTGCGCAAACTCTACCTGAAGAACGTGGTGTGATCAAGTTCCACTGGCATACCATGACAGTCTTGTTGCAGGTGCAGGTGCAGGTGTACGTTATATAGTGTGCATGTATAGTGGAGCGGCATACCAATTATATGGGCTTCAGGATGCCATGGGCAGCGCATTCCAGACCAGAAGTAACTTGCAATTGGTAGGGCAGAGAAAACTAAAAGGGGAGTTGTGTGATTCTCCCAGAAAGTTGAAGAATAGAAGCAAAACTGTGCATTCTGGACGTAATCAAACCTTAGTGCACAGCTACGCTTGTGATTTTCAAAGGGGTGGCTGAAACATGAAATGGGTTCGGTGTGTGGGGGGTGGGGGGTAGGAGCTGGTGTGAATGTTGTCATGATTATGTACCAGCACTGCTGTGATGGAATCACTTCAGTGTGCTGACTGTGGGTGGGAAACCAAAAATGAAGAAAAACGGGTAGAGACTGTCAAAGTGCTTCAAGTATAGTTTGTCTGTATAAGATGTACCGGCAGATAGTATCATTCTATACATTCTACCGGGACACATATGTACACGGGTGCATGCAGTTCACGTGTAGCATGAACTCACATAGTATGACACCACATACGTAGCAAACATGCTGCGACTTGAGAATATCTCTGTTTTCATTTCGTTTGGTCTACTGCAGCAACGCCAAGGAAGACATCATTAGCCCGTACATGAAAGTGTCGCGAGATCAGTTGACGGAAACCCTGGGCCTCGACCCCAGTACCATCAACACTGTAGAAGAAGGAGGTTATGTGTAAGTCATTCCAAACTGACAACTCTCTCTCTCTCTCTCTCTCTCTCTCTCTCTCTCCACTACTTTACACGGACACAGGTGTCAATCCACGCGTGGACCGTCACACTTCATTTGCCACCAAAAGGTTGCTTTAAAAGAATATGTACATGTCTCCACAACCACAAGCAAGTTAGGCAAGGGAACAGGACAAGCGACCAAACCATGTGACTGTATGGTATTCATGAACACAGGAGACATGAACACAGGAGACATGAACACAGGAGACATGAATACAGGAGACAAGAGTGCATGGTGCTGTAAGTATACAAATTTTCGGCCCATTCAAATTTCGGCCTCCCAGGACTAAAACCCATTTGGGCCGCATCAATTTTTCGGCCTGTACTGCTGCCGCCTGTATACACCGTCACACTGAACGTTGCAAAACAAAATTTCGGCCGCAACCAATTTCGGCCAAACATGACCAGGCTGACAATAGCCGAAAATAAATAAATATGCGCCGAATATTTGTTGACTTACAGGAATACAGTAGGCAAGATGCTGTTTTCCTGTAGCTTTGAAGTTACGGGGAAACAGCCTCTTGTCTCCTGAAAATATTCACGCACCGGGCGATCACCGGACAGAATACCGTATTTCCACAAATAGTAGGCCGGTCTACTATTTTTTCAACCTCGTCCTAACCCGGCCTTATAATCGAGGACGGTCTTGTATTCGAGGACGGTCTTTTATTCTTTCAACCCAGTTTGACCCCCGGTCTTCTATTTCTCGCCACACAGTTTTACCCCCGTTCTTCCATTTTCTTCTACACAGTTTGAGCACGGTCTTCTATTTTTTCCCACAGTTTGAGCACGGTCTTCTATTTTTAACACAAGAACAAAGACTCATTTAGTAGGCCCGGTCTTCTAATCGGAGACGGTCTTTTATTTTTTCAATCGCCCCCTGCCCCGGCCTTGTATACGAGGAAGGCGTTGTATACGAGGACGGCCTTTTATTTGCGGAAATACGGTATGTATACCACTCTGGACCCGGGTGCGTAGAGCTATTCATCAGCGGCGAGTCTGTCCAGACTGGCATAGCCTTGATCGTGTTGTACGGTATCATAGTTAATGTCCCAAGCATTTATAGAAAACCTGCTTCAAGCAGATTCAGTTGGATCATGAGAGAACTGGATTAACGAGGAGAGGATAGGCAAGGTCTCGCTCTTACTGTACTATGATGCTAAGTTTCTCCGGGAACAATCATTTCACTGTCATTGGGGTTGGCTTGAGTGTTGCACGCTTGCACTATCCAGGGTCAACACAATTTACACAATTTACACAATTTACACAATTTACACAGTTTACACAATTTACACAATTTACACAATTTACACAATTTACACAATTTACACAATTTACACAATTTACACAGTTTACACAATTTACACAATTTACACAATTTACACAATTTACACAATTTACACAGTTTACACTATTTACAAAAAAAAAGAAAAAAAGTTTACACTATTTACACAATTTACACAATTTACACAGTTTACACAGTTTACACAATTTACACAATTTACACAATTTACACAATTTACACAGTTTACACAATTTACACAATTTACATCTCACTTTGTACATGTATAGTGTGGTGTCCAGAATCAAACAGTGACCAGAGCTTTCACTCCTAGATGTTGTGTGTGTGTGTGTGTGTGCGCGTGTGTGTGTGCGTGTGTGTGTGCGTGCGTGCGTGCACGTATGTGTATGTGTGTGCTATCTGCTCTTTATATCTTCCATAGGCAATTTGTTCGGAATGGCTCTGACCCCAAGAACAGGCCGGGCAGGAAGACGTCTACTGCGACTACTTCTCTCCACTCAGAGCCTATCCCGCCTCGTCGTTCTCCATACGAAATGCGACGTCCGCATGCTCCTCCTCAAATGCCCGGCAATACTGGTGGCGGAAATACCAGGAATATTGAGACAAGCCCACCAAGTCACTCCCTGACCAGCATGAACCTTGACTCGCCGCGCCCGGAGTTACGTGGCGGTCCCAGCTACGAACAGCACCACCGAACACTGTCCAGTAGTAGTAGCAGCGGTGCTTCCACCGTCGACCGCGCACCGAGTCCAAACACCTACAGGGCTAGCGAGAACACACGGCAGTCGCCGGAGATGACGGCTCTGTACGGTGGCAGTGGTGGCAACACGGCGGCGGGAGCTAGTACAGCCAGCACAGCTACCTATGGCAGTGCAGCGAGTCCAGCTACCTATGGCAGTGCAGCGAGTCCAGCTACCTATGGCAGTACAGCGAGTCCAGCTACCTATGGCAGTGCAGCGAGTCCAGCTACCTATGGCAGTGCAGCCAGCACAGCTACCTATGGCAGTACAGCGAGTTCAGCTACATATGGCAGTGCAACGAGTCCAGCTGCCCCAGATAGCCACTCACGCACTCATTCCCTGAGCAGCACCTCACAACCGTCACAGCCGCCCTCAACCATGTATGGCTCATCTAGCACTCCGGGCAAGATGCCAAGAAGCGCACCCAAGAACAGCTGGGGCTCAGCTACACTTCCTGCTAATATGCACGGTCCAGGCAGCAAGCCTGCAAGGTAGTTGAGCTCTTGTCCATTCACTCATAGCCACATGTACTGGCACAACTGTACACTCATGTTTCCTCATGTTTGTAAGGTGGTCATGCCTGTGGTTCATCCAACAGGCGGCAGGTGATCATTGAGATATTGTCTTCAACTCTGGAGAGCTACCATCGGTCTTGTGTTTTGCGTTCGACAGTCGCAAGAACATGGATGAGGTCACATACGTAACTTTCCGACTACAGCACACGATGCATGATGCGTAAATTATACTTTATTGTGATAGCCAGTGTGAAATACGAAAGTTCTAATTCAGATTATCCTCCTGCTGTTGCTGCTGTTTTTTTCTATTTTCCAGGTTTACTGGATCTTTACCAAGGCCAAGGTCACCGAGTGCTGCTAGTGATAATAAAAAGAGACCTATGCCATATGAAAACAGGACACTGCCACGGTCCCTAGCGTCTGGGCCCAACCAGGAATCAACACGCCCCATGCCCAGTCCCCGTCCTTCTGTAGAGGACGAGGTGAGACAGCAGCAAGAGAAGGATGCGGAAGACCACTACATAGAGTTCACAGGTGAAGGCAAGGCCAGGGAGCCTGACGGCTACGATGACGACAGCAAGATCTACGAGGATGTCAGCGACGAGGAGGGCGTCATGAATAAAGACGTGGAGGCGGAGACCGAGGATGGAAACTGTGTTTACATTGTGCCCAACAGTGCGAGGCGAGGGGAAGCTACGCGTTCAGGACATGACAGTGACATCTACGATGACTTAGATTTTGCCGAGGAGCAACTGGCCATCGATCCTTACAGTGAGTTCAGCAAAACACTTGCCGAGTGTGATGAAGAAGACGATGGCAGTGATCCGTATGCGCGCTGCAAGATCCGAGGACCGTCCCTCAGGAAGCAGACATTAAGTGCTGGTTACTCGACAGTAATTACACAGCCGGTGCCAAGCAGCCAATATGGAACTACGAACCGAAGCAATAGTGAAGCAGATGATGTCCATCATGACAGTGACGAGTTTGAAGGTGACTATAGCGTTCCTGGGGAGCTTTCGTCGCCGTACGACACACCACTCCCGTTCGATCAAACTGAAAGTCAGTATGGGCAGCCTGTGCCAGGCTACAGCACAACTCGGCAAGACGGTGAAGTAGCTACGCTAGCCAGGCGCTTACCTCTGTCAAGCACAGGCTCAGCAGAGCGCAATTCTAGCGGATATGACAATCGGGAGCTGGTCTTGGCAGAGGCAAGAGCCAGACATCATGCTCTTGCCAGCGAACAACAGGCTGCCGCTGCTGGTGTTCTGCCAGTTAACTACTCAGCCGATCAGGCAGCTATCACCAACGTGGCTGAAGACGTAGGTGGAGAGGAGGAGGAAACTCCATACGATGACGTTGAATTTGATGCCGAGAGCCTGTACATGAATGTGACTGAATGGATCGAGTCCGGTGGTGGTGCACTGCATACCGAGAGGGGAAATCCCCCTGTCTTGCCCAATGCCGTCCCCAGGTATCCCAAACCTGCTCCGCGTGGTTCAACTATGCCCGGCAGGAAAACTACGTCTGGTGGTCTTAAGTCTCCACCGCCACTGCCTGGTGAGGGAGATGCCATGTCCCCCAGCACACAAAGTCCCCCGCTGCCGGGTGAGGGTAATGCCTCGATATCTATGTCACCACCAAACAGATCGGGTGAATATGGAGAAGAATGCCCGCCACCTCTGCCAGATAACACTGCTGCTGGTGTGCCTCCACCGCTGCCACCCGATGGCCAGCATGGTGAGGAGGAGAGTTGGCCTCGCACTCAGTCGCAACGAAGACCAAAGGGCCCGCCACCTCTGCCAGGAGACGAGAGGCTACCACACGAACGCGTGATGTCCTCACCGCCACCGTTGCCTGAACAAGATAGTGACGGAAGTAGCATGCCGCTGCCACCACCACCGCCACCACTGCTACCTGAACAAGAAGACTTTCCACCGCCTCCACCTCCACCGGATGATGGTGACACAGTGCACCAGCAGCAATGGCTCAGCAATGCAGCAGTACCCCCACCTCTGCCTTGTGACACCAATGCTCCACCTCCTCTACCAGATGACTGCAATGCTCCCCCTCTACTACCAGCTGCCTCCTCTGGTCCTCCACCTCTGCCCGGGGAGGACTATCACGGACCACCACCACTTCCTGGAGAAGACAACAAGGCTCCACTATTGCCTCCAGATCCTGACAACAATCAATCCACACTGCAAGTTAGTGCAAGTGACGGCTCCCAATCTAAAGCAAGACCGATCGCACCTAGTGCAAGGCTTCAACAGCCACTTCTTGCCACAGCTCCCAGACGAAGACCACGAGCAGCAACATCACCACCACCATTACCCCCCAGCGAAGATGGCCGACCCGCAACGGTCGCTGCTGCTGCTGCTGCTGCAGGGAGACGGACAGCCGGACCACCAGTGCGCCTCCGACACACAACACCAGAAATCAGCGCAGTTCCTCCGCCATTGCCCGGCGAGAATGGAACGGACAGAGTGCACCCAAGGAGCGCTTCGGTGAGTGAGGCTCCGCAATCCATGGGCCATTCTACATCTTCTCTGCCGGCCAGCAAAAGGCTTCCCATTCGCAGTACACCTCGGGGAGGAGGAAGTGCTGGTGGCCCACCACCACTACCTGGTGAAGAGCAGCCTCAAATACCGGCATTACCCAGGGGAAGGGATAGTCAGCCACCCAAAGCTAGACCGGGAACACTGCCTAGGTCTAGAGCGAGCTAACACGTTGATGAAACCAGTTGTAACGCCGACCGCATCCATCTACTTGTCAGTGGCATACAGTGACCTCATCCTCTGCTTGTCACTGCACATTTTGTAGGAGCGGAACTGGATATCAATGCACGCTCGTGTGATGATGCGGCGGCCATTCTTCGAGAAAGGGAGAGATTGGTCACGGCAACCATTCACCACTGACTGCAGTGCTTGTTTAATAACAGTTAATGCTTACCACGTGCAGTGCAGTAGCACTGCCACAGCTGGCCTTGTCTGCACCGTGTGCTTTGTGCTACGTGACTTTCATCAAATTGTCAACGAACCGTTTATGCCTGCCATTGTATCCATCAATGCAACAACTGTCTTCTGTTTATTTGGCATTTTCGTTTCTATGTTTTAAAGCACCACAATCATGAGTCACCCTTGACACATCAGAACTGATAGATTTACAGTGGCTTGATAAATTACACACCGTTCGCACTCGCTGTAACCATGAACTACTAATAAGATTGTCCTGCATTTGGACTGGCAAGTCAGCATTGCTCGTTTACCGTTTCGACGTGATAACTCACAGTGACAAACACGCACACACACACACACACACACGCACACGCACACACACAAACACACACGAACACACACGCACACACACACGCACACACACACACACGCACACACCAGCAATTCACTTGCTTAGTGTTAACTCGGGCCACAACCCTGGCCGACTGTACCTGTACGTCTATCACCACTTCTCTATGCCGGATATACTGCAAACTGCCAGATTATCTTTTATTTTACCTGGCAAGCTTCTGCCAACAAAACGCACTGTCAAATGTCAGACTGCACATTCAAATGTCAAAACGCAATAATGAGGTTCTGTTCTACGTGGAACGTAGAGAACATGTGTCTGAGTTTAATAGAGGCTACGGCTTCACATGTTTTGAGTCCAGATTTCTATGCGAAGATGAGGTTCTCTACGTTGTGGCCCATGGAAAAGATATGCACGCGCAGATCTGCTTCGTATCAGGCATGCAGTGGTGAAATAATGGTATTCTACTACTCCCTAGCCCTGCTTGGTACCATTCTATCTACCGGTACCGCGGTATAGAGTTGTCTCCCATATTTGTCATATGACCAAATTTGTGCTGAAAGTAATCATGTTATGTGGACAGCGGGACCAACATGACCGACCGGCATCATGTGACCTGAACATGCAGGTGTTGCCGTAGAAGTGGAAGCAACATGGCTGCCCTGCCAGGTCCTGTGGCAGGTGTGAAACCATTCTAGAGTTAGAAAATTGCCAAATTTGGAACTGCAAATTCTCAAAAAATATTCCACGCAATTTCTTTCCGCAAACGTAGAGCAGAACAGATTTCCTTTACGTTACGGGAACGCAAAGAGTGTTCCCAAGATTCTTTGCGTCACATTCCTGTGAGCAAGCTTTCAGCTCACTTCAACCCAACACAACCGCAAGGCTTGTTTAGGACTCACGGTTTCCCTCTCATGCCCGGTTCAGACAATATTGGCACAAGAACCACTGAGAACATTGCTACTTTCAAATGTTAGCCGGGTCTGATATCTGTTCTGTGACGAGAAGCACTCTTCCAAGTAGTAGTACATGTAGTACAGGATAATAGTTTGTTTTGTATGACTGTGTGGATAATGCACGACGTATAAATGGTGTAAATTGTGATCAGCAAATTAGTTCGACAAGACGGATTTAAAGTTGGGGTATAAACATTTTGCATTTTCAGAAGATGCTTCTAGCTGAGCAAGGCCATGTAGAATTCCTTCCATGCACTCCATGCATCCATGTGGAAGACTATGCGGCAAGGTAATAGAAATAATTATTCAAAATGGCAGCAGGAGAGATAGAATATAGGGCAGAGGCAGTATAGGTACACGACTGGGCAGTGAAGCTTTGAAGACAAAACAGGCAGCAACGCAACAATCGAGACGGAGAGGAAGCTATAGTACAGCAAACAGGTTATCACACAAATAGCCACATGCACACATGCACATGCACACATGCACACATGCACATGCACATGCACAATTCACCCAGATCCGGCTACAGCAGGCAGTAGGTGATAGAGATCATAAGACAATGCTGTACACATGTAGAGATGAGTAGAATGCAACTGATACAATACCCTTACTTACTTTTTTTCAACCGACCAGGACATCACTGTACATCTGTACACGTTTGTGAGAACATTTTACGGGACTTTTGCGGCTTAGCGGCACACTTCAAAGATGGACCGGGCCAGTGACTGACAGAGTAGGATGCCCGGTGTGGGTTGGCTATCTGAACACACACAACCAGCCGAGCCCACACTTGCAGCAGCTAGAGCACCGTCAAATATACTCTGTACCGTATTGGGCTAGGCTCAGCTGGAGGACATCCACACTCCGATACAGACAGCCCGGTCATGAGAAGAGGATAAAGTTCTACTACAATACTGCTCGTCTTCTAATCCACTCTGCCCACTATGTATGCAGCATCTTACTTGCCAATTACCTGCAGAGTGAGACAGAACAGGCACATGGAAACCTTGATCCGTGTTCAGGCGCGTAGTGCCCCCGTTGGAGGTGGTCCGGTTGGAGGGGGGGGGGGCGGGAAAATTGAAATTAGGGTGCAAAATCCTGCATTCTGGGCACTTCTGGGCGAAAAAGTGGTCCGGCCTAAGCCGGACCGGCTGGACTGGCTGCTACGCCCCTGGTGTTCCTGAAGTGATGCCGTCACACGTGCTCAACACTGCAGGACCAACAACAATCTGGTTGCAAAAGAACTAAGCGTCTTCTTTTTTTTCCAGAGCATCAGTCTTTTGATAGTTTGAGGTTTCTCATTGATACTGCAATTGCTTGTGGCCAGCCTGAGCTTTCCTACCTGACTGAGAGTGATGCAAGTTAGAAGCCAGCATGGCGGTTGTAGCTATACCAGTTTTGGGAATTTCCAAGGTGGAACAAAGCAGGCGCAATAAAATGGCACTCGTTTTACAACTCTGATGAGCGTCAATTTCCATCTCACTCGGTATCTTTATCCCGGACCAAACAGAGGAAAAATCAGATACCCAAACCAAAGTAACCATGGAGATCACAGCCTGTAGAAACACCACCATCATCATCATCAACAGGAAATATGACCTGCACAAGTAAATCGATCCTGGGGCAGGGAGCTAGGATTGTTTGCACCCAATTGCCTGGCAGGCCTGGATGACCTGACTTCTTAGCCCTATCTAGCTACGAGCACATCTGCATGACTAGATATACCTGGCAAGCTGCACACGATGCCCGCAAAGGCGAGGACTCAGTTCGCACGTGTGGTTTGCATGTGGCAAATAATGTAAACTGCCTAATATTCGCTGCGGATTAATGTTCGCTATATTTTTTGCGAGAAGAGCATAACGCGAATATTAATCAGCATGAAATCAAACTTCAACAGTGGGTGTATGTAAGTAGCCATAGTGCTTAGCGACCTTTTGCCCTCGCAAACTCGCCGGGTCCTAAGAAATCATGAAAATTTGGTGACGCGCACATTGGGCGGTTTACAGAACTACATTTAGGACTGTGGTGCCTTAAGACACGGCATGGTATACCAGTGTGGTAGTGGTACCTTAAGACACAGCATGGTATAGCAGTGTGCCAGTAATCCACTTACACAGTGATGCCGAGTGGTCTACACAAAGTACTGTTGTCATAGTCTTCCATTTGAGAGTATGGAGGGGTCCGAGATACTGGCCTTGGAAGTGGCTCTGCGACCATTTTCATGGCAGACTTCAGCATAGGATTGCTGTGAGAACAAGGACACAAGCAACGCCAACAGTAGTATGGGGTCCTTGAGACAATGCCATGATTGTGATCATGTGATTCTTGAAGCGATGTAAAAGACGTTATGTTAGTAGTGCCTGGCGCTAGCCAGGGTCCACAGCTCTTATATGTGTGTGTGTGTGTGTGTGTGTGTGTGTGTGTGTGTGTGTGGTGTGTGTGTGTGTGTGTGTGTGTGTGTGTGTGTGTAACTGTGCTTGAAGGGGACGGTTGCACTTTCTGTAGCTCCGTTTTATCTGAGTTTTCAGTCGTTCCTCTTACTAGTCTTGGGCCACGGGGTGGCTCTGGGTCCACCAGAGTCGCCCCTGGCGTGTTTCTGACTTTTCATTCGCGGTGGTGTAGCTGACCCCCGAATGGTTTCAAACTGCGAAGCTCGGAGTACAGTGGTGGCAGAGACATGAGCTGCGAGTGGAGACGGTTGCTGGATATGGATGGTGATGCAGGGAGAAGAGTTATGCTGCCTGACGACGCGTGGGAAATTGTTTGATCCTGCAATTTCAGTTCGAGCGCGGTGGACTTCTAGACTTCATGGCTGTTTTTCAACGCTTGGCCTACCGCTGATATCCCTGCATGGAATATTCTTCCAGTGGAGTCCAGGTGGGACTTCGGGTGCCCACACTCCATCACCTGGTTGATTGTTTCGGAACTGCAATAATACAGGTTCAAACAATTATTGTTTCCTTTTTGTGCATATCTCTTGTCATCTCTCTTTTCTTTTTGATACGTCGCACACCAGATGTACTACTATCGCTGTCTTTCTCCTGCTATCTCTCTCTGCTTGCAGTTTTTTTGCTTTTGTTGCCACTGCCCCTCATCATACCCATGCTTTGGTGGAGGGCGGCGTGACCCGTTAGGGTAGCTGTCAATACAGTACAGTACAGTACAGTGTGTGTGTGTGTGTGTGTGTGTGTGTGTGTGTGTGTGTGTGTGTGTGTGTGTGTGTGTGTGGGTGTGTGGAGGAGGGGGGGGGTCATCACGTGATGCGCCATGCCTGGCGCGCCCCGTATATCTCCCGTACCGTACAATCTGCTAGGCCACCAGCGTTCTTGCATTTTTTTACTAGCAAAATTGCAGACGTTTCTGTAAGTAATGACCTAGTTGAGAACAAAGCATAGCGAGGACCTCGAGCTTGGAAGCTCTCTCAGTATCCCTATGCTTATTATACTAAGCCAAGGATTCGCCTATCTAGGGGGTCAAGGATTCGCCTATCTAGGGGGTATCCAGGTATGACAATACGCCAGATACGTAAAGGGCACTGACATCCTTGATTGATTGATGCCTGAGAGAGAGAGATTGAGACAGTGAGAAATGCATGCATGTGACTACACAAACCACTGTACGTGAGAAGTGGCAAAACCAGAGACCACACATGCAGAGCTTATCAGTAACATTGGGACTGGGGCCCGTGTCACGGCCAGTGGCATTTGACTCATTGCAACATCTCAAGGCTACCGTACTCGACAGTGCAGCCAAACAGTGTTGTTTGGTTTTAAAAATGCAGTTCTTACTTCTGCTTTGCATTTCCAGTCCCCGGTGGCTTGTGCGCTGGGATGGCTACAAACACACAGGAACAGAAAGGCGAATACATTTCTCAATGAGTCCATATGAGACCGTTCTGTATCACTTGCACACTTCCTAGGACTGGCGGTAGTGACATTGACCTTATTCGAGCATCTGCTCTACGTCTGCGCTAAGAATCACGTAGTCCAGTATTATATGCGCATACAAGAACACAGTCGTAGAACTAAAATATTCTGGTGTTGGCCCTTTGTTTATTTTATCACAATCATTAACTCACGTACTTTGCCGAAAAATGCCAGTCAGTTCACCATAGGGACCATAAGGATTTGAGATTTCCGAGCCTTTGCCGAAAAAGGCCAGTTTACCAAAGAGAGCTTGTCAGTGCAGCACATTGCTACTACCAGCGTTCTTCTGCATGATTGTGTTAATTAACTGGTTTGGGGATTGGTACAGAAGCCATGGCTTGATGGCAATGATATTGTAGAACTCACATACAAAGGGAGTGAGCAAGAATTACCTGCTCCATGCACTACAGGCTGCACACACCTTGACCTCGAACCCGGTCATGGTGGTGTTGTGAGTTCATAGCATATGCCATTAGAATTGGAGGTGGTTGTATAATCGAGAACAGGAAGATGGGTTGTATGCATGAGGTTACAGCGTTAGTCTTAATGCCTACAAAAACGGGAATTGGACTAAGAAGAGCTAACTAACAAAATCAGGAACTCTTGGGACTTCTCCGAGTCTCTGTAAAATTGAGATATTCAATATTATGCGGCTACATACTATGAGATGATACCTTCTAAAACCACTACAGTCAGACCTCGCTTAAAGGGGAAGTATACCCTAAAATCAAATTTTCACCAGTTGTAGTCTTCGGGGTGCTGAGTCGAATGGTCTTGGTCCGAGGAAGCTGAGACGAATGGTCTTGGTCCGAGGAAGCTGAGACGCTCCCTTCCTACTTGAATCCCAATCAAACTCGCGCACTTCCACCGAAACTGGGTGACTGCGCCCTACTAGATGGGGATTTGTATGCAAAATGTCACTAAAAGCGCCATTTCGTTCTTATAAAAGCACGGATGACCGCGATTGGCCCATATGTTGTAGTCTTTTTGACGCTGAGTCGACTGGTTTTGGTCCGAAAAGGCTGCGATGCAGCGTTCCTCCTTTATTCCCAATCGAACATGGTTGAACAAGCGGTCACGTGCTCCTGCGTACACCAGTCACCTGGTCACCGTGCCTGCAGGGTACAACTTACTAGCCTGTTTGACCTTTTTTGGGTGCAGTCCTGTCACTCGAGTTGAACTCGAGTTGAACCTTGGTGTGAAAGTTGTCGCCTGCTGGCGCGGTGACCAGGTGATTTGGGCACCCAGGAGCACGTGACCGCTTGTTCAACCATGTTCGATTGGGAATAAAGGAGGAACGCTGCATCGCAGCCTTTTCGGACCAAAACCAGTCGACTCAGCATCCAAACGACTACAATATATGGGCCAATCGCGGTCATCCTTGCTTTTATAAGAACGAAATGGCGCTTTTAGTGACATTTTGCATACAAATCCCCATCTAGTAGGGCGCAGTCACCCAGTTTCGGTGGAAGTGCGCGAGTTCGATTGGGATTCAAGTAGGAAGGGAGCGTCGCAGCTTCCTCGGACCAAGACCATTCGACTCAGCACCCAGAAGACTACAACTGGTGAAAATTTGATTTTAGGGTATACTTCCCCTTTAACCGCACACATCCGTTTCCACAAAAATATCCGGATAGGCGAGGGAACCGGATAACCGAACACCGGTTATGTTGGATGCACTATGCGTACTGTAAATCTGTAAGCAGCTATGTTCTTCCGGATGGCGAGGGATCCGGATAAAAGAGGACCGGATAAGCGAGGTCTGACGGTACAATTGGTCGTCACTTATTGCTTGCCTAGCGCATCCATGTTGTATCGTTTAGGGTAAAGAACAGACCAACTTTCGGACAAATTACTTGTTCTTGGGCTACTTTACTAATGCCATACCTTGCAATTTATACCGCTTTCGGTGGCACGGCATCCGGTGACGCATCCTCCACAGGATCGCCGTGCCAACAATGAGCACAAGCGCCAGGATGCACAGCGGGATGATCAGTGCAAGGTTAGTGGAAGACTTGCCCTTGCGTACGTTGCTGACGATGGCTGCAAGCCGGGGTTGAAGAAAACAAATGAATGGAAGCACCAATGCATTGCAATGATATCTATGCATTAAACATAGCCGCATGTTTTTAGTGGAAAGTGCTCTCATCCCTACCATTACATTTTGTTATTGCAGGGCCCTCATCCATATCTGAATATAGCATGCATTGCCTCTTGTAGCGCATGAGCATCCCATGCGTATGATCTCGCATATTCTGTGGACCTTGCTGCCACAGTCTAGTTATGTCGGCGACGGTGTGTGGAATAGCAAAGCTCCACCTCCAGCAAACCCTCATCCAGGAATAGACCTATTATCCTTCATACACTATACAGGTACGTCACAGTTCAGTATGTGAAGTATTCCAGGAGAATCGTATGTGCATCAGGAATTTGATTCAGAGCAGACCTAGCAATCATCCAATCATGCAGTCAATTGTTTAACTTTGCAGATCTGCGTATGCTTGTTGCGATCCCAATAGGGATTTGTCATGGTTACTAAACATACTCTCTCACCGTTGCTGTAATCTTCTTCAAATCCGTGCATAAACTCTCAGTGCTCACAATGCGCTCCGATCGGGGAGTCGTATCACTGATGGTAGGTCCGGGTGCAAATTCATGTAGGTCTCGTTTGTTGGCTGCTCGGTACAGTTGCCCCAAGGCCAGGGCCAGATTGCATGTACGCCCAGCCCAGTCATCTGCTAGTATGCTCAGATGGTTATGATTTTGACCGTGGTGATGGTGAAGTGATTTTTCAGGGACCCAGAGGATCTCGTGGAAATGGAAATTCGTACAATTGAAACAGACCACCGGTTGAGATACACACATTATTCTCCAAGCCCCTGGATGAGATCACCACCAATGTACACAAACACATGTACAGTAAAGCCTGTGACTAACGACCACCCCTTGGGGCCTGAGAAAGCGGTCTTTAGTGGCAGGTGGTCCTTAGTTAGAGGTTTGCACCGCACAACCATATTACGTGAATGTGAGACCGTCCATGCGTGGCGAAGTGGCCTGTAGTACCAGGCTGGTCACTAGTCATGGTGGTCTTTAGTTACAGGTCTTACTGTGCATGTATGAACGTATGCAAAACGTTTACGATGTTTGACAGTAGCACAGAGAAGTCCGTACCATTGCTGTTCGTGGTACCCAGTACCGATGCCGGCCGCCCATAACCTGCAGCATTGATAGCTTGCACTAGAAGCGTGTAGGTTGTATCAGCCTTAAGATCCATTATAACACCTCTCATTTGTGTCGAGCCTATGGCATGGAAATTGAAATTGAAATTGAACAGCACATACCCAATTGATTAAAGTAGTTGATGAGAAGACCCTACCTGGACGGTATACCAGTGGAACATTATAAATTCAAAGTACAAGGGACTTTTCACACTTTCTTATGTGCAAGAGATAAGCACAGGTTGTATAATATGCTCATTCGTAATCAGATTCTGACCTTTAGCTTATCTGTAAGAGCTCTGTTGAAAGCCTATCCTATACAATCGGATGGTTCTTCACTCAAAGCCTATCCTATACAATCGGATGGTTCTTCACTCAAAGCCTATCTTATACAATCGGATGGCTCTTCACCCGTTTGCTGCTCAGAGTTGGATTCATCTCGTACTCGTTTTGTCTCCACAGTTGGGGAACTGCTCGCAATGCACTGCAGAGAATTACTGTCTGTTCATCATTAGGTATGCTAGGCAATGTAGTAGCAGACTGTCCTTATTCTGTAGCTTTCTTAGGCATGTCGTGTGCAATCCGGTGGCAATTTTGACTATTGACTTGACTAGTATGTGCAGCAGACCTTCAATCTTGTTACTGAGTCTTGCTACTGAGTCTTGTTACTGAGTCTTGCTGCTGTGGATTCCGCTTAAATCGTTTCCCTGGGTCAAATCCGGTTAGAGGGCCTTTTACGAATGTCCGCACTACACAGGAAGATTCAAATGATGAATAGAAAACATCAAGAACCTGGTGTTTAGAGGCAGCAGCAGACATACCGGTATTCGTGATAGTTTGGTTTCCCAGGTAATTCTTCGGCAGGCATGGACAGTCAGCTGTGTTGTTGCAGCCGGCTGACTCACAGTAGTACACTCGGTAGCCACTGATCACTCCAAACGAGGAATTCTCTGCTGGTGCCTGCAGCGCAAAGGCAAGAAAAGAATAAGAATAAGACAATACATTGTTTGTGCAGTTGCAGCAATCCGTTAACGATGTATACGACATTACGACATCATCTTTGTTCGTTTTATACGAGTATATCGTATTCAGTAGACTTGGGATAGAAGTACAATATACAAAATTAATAGTCTGTCCTATAGTTGAAGGGAGCTGATAATTATACCCGGGACGGTGGACACAATTTGTTCCGTCGCATTTCATATATTGCTAGACTATCTGGTTTCTGTGTGTGAGCCGACAATAGGCGGTTGTGCGATGACAGTCTGGTTCTTTTCATTACCTTCGTAATCTGTGTCACGCTCACTTGGTTGCGGTTTCATTCATGTCTGTCATGCTAGTGTTAGTAGCCGCTGAACTAGTATCGTACGCTGCACATATCTAGAGTGCAAGAGTTCATAGTGCGTACGGGATCTTTCCATGCCTGCTGCTTTGGCTTCCTTTGTTTCGCTGCTTTTCAGGATATGTTCTGTGCATAAATTAGCTGGTTTTAGTTGATAGTACTTTAGTGTGTGTGTAAGGATTTGTAGAGAACAGGAGCTGTTATTGTATCGTCTTGCAAGAACGTTGTAAGACAGATCAAGCCCCACAGTTTGTGTGATGATTCGAGTGTATGAGCACTCGAGTGCATGAATATACAGTCTTCGAAGGGTTCGTGTGCGTGTGAGTAGAAAATACGAACACAATTGATTGACTGCCTTGCCTAAGACATACACAGCACTTTCTGTAACTTGTCAGGCCTTGACCAAGCAACTGAATTGTGAGATACATGAAGTTGCTCTATCGGTTACCTGGAACTGGAAGTCAATAGTCAAAGGCGACACGGATGCAATTTCGAGTGACGTCGGTGGATCAGAAACTGAAGGAACAGAAACAAAGTACAAAACCAGGATTGAGTTCCGGCCGCTATCTCATTCCACTGCAGTGATACGTGTTATTGTGATAAAGATACTGCCCACTAAAAATCTACTGGTGAAAAAATCATACTGGGAGACGAAATTCGTCTGGATTTTCTGCATCCATCGGAACACCACTCTCAAGCCTTCGGATCAAGGCGGAGATGCAGCCCCTAAGGTGGCACGGTGGGAAGTGAGTAGATCAGACCCACCACCAAAGTGGTCAAAGGCCGAAAATTCTATCCAGTGCATCCATTTTCCCTCGTGCCAGGCCTCGGGTTCCCAATTAACTGTGCGTCGCGGCACGGCTGGAAAACTCCTTCAGCTTCCAAGAGGACTTGAACCTGGTACTCTCAGTTTCTCAATCATGATCTCAGACCATCCCAATATGCCGGTCTGCACACAGGTGTTACATTAGCTGTTGATAGGAAGTTCAGCTTGTTGTTCCCTCATCTGGAACTAAACTATCAGACAGCTGTATCCTCAGCCACATGGCAACATTGAAGGGACTTGATAACCTCAAATTGTTATCTTCAAGAGTTTGTAAAACGTTTCACACTTCCGAAATGCAATTGACTTTCAGCAAGTACATGCAGTGGAATTATAGTAGTTGTACAGAACAGCATCTGCACAAAGCAGTCTACTAGCAGGGATCAACTTACTGCTTTCGGCTGTACATATTCTCAGGGGTGAGCTCAGCCTGCTGTGACCAACTGCGTTGAGGACTCTGTATGCGCACATATACTCCACGCCGGGATGCAGACCACTCACTGTGACTGTCTGCGAGGTTGCCACCGCGGTGCGTGCTTTGGCGTACGCATACATAGAGGTGGGAGTGCAGGTGATGCTGTAGTGGATCACGGTGGCATTGCCGTTCGATGCAACGTCCGGCAGGCTGAAGTTAGCACTGGTCGATGTGAGAGCGCTGCTGATCAACGCTGGAGTGGATCCAGCTCGAAGCACTGGAACCTCTGCACAAGAGTAGAAGAATGTTTGCAGGAAACATGCACTGTTGTGAATATGATTACGTTCAACATGCCGAACAGCAAGAGTAGATAAACAAGAGTGTGCAACTCCGGATCTCTCCTGCACAATCTGCAGATATCCCGCCCACGGCGGAATTTTTTGTTGACGTCACCTTTTTTCAGAAAAATGCACATCTTGCCGCTGAACAGCGTGAGAGCACGTGCTGGGCACTGACCTTGTAATGTAAAGCCAGACCAAGTGCATGAGGCAAAACTTTCCAAAAGACTCGCAGCGCGTGGGTCGTAGAAAAGATTATGTCAACAAAATTTCCACCGTGGGCCAGCCGATCCGGGAGTTGCACACTCTTGTTTATCTACTCTTGCTAACAGTTATCAACCTACGCCTGGCTGTTGATCAGCACAATAATCCTGCCACTACCAGCTCCACCCTCTTGCCCTACAAAAACATGTCAGTCTTGATCATGGTTCGGAAAACTGTGGAGAGACTTGCACCACAGAGCATGGCATACTCATAAGAACTTAGACGCAGCTTTATTACTTCAAAGTGCTTTAGAGAAGCTTAGCATCACGATTGCCAGGACAATTTCATCATCATTGGACACACAACCCAGTAATAGCTTGATGAAAAGATACTGCTGGCCAAATAACCAGGCCAATGTGCACAAGTGATACTAAGTAAGCGTTTGGTAATCCTCTGCATGTGGGTGCTTATTACGTGAATACAGCTTGCGTGATCAGCCATTGAGGGCGAGCCGCTGAATCAGTCCAATTGGGGACACTGCGCTAGGCATGCAGTAGATAGAATGTTCAGTGTTGCTAAGCAACATCACTGACATAGTGCACAGCCAGTATACTGTAGTAGCTGGTATGTGGTGCGATTGTCATTAGGCCATTTGCCTGTAGTCTGGTTGCCATTCTAAACTATCACTATCATCATATTTTCAACTGACGTTACCTCATAGCCTCATATAATCACCATTATTAATTGCATCTCTCTTATTGGCCAACGGCCACCGTGAGAAATAATAATAATAAGAAATAAATATGACCGTGATTGGTCCCCTGGGGGAGGGAAAAAGACCCAAGTGCCATCAGTATGTGTGGCACGTGTTGTGAGCTGCCTTTGGAGTGAAAAACTTGTCAGCGCCTTCTAGATTCAGCCTGGTCCCATAGCTCAGTGGTTAGAGCATTGCTCATGACAAACAAGGTCCCGGGGTCGAGTCCTGGTGGGTCTGGCGTTTTTTTCTCTTTTCAGGCAGTTCACTTCCCAGACTGATCCTTTGAATAAATAAATACAAAATACAATATACATGTACACAGCACACAGGCACTGCCATCTCACCTTGAACAAAGATCACCAGGTCACGTGACTCGTTGCCATAGAGATTGGAAGCAACGCAGCGGTACGTGCCGCGGTGCTGCGCGCTCACGTTGTCCAGCACCAGCTGAAGAGAATGGGAAGTGGCCGACATGATCTCCGCTCCGTCCCTATACCAGGACATGTGCACGGGTGATTCGCCTTCCGCCGTGCAGAGCAGAGTTGCACTGCTACCAGCCAAGAGGGCCGTGCTGGAGTTCACAAACAGTATCCTGGCGGGGACTGGAGTTCAATGGGTTGGAGAAACAGAACACGACCCGCATACTGTATGATGCAGGATACAAGCCATGCATTGAGATACCATTCAATTCACCCAGGCGTCCGACTCAAAGCAATTACAATTACACCTTTTCACCATAATTTATTTGGCTCACCATCCGAGTTCAAGTATGGATTACATTTGAGCATGTCAAAACAATATGCGTGTCATTCGTTAGTGGATATCCTTTGTTCCATCAGCGGGCATGTTGCCACAACTGTGAAGTTTTGTGTTGATCATTTATTTCGGAGCAAAGGCACAAAGCTCAGTTCAATACAATCCTTTAGCACCGTGATATAGTCACCGCTCAATGGTCAGGGTTGTTGCCAGCAGAAAGCAGAAGAAGCTAGGGAACGTGTACTTGCGCATGGGTGTACTTCAAAGTACACATGTCTGCACCCTTCCCCACACGGAGTACACCAAGACAATGTGGGTTAGTTGCCATGTATTACTCGACCACTTCCCTGGAACATCACCACGCTATGCCAGTATAGCAACAACCAAGATGGTGGTGCTACTAGGACTGGAGCAGCCGATTATCCACATGAACGAGTCAGAGAGACTGTAAAACATGTATTCACTTCACAGAACCGTCCGCTAATGCATATTTCAATAAGACAAAAGTATAAGAAACTCACCGACCACATTCAGGAAGAACGACTCTGATTCATTGCAAACGCGGCATGAATAGACGCCTTGCTGAGACTCGGTGATGGTGTCTGGCCAGGTTATTGCCGTGGATGCAAACAGCCGCTGGACACCGTCAACTGTGTCCTGATACAAGCTGGCCGTGATGGAATAGTGAGCCCTGAGCGATTCAATGGGCACACCATTGAACAGCCACCAGGTGAACAGCTCGCTGATGGTGACATGTGTGGCGACTTGAACAAGGCAGCGCGGGGTGCTGATACTTGCCGCTGAAGAGGAATTGTTGATCACGGTGATATTCTTGTCAGCTTGAATACCTGCAGGCTGAGACCCTGGACCTGTAGCTGTGCTACCCAGTGATCGCAGCATTGGAACGCCCATCGACGAGCAAGAAGCGGCATCTGCAACAGTACAGGAATAACGCACGTTATGCATCTACTTTTAACTGCTTTTTAAAAGTCTTTAAATGGATACGTTCACACTGATCAGCCCCTCCCTAGCCATCCTCTTCTCTCGTCCATTGAACAGACAGCAGGACACGTAGTCGGCAAACCGGAGGGCTTCTCAGGCAGCAAAGCCTCACTCGCGCCAGTACATCCCGGCCCAAGGTGGCAAGTGCTGTTCTGTGGAACCATTCTGCTGGACATCGCAGGGACCATCTCTTGGCTCGCTACAGTCCATTCAGAAAACGATACTTCTAGCTTTTGGCCATAAGTGGGTCAAACGTTGAGTTTTTTAGAATTTTTTCTGCAATCCCCTATGGAATCCTCTTCCAATTATATTTCTGAAGTCTATTTGTCCAAAAAGCAAGCCGTTGCAAGAGTAGGATTTCGGCCAGGTTTTGCCCCAAGAGTACTGAATTGGGAAAAAACATCAAAATCCAGCCGGTTTGACCCTGCGGTTCGAACCCCAGTTCAGGTACCCTTTTTGGCCCCTTTTTCAAATTTCGCAGCACTGCACTGTGTACGATAAAATCTCGAAAAATCGCCAAATACGGGAGCTCGCCAAAGCCAGGGCCCATCTTTTTGTGAATGGACTGTAGGCTAAAACTAATTTGCCTGCCATATTGTTGCAATGTATGACTATACTGCATTCCTGAATAATGTCTGGTCGACTCTTCTGTGATACTACTACTAGGGCTTGAAAGTGATGACGTCAAAAACGGCCAGGGAGTACTGAAGTAGTAAGTTCACATCAGATTTCTATTTAGGATCCACTAAGGTGACTTTGCTATTGCCTCAGTGTGTGGGTACATATCAACCCGCTCATGTTGTATGCAGGTGTGACTTTTACTTCGCCACCAGTTGTCATCCCACCCCCATTAGCCAAATCAGTCAATTTCATCGGCTATATCACCGTGCTGTGAGTAAGACCGCTTGAAATGTGCTTGGATCCATACAAAAACTGGATCCAAGTGATTCCAGTTTTTGAATTTTTTGAAATTGTTGCCGCTATGCTGTGACGTAGTACTTTCAAGCCCTCTTACCATCACTACCCAGTCAGAGTGCATACAGACACAACAGTGATACACCTTGCCTACTTTTTTGTTTTGTTTAGTCTTCTGCCCATGCCTCTGCTCTTTTATCCCTCCTTACTGATACATCAGTCTATCACGACACACATACAATGTTGTGTGTGTGTGTGTGTGTGTGTGTGTGTGTGTGTGTGTGTGTGCGCGTACGGTGCGGTCTCCCTCCGTGCATGTGTAATGGTGTGTCGTACAACTGTGTGTGTGTGTGTGTGTGTGTGTGTGTGTGTGTGTGTGCGCGCGTGTGTGCGTGCGTGCATGTGTGCATCATGTGTGTGTGTGTACAAGTGTGAATGTGGAGCACTACTTCAGCACCAGTGCCTGCCTGTTTGCAATGTACAGGAAATGTATAAACTATAAACATCTTCGGAAGGTCAGACCATGAACAAGAAAATGCACATCAGAAACCGTATACACATAATACTCTGGGTACTTCAATCCCAGATTTCCCTCACGCAATGTACAAGTGATGCCGCAAAGGCACTGAAAAGTGGGTAATTGAGGAAGGGACGCGTTTCGTGACCAACTCGAGTCATATCGCCTGCTACTCTCAGCGAAGCACACCCGAGCACCTCGTTCACGTAGCCAGCCTCTTCTAAGTTAGTCCGGTAGCAGTGGGTTGTCTGGCCTTCGGCGAACACGTTACAAAACTCACGATATCATCTAGGCATATGCGGATAATGCCGGCAGAAAAATTGGCAGAATTCGGTACTTTTTCTGGTAAGTTTCATGCATGTTTGGTATGTGGATAAAGAAATGGAGCAGAATTCGAGGAATTGCCCGCCATAAGGTTTGTATGGTTCTGCCAATTTCACTGCTTTTCGAGCAGAATCTGCTGCACCTTTTCGAGCATTATCCGCACACCCCTAATATCATCACACTGCAGTATGATCGGGTAACTGTCCGTATGTCGTCTCAGTGAGTGACTCCGATGTGAGTAGAGGTGAACTATCATAGAGCCATGGTCCCAAGCAACAATCCAGGTCACACGTTACAAGGCCACTCACCTACAACACTGCCCAGCAGTGGAAGCATCAGCAACGTCGCTAAGAGCAGCGAGTACTTCCGTGCGGCCAGGCCCATGTTCCCCGCACGCCGGCTGTGAACCTGCAAATCACGCACATGATAATGATTGACGCGTGAAGACTCCGCTCAGTCTCAACAACAAAAATAATTTGATGAAACGAAGACTCAGATATTCTCCACAGCCTTTTAATTCCTTCGCACATAACATGAGATACAAGGCAGCGACAATATTATTACTAGTACATCGAGATAGGGGAAATACTGTGAACACAGCATAGGCATATTGCCAATATTGGGAGGAAAGGAGGTTACGGAGTAAAGTCAAAGACCCTTGCACTGCACAGGGTCTGTCACAGTGTCAGCATGGTCACGCAAAGCGCAAGCCCGGAAACAGGTTGCGGTGACAAGCTGCATGCTATGCAAGTGCTCGGTAGCCGGTGGCCAGAGGCACTGTGACTTCCGAACCCTGACTGGGACTAGACTGTCGGATATTCTCACCTTCATCTTGCTCAGCTTTCAAGTAAGTAAGTAAGTTTCAGCTTCCAGACAGCACCGGCACATGCACCATCGATGTACAGAGAGTGCGAGGTAGAGAACTCAGATCGCTCCAACCAACAGCAGACGTGCGAACCGACCACTAACGACGGAGCAGACAAGAAACCCACGCACTTCACAGATATCTGCGCGATGAGGTTCGGAAAACTGCAGCGGGGCCAGCGGTGGGCTGTGATCGCAAGTCAGCAGCTGCAGTGGAAATGCGAACAGAGAGGCAACCTGCAACTGCACCAACAGGTTATGACAGATGACAGCACCAAGTATTATAGTTATTGCGGAGGTCGTTGATGAGCTCGACTTCCAAGACCCGGAAGAATACACTTGAAATAATAGGTTACTGCACTTCTCCACGTACCTGCTGCAGAACCTGCTAGTCCCTCGCGAACAGAGTCGAATTGCCGCCAAACTCAACCTAGCCTCGGCAAAAGAAGGCTGGACGAAAGATCCACGGTCGATTCCTTCCTTCACAATCTTAGCTCAGGCTCCTCGAGTTTGCAGTCGCGTGCAAGACAGATTCACACGACGACTGCGTTCAACTTGAACCCAGCTACCACTAGTACCAGTGGCAGTAACAACAGTCAAAACGCTTGAGAATTGAACCACGGAACAGAGGTACATTCGAGTACGACACAACACAAACGGGGAAAATCGAGGACAAGAGAATGCGATTACATTTCAAGAAGGTCAGCGGTCGGAATGGGAACCGAAGGCCAGTCGGAAAGCGACTACAGGGATTTATTCTTCCGTCAAGTGCCAGAAGAGAAGTGCTAGATCGGGCTATCTTTGCGCTCAAAGTCGGTCATCACCGTCATTCAAAAGTCAACACTCAGAGTCACACTAGCACTACCTACTGCCCTAGAATCCACACGTGCGCACGTGCCTCACAGGCACGATAACTACACTGTTTAAACCAGTCTGCAGATCTGGGACAGTGACGCCTCATAAACAAGTGCAAAGGCGAGTGTAGCTGGCGAGCCGTCCCGTGCCACCTTTATCACTAATCATGGGCGTAATCACTTCACAATTGGTCGACCTACACTGGCACGGTCCCGCGTGCCGGCTTCTCCTTCTTGTACTCGAGAAATCTATGGACCTGGTCACGCCGAAACTCGATCATATTATCGTGCACCTACAACACAACACAACTATAGACCCAAAATGTGAAGATATGATGTGGGTATGTATGGTTGTGACTTTTGAAACTTTCAAGTGACAAGCGCACCTTGCCCGCTACTATAAATAGTGATAGTCTACCTGAGCGTGGCCGGGAGCTTATGCACTGTAGACAAAGACAATTGCCTGGTAAAAGTCATACAGAACTCATAACTCATAAGGCAGCAGCACAGTTGTGTTGGCTTTCTCTACCCTGCGCTAAAGCCTAGTATTTTAAAAAGACTAAAGGGCTGTTGATCACATCCTATGCCGGGGAATGACGTCCCTTCTGGGTACATGCGGACACACGCAGCGTGCATAAAGCCTACATTGTAGCTCGTTGACCTACTGACGAGTACTCTGTGCTGGCCTGGGATCCCGATCTTACAGGTTGTTATCATACTGTGGTCGACGCTGCCGAGTGCCGAGTCTGCCGACCGGCTTGCATTGCCAGTGTTGGACAATGTCATGTATGTTGTACACAATCATTGCACATTGTGTGTCCAGAAGTTCAGAACTGAGACGTTACCGTACAGATTTTCTCATGCCCCCCCCCCCCCCCCCATGCCTCCAACCACATAATACATTGTACATTAGTTGTGGGTATATCTAGACTGACTAGAGATACGTAATCATTACTCTCTTGTGTGTGTGTGTGTGTGTGTGTGTGTGTGTGTGTGTGTGTGTGTGTGTGTGTGTGTGTGTTTGTGAGCGTGCATGTGCATGTGCATGTGGAAGTCCCAATGCGAGCTTTCTTTGGCCACACTGTGGTTTGCATGCAGCATGAATATTACTCTTGACAGTTGGTGTATCTTGGAGCCTACAGCCTACAGCCTACACTACAGGACTAGACTGGTGTTCATACATGCTGTATGATCGAACGGCGCTGGCCGGGGGACAACGCTTCGTGTAGGTCACTTGTATGGTTTGAGTAGCGATCAGCACCATATTATCCACGCAGCTTTTGTTAAAAACACCAAAGAGCGCCATCGCTGATACTGTGATAGTGACTATCACTAGAATTATTGAAATATTGAGCTCTGGTAATAAACGTGATAATTATAAATAACTTTTAGTCTAGTTACGGCTGTGCACCGTAGGCGTAGCTCTACAGTGTACCAGTGCTGTAGATACGGTTTGGCACTGACACAACTACGACCCAAGCACAATCCTGACATTCATACACAACTGGAAAGAAAGATCTGTATCCATAATGTCAACAAAGACTATTCTAGTATAACATCCATTCTTTATCTTGACAGCTCGACAAGACGTACATGTACGTCGTTGCCTTCCGCATGTCACAGTCTAGCGCCACAGAGCATGAAATGTCTGCGCCGGGCGAGCAGATTGTACCAGATTGCCTCTGCCTGTCACCAGACACCAGGTGCAGGTCACAAATCGGATGCAAATCGGAAGGGGTCGATCATGTTGAGAGTAGCGCGCAGAGGTCATTCTGGAAGATCAACATGCAACTGGAGTGATGTTTTAGCGACATCAATGCTGCTGGCTTATCACTGGCCTACGTAGACCACTCTGTTCGCAGGGATCGGAGTCGTGAAGGGAGTCGTTTTCATGACTCTTATCTCAGGTTCGGACTTTGAAGCACCATAATACGTTTTAGCACCACCTGCTGCAACGTCGGTAGACAGTTTCACACCTCTGTTTTTGCTGGAAATCACGCAATGTTCACACTTGCATGTCTACAAGTAAATACATGCAAGACCTCGACAGAACGAAAAGCGCATCAAACTCCAAGTCGCTCATTTGCCTCACCCACACCAGTCCGTCGTGCGTCAGTGTGGAGGAGGATTACTCCGATAAGAAGAGCTGCCGATGATGTACAGCCAGGAGGGGCTGAACTACTTAGCAGTCTTTGGAGGCCAATCCGGCAAGAAATGGGAGTTCTTGTTTGCCTTGTAACGGATAGCTTATCTGCGCCTTGGCACTTCAACGGAAAAGCCAAAATTAATAATTAGTCAGTAAGCGAATACTCTTCCGTGGCGTTGGGAGCTCCCGGGCATAACAGTAGCACTAGTAGTAGGGAAAATCCTATCTTAGAAGTCTGCGAGTGAGTATATTCGCGTTCAACGATACCGAGTCTCGGCTACAACGCACCAGTAGTATAGTAGGGCACGAAGCTGGAATTGGTCGAACATGTTGTCGGCCGAGTTTCTGTGTCGTCTATGAGCGCAACGTCTACATGACTTTGTACTGTTTATCGTTGCTTGCTCCTGAACCGCATTACGGCAGCTTTTGTTACTTACACAACGGTAGCGGACGGGGCACGCTTTCCGAAAATGTCTCGTCAATGAGTGAAGGAAAGGGATGCCAGCGCTTTGGCTTCGTAACATTACTGCCACCCAGAACGTATGTGGACAGGTCTGAGGTAAGTGACACAGGACAGGTGGCTGTCCGCCGAGAAGTGCCAGAGCAAGGCCAAGAGTGCCAGTAGTGGCGCACTTGCCTTGCCTTGGTATGCTGGAACTTGTGGAAGTTGGGCCGGAGGAGGACGTTTGGTATCACCTGTCCTGGTTGCCTGAGGCGGGGCGTTGTGAAGACCTGCCATATCCATGAGATGCTCATGATAATTGATAGAGGATGTCTTGTGACGGCCACTGCACTGCTACAAATGCCTGGCAAATGCTGTGTAGCCACTGCACTGTAGGGCACTCCCTAAGAGGCTATCACCTCGGATATGCCCACTGTATGATACCATTGTTGTAAGGAGACTAGCAAAACAACGTTCCATGAATGAATTGTGGGTGATTAGTTAATAATTATCCAACACCTCGCTTCTGTTGCCTTTGCCTTCATTGTTGGAGAATGTAATAACAGATGCTTATTCACACCCCCTTTTTCACCTGTTGTTGAATGCTCCTGTGCAGTCAGGCGAGACCACAGCACTATCTTACGTCAACGCCAGCAACACTTGCCCGTCTGTGAAAAGGTCCAACATCAGAGGGGTTACCCTGGTATCCCTAGTGCACATGGGGAGGCCTTATAGCATGCATGTCTGACCCAATGACAGACATGTCACTGAGTACTTGACGTAAGTACATAATACTACAAGTATAATTATTATTATTATTCCCTATGTAATTGCCCTTGCAATAAACAATAAAATAATTAATAAATTTCATGGTTCGTGTCAGATTTCATCATGCTACTGTCCCGTATCCTATACTCAATTCTGACATGGTACAGTTCACATGTCACGCCGCAAGGTGTCGAGCCGATATTGCCCTGAAATTAGAACTTAGATACAGCCGAGTGCCGATTATAGCCGCACCCCTCGGGATGCGGGCTGTCTCCAAAGGGGGGGGGGTTTGGATGAGAAGATTGTTCGGATAAGGGATCAGTCACGCATCTATCTAAAACATGCATATTCCCGCATTTTTTCACCATTTTTCATTCTCTTCGGCAGTACAAGAGGAACTAGGCACACTCCAGCTCCTCAAAAAATGATGACACTATCGTTATACATTTTGACTCCAACCTGTTGTAATACAGTCATCTCGTCATTCTCTTCGGCAGTACAAGAGGAACTAGGCACACTCCAGCTCCTCAAAAAATGATGACACTATCGTTATACATTTTGACTCCAACCTGTTGTAATACAGTCATCTCGTGTACCGCTTGAATGGTGCTCCAAGTGGCGAAAATCAGCAAAACCCTCGAAAACCGCCTAATTTTGTTTTTGCCCAGCCGGACCAGGCGATCTTGATCATGTTGACGTCCGGATAATCGGCGTTCTACTGTAGTGGAGGGCTGAAGTGGTGGCAGACTGCTTTCTTTCCAGCTGAGATGTGTTTTTTGTGAGTGTCATGTAATCACACATAGAAAACTTAAACTACAGTCCATTAATTAAAAAAAACATTGACAATCCTGGTGATCGCCCGGGGAGTTTGTCGTCTTACTGTATGTGGTGCCTGGAAAAACTCGCTGTGAACTCGAAGAAATATTCCGCACGAAAGCATGGAAAATCACAACTCACGCACGCAGGTACACGTACGTCTGGTTTACAACAAACAACTAATTTCTTGCTCGTACCGATTTCAGGGCATAGCTTAAGGATTTCATTTAGCTCGGACAAATGTCCTTCCGTTTTGAAATCTGTCCGGACATGCCCGGACATTTTCCACAACACATTTTCAGGGTGTTTCTTCTTTTTTTTAGTAGTACTGAAGTATATTCACAATGACTCATTATGTGGACGTATCTCACACAATGTACAATTCGCCAATTTATTTGTATTAGAAACTGAACTATTTACAGACGACAAATGTATGTACAAAAAAGCGTTGCAGTCAAGAATTTTGCGAACGCGATATGCTCCTTGCAGAGAAGGTAAGTCAGTTCGAATTTGCGTCGTGCAATAGCGGCAGCACCATCGTCAATCTTGCACAGTGCCTTCGCAATTGGAGCGAATTCGAGGGCATTTCGAGCGGGACACTCTTGCCTACGGAAAAGATTCATTGCTCGTTTATGCATCTCCGTTCCAGCATGATCCTTGAACGTTGATATTCTCGGGTTCTTGGATCCGGTTATGAAAGCCTCGCTGAAGTTTTGACAACTGTGGACTCAGTCTACAAACTTGATGCACACGGAACACTTCAAACATTCTGCTAACAGCCGATCGTTCTTCTGCCGGTCATAAATCAGCCTGGCGGAAGTAGTCAGCTCTGCATCATTGTCCGAGATCCACTTATCGCAAGTAACGGCCTTCACACCACGGACTTTTTTGTCCGGCGGCAAGTCCTCTGAATCTCCCTTTCGCTTTCCACAAGACATTCTAAAAGACTATCTGCATTCCTGGTCAGTGAAAGAGTGAAAAATAAAAGATGACATCTTCCTCGCAAGAGCGAACAACTGCACTGCAGATCAGACTGCAGTTCAACCCATCGATTCAAGTGCGAAGCCGACACCATGTACCAAAGGTCGAAAGTGTGAATTGACTGTAGCAACCGCGTTGCTACAGGCGGATCAAGTAAATCTGGTGAAGTCTACGCCTGAGGCTACGGTGTAGACGTGTTAGTTGTACGATATGCAAGTCGCATTTGGCACGAAGCTCCGAAGAAAGCCCAAATCTGCATAAAAAGGTCGAAAGGTCGCTGCTCTTTTTTTCCTTTTTTGACCGGACACTATGTCCGGTGAAATTGAAAACGTCCGGTCAGTGGCCGAAAATGGCCGGAAAATGTCCGATGTCCGGCCGTTAATCTATGCCCTGGATTTAGAGGACAAGTGTTAGCTACGCAGTTTCGCAGATGTTGCCTGGCCCGAGGCAGTGCAACGAAAAGCGGGTCTGTGTCTCCTGGTCTCTGGTCCGGTCGAGTCTACATGTAGTTGTATGGAAAGGGTTTAGTAGGGCATACAATGTACATACATGTATAGCTGGGTTCTAGCCAAAGGGGTAGGGGGGGGGGAGGGGCGCTACTCCCCCCCCCCCCCCCCCTACTCTGTTTGTGCCTCCCTGTGAAAAAGTGCCGCTCCTACTCATTTTCCGATTTTTGTGTTTTCATGCAACTCTACGAAAATGCAGTCGAAAGTCACTACTGTAAGACATGCATGCGTACATGGTACGACCTACAATAGGGCTTGAAAGTGCTACGTCACAGCATAGCAACAATTTCAAAAATTCAAAAACTGGATACACTTGGATCCAGTTTTTGTATGGATCCAAGCACATTTCAAGCCATCTCACTCACAGCAAGGTGATGTAGCCAGTGAAACTGACTGATTTGGCTACTGGGGGCGGGGTTACAACTGGTGGCGAAGTAAAAGTCACGCCTGCATACGACATGAGTGGGTTGCTATGCACCCACATACTGAGGCAATAGCAAAGTCACACCTTAGTGGATCCAAAATAGAAATCTGATGTCAACTGACTACTCCCTGGCCGTTTTGACGTCATCACTTTCAAGCCCTATTGTAGGCTCATGGGCTTGTACAACGAAGCTTTGCGATGTTCGAACTTGGCCTGGCCTTATGCGCGAACATGGGCTTATATGCGGGTGGGCTTATCTGCGGGATTCTACGGTATGTGACATGTGCGGATATGCCAGAAGATTGCAAGATTGTTATCGTATGTTCTCATTAACCTATGGATTATAATTTTTGCACAATCGTTAAATTTGCGACTCGTTATAATAGCATGTCTTACGGTATTAGATGATTCATAAAGGCACATATGTCCGGGGGCGAAGTCGGGGATTCACCCCATACGTTGCATTTAGCGTGGCAAGACAATATTGGAAAGTGGAAAAATGGTTACGGGGTAACTTTTTCCCATGCCCCCCCCCCCCCCCCCCCTACTATTTTGACCTGGCTAGAACCCTGATATAGGTATATGTAGCACATAATGCTTCAAAGAAGTTCATGAGTACAGACGAGAAGATCAGCCGGGTAAGGCTATCGGCATATTCGAAATTTAGTTTTAGTTTAGTTTTATTCCAAGCAATGCATGGCTGGGTAGCCAATGACCACTTTGCATGGCGATCGCAGGGTTTTTATAGCCAACCACTGCTAGCAAGGAAAAGAGTAAGAAGTCAAAAAGAAAAGGAAAAGAAGAAAAAAAAAGCAAACATGGACTATAATAATATTATAGCAAATATGGACTAAAATTGTGGTCTAAAGCAAGGCGTTCCTGAATGCTGTTTAACCTCTTTAGCACGCATCACGTAAATGTACGTGATCCTGGATGCTACCGGTCCACGGATCACGTACATATACGTGATACGATCTACATCACGTCGTACAGTTGTTTTGGCTTCCGTGTACTAGTACCAGGCCTGTACCGTGGTCCCGCGGAGCTAGGCCTGTTCAGGAGACGTATCACGACAAGTACACGTGGAGTTCGCCATGTATCACGGCAAGAGTAGGTCGCGCAGTGCGGAAATAAATCAGAAATAAATTTGTTGACAATTTGTTGACATTTTCAACCATGGCACGACGTAGATACAGCGCAGAGGAGATCGACCAAGTTTTAGAGCAGGTCACGCTGAGTTTGGATAGCGATAATGAGCCAACTGTCTCTGAGAGCGATTTTTCGTCGGCAGATGAGTCTGTGTCTTCATCTCCTGAACGAAGTGCGTCACCAGAAATTGGCGATGCTGCTGACGATGTTGAGGGGATGGAGAGCACGGAAGCAGCAACAGGTGGTACGGAGGACACCAGTGCTGGCGACGAGGCCATGTCCTTGAAGTCGCATGTGGAAGCTGTCGAGGTTCTAGCTGCAGGTGACGATGGAAGCGAAGGTGAGTTGGGTGCATTTACAATTTGAAAATTTCACTAATTTTGAATTTTGAAATTTCAAATATTCATGCATTGTTGCATGCTGTTGACTATATTTTTGCAAAGGTGGGCTAACTTAGTGGTATTTTGAATTGCAGATATTTTGTGCCCGTTCTAGCATGTCACTGTTGATGTTATGGACACCAAGTACTGAAGTACAAATAAATATGCAACAGATATGTGAATTGATACTGAAATACACATTTTCTGCACATTGTGATTACATGCATCCAGGCATATGGGTGAAGCAGAGTATTGCACCTACCGCACTGCCATTCACTGGCAACTCCGGTCTCCAAATGCCGCTTCCAGACCATCCAACTCCACTTGACTACCTGAAATTGTTCTTCAACGAAGATTTCTTTGAGTATCTTGTGACGGAAACCAATCGCTATGCACGCGCATTTATCGATGCCAACCTACATACTCTGCCGGCTCGCAGTTTTGCCCGCTCGTGGAAGCCAGTTGTTGTTGGAGAGATGAAAGTTTTCCTGGGACTCTACCTCAACATGGGCATTGTCAACAAGCCGGAGATTGACCAGTACTGGGCAACTGACCCTGTGATAGCCACACCATTCTACAACCGCACCATGAGCCGCGAGCGTTTTACATCAATTCTCAATTTCCTTCACTTTGCCAACAACGATGAAGTTGACGAATCTGACAAATTGACCAAGATCCGGCCCTTGGTGACTTTCCTCCAAAACCGTTTTCAGCAAGTGTATGTGCCGAAGGAGTGGGTGTGCATTGACGAGGAGC